ACTTCAGTCTTCAAATACTGTTGGCAGATAAAGGTTTGCTGCTGCCTGAGTGACTAGGTCTGTGTGTCTCAGGCAGCTGGGCTCAGTTTCCATATCTGGAGTTAAACTGTTTTTGCCTCTGTGAAATTCCTTCCAACAAAAGCTACTCTTTTTTTCACTCTGGTCACCGTTTTTTGCATTTGAGGGCAGCCTTCCTGGTTGTTTTGATCCCACTTAGAGCTTGGGATTCAAAAAGCTCAGTATTTTCTTCCTTGTTCTGTCTTGAATTTTCAGGGATTCCTATGTTCTCAGAGTGTTATAGGACAGGGAGAGGGGCAGCCCAAACCCCACAAACCTGCCTATTCTACATGGGTTCTGCCATCCGCCGCATCAACACAAAACATAGGAGACTTTAATGGGAAGGAACTTTAATAAAACTAGGAAACAATACAGGAAAGGCAAAGAGTCTAGTTTCTAAATGAAGCACCCAAAGTTACCCGTCCCCTCGTGGGTAAAAGTCCATCCAAATGGGATTGGCCCAGAACAAGGCCCCAAAGCCTGCCACAAGTCTAAAGCATCTTCCAGTGGGGACCCACAGCAAAGGGTCACAAACAACCGGACAAGCCCGGAAGGAAAAGAGCAAAATCAACATCAAGATAAAAGCTGCCATTGTCACCTCCCCACGGGTCTCACCCACATTTGTGTCACCCAGTCCACGACCAAAAGACAAGCACAGTTTCTTCACGTGTCTCTAGGCTCCATGCGCCTCTTCCAGGTCTCCTGGCTCCATCCTGCTTCCTTCCTTCCTCAGTCTCTTCTTGCAGCTTCTTCTCTTTCTGCTCAGCTCCACCCTCCCTTGGGTGGGGCAGGGAACCTCCCCCTTTCCTGGGGACCACCCTGTTACAAGAGCACTGATTTCTCCAGAATAATTTACAGATAAAAATTCATTTCTTATTTCTTCATCCTTCTCAGGTAAGTGGATAAAGGGAAATTGTCAGTCCCAAATTTGAGGTTTATGGCTTTCTGTTTCCAGTTTGATCACTCTTTTTTGTTTGTTTTCATACTGATTCTGAGCACAAACTCCCTTGTTTCAGACATTAGCTTACATCATGAGCTACTTTAGGAAGCCCTTATAAGCAAACTAGCAGAGTAGTGGATGCTTTTCCCTCCCCTTTATTAAAATAACAATTAAAGTCTATTTGGTTTTGTACCTTCAAAGCCTTTTTTTTTTTTTTAAAGATTTATTTATACAAGCACTGGGTACAGTCAGAAGCGCGGGAGGGTGAGAGAATTCACCAGAGCCAGAGCAGGGAACAGAAAAGGCAGACTGACGAAATACACTGCTGAGGGGAGCAGCGGGCGGGGCAGGAGAGGTCTGTCGTGCAATGTGGGACCCTCGCTGGCGGCTGGGGATCGAACCGGCGCTGCAGAGGTTGTGCAGAGGCAGCTTCGCAGCCCAGTGCTCAACCGCTGCACAACCAGGGGAGGCCCCTTCAAAGCCTTTTGTAAGTTGTTAGCCTGTTTATAATACACCCTGTAGTGGCCTGTACTATTCAGAGTTTATATATAAAAAAATGTTTGGTAGTGGGGTGGAGATAAGAACAAAAAAGAGATTACATTGTTTGCTTATCTTGGTAAATTAGGGCTGATAACCTTTGCACCAGATACTTGATTCAGTATTACCTCTTAGCCTGACTTTCTAGATGCAGACCAATTTGTATTTTAGAATATTTTGTAGTTCTCCCCATAAATGTTGTGTAGTAGAGATGAAGGCTCTATTAATTAGGATTTTATTTCTGGCATTTTTGATTTCTTTTAGAAAGGGGCTATATATAATGTTTGATTGTATTGGTCTTGATTCTATCAGATTATTTGCTTTCAGTATGCCTGGTGATTACTAATTGATTCTGCTTCACAGCAACTATAGTTTCCTTTGCATACTTCCAGAACTCTAGGTGCCAGACTTCTTTGTTTGAACTTCAATTTCATTCAGGTCATGGTTGGTTTCTAACTTACTTTTACATCAATAAGTAGTGATCCTCCCTTGATTTTTTTAAATTAAAAATCCCTTAATTTTGAAATTCCTGGTACCACTATCATCACATATTGTTTAAAAATGAACAACGATGTAAAAAAATTTGAAAATTAATTAAAAATAATAATTTATAGGACAATAAACCTGGTGTAATGAAAAGAAAAAGCTACAGCAGATAAAAGACTCAGGAATATACGTCGGATTGGCACTACATTGCATTAGTCAGTAGTTCCACTTTTTGCCATCTGTGTGGCTTTGACTGTCCTGGATGAGAAGGGTTTCCTGTTTAAGCTGCAGTAACTTTTTTGGCTATGGATCATCGCTCCTTCCTTGGAAGATTTTTATATCTCCTCTAAAGGATTTGGAATGACAACTCCTCGCTCTCTCTTGCTAAGAACTATAGCACTTTTCTGCCAATATTTTAGACCCTTCTACTACAGTAGCCACCACTTCCACAAACAGATACTTAATTAGCACCACAGGGATTGCCTGATTCTTCCACCAAAATTAACCCCCTTCGTGGGTCCATAATTTGATTGCTCTTATCCATTATGATTCCAAAATCATTATAGTTCCCACCACCATAGTTACCACTGCCAAAATTTTCTCCATCATTGTAATCATCATATCTTCCACCATCAGTACCATATCAATCACTCCCATATCCTGGTTTACCACCATCATAGCCTCTACAACTATAACTAGAACCACCACCATTGTCGCACCATCACCTCCAAATCCATTATATCCACTGCCACCTTCTCCACAACTACCTCTGCTGCCACCACCCCAACCACCATAAACTTTTCTTTCACCAGAGTTTCCACTGTGGCCAAAGTACCACCACCACTACCACCTCTTTCAAAGTTTATGATCTGTAGAGTTGCCAGATCCACCTCTACCACCTCTTGGTGTTCCAGCAGACTGCATCTATTGTTTAGAAAGGGCCTTTTTTACTTCACAGTATGGCTGTTAATAGCTTGTTCTCAATAATAATTTTTCAATTAATTTTTTCAGATTTATTTTTATGCATACAAGAACTCAGGTGTAGAATAGAGGTGGGGGGTGAGAGACAGTGGGGAGCAGAACAGGTGGATGTACTGAAATATACTGCAGAGGGGAGCAGCAGGCCACTCAAGAGAGGTCTGCTACTCTGCGTGGGGGTTAGTTCCTTGGCTGGGAATTGAAATCAGGCAGTACTGGTGATAGCTCTAAGACTTAACACCTAGGCCACCAGAGAGACCCTTCTCAATAACAATTTTATCAATTGTATCATTATGGTCAAAAATTACGCAAGCACATCCTCTTTTTTTCCAGTCTGCCTGTCTTCCACAACTTCTGTGATTTCAATCATGCCACATTTTTCAAAGTAGTTTCTTAAATTATATTTGTCTTTAATGCCACCAACAAAAATCTACTGTTAAAGGGGCAACAGGCATTACTGAATCCTCTCTAGGACCAGATCTCTGATTCCGCTACATGCCCATCAACCAACCTTGTGTGATGCAGCACATGTTGGTGCATAGACCTCTTCATCACAAGTCACAAAACCAAAGTGCCCAGAACATTTTGTTTGGGGTCTTCCATCACCACACAATCTGTAAGTGTGCCCCACTTCTCAAAAATGTTCTCTTGAAACTATAACCTGCAGTTTCAAAGCTCAGGCTACCAATAAACAGCTTTCTCAACTGCTCTGCTTCCGCTGAATCATGGTGTCCTCCTGCACCGCTGCCGTGCGGGCCAGAGTTGGGCTGTGGACCCTACTCGACTCTTCCAGCTTTTTTTTTTTTTTTTTTTTAAGATTTATTTATTTGGGCCTCCCCAGTGGTGCAGCGGGTTGAGCACAGTGCTGTGAAGCTGCCCACAGCCTCTGCAATGCGGGTTCGATCCCAGTTGACCGGTGAGAATCCCACATGACGTGGCAGACCTCTCCTGTCTCGCCCGCTGCTCCCCTCAGCAGTGTATTTCTGTTGTCTGCCTGTTCTGCTCCCTGCTCTGCCTCTGGTGAATCCTCTCACTCGCCCGCATCTCTGGCCTGTACCTCAGCTCTTGTATAAAAATAAATAAATCTTAAAAAAAAAACTTATTTATTTATGCATACAAGAGCTGGGGTACAGGCCAGAGATGCAGGGGGTGAGAGGCTTCACCAGAGACAGAGTGGGAAACAGAACAGGCAGACTGACTGAAGGACATTGCTGAGGGGAGCAGCAGGCAAGTCAGAAGTCTGCTGCGCCATGTGGATTGCTCCCTGGCTGGCCATGGATTGAACTCCTGCTGCAGAGGCTGTGGATTGCTTCATAGTACGGTGCTTAACCCCTTGCACCACCAGGGAGGCCCTCTTCCAACTTTTTGTAACAGGTTTCTTCCAAAATATGCCAACGATAGTACTTTCCAGTTCACTTTAAAAGATGCAGATAAAAAGCCAGGTGAAGAGGCACATATGGCAAAATTTGGAAGGATCCCAAAGGTAGTTTCTGTGCCCATGGGCTAGAGTGGCCACCCTCCCAGTATGTAGATTTTGTCACCGACTTGGAAATGCCTGAATTTAATAAATCTTTAATTTTGCTTTATGGTGCATTGAGGGCGTGGATGGAATTTACCAACAGTATCAGGAAGCAGTCAGACAAATTCATAATGTAAGTCATTCTACAAAGCTTTGTGAGACTCTTCAAAAGGTCCATATCATGGGGAAAAATGTTGAGGGATTAATTCTAATAGTAAAGAGATACAATTGAATTTTGATTGGATATTGGATTGGACAAAAATAGCGAACAAATGCAGCTAAAAAGGACATTTTAGGGATAATCAAGTTTAATTATGTAATAGCTATTAGCTCAAATTATATTGTATTATTATACAAGTAGATATAATAGTGGAATTATAATTTTGTAGAATGTCCTTATTCTTAGTATATGCTGAAATATTTTAGTGTTATGAGGTAGGCAACAAATTTTTTTTTTAAAAGATTTATTTATTTATTTATACAAGCAGTGGTTACAATCAGAAGCGCGGGAGGGTGAGAGAATTCACCAGAGCCAGAGCGGGGAGCAGAACAGGCAGAAGGACCGAAGTACACTGCTGAGGGGAGCAGTGGGCGGCAGGAGAGGTCTGCGCACCATGTGGGAAGCAGCCGGGGATCGAACCAGCACTGCAGAGGCTTCGGGCAGCTTCCCAGCCCAGCGCTCACCCGCTGCGCCACCGGGGAGGCCCAGCAACAAATTTTTAAAGTCCACAAACCACTGTGTGTGCACATGTACATGTGTGTGTGGGTGCAGAGAAAACAAAGGTGGCAAAATATTAACCACAGTTGAACCTATAGAGTTTATAGCGTTCATTGAACTGTTTCTTGAAATTATTTCTAAAAATTTTCTGTGTGCTTGGGAAATTTCAAAATAAAAAAATGGGGAAAAACTTATTTCTACCTACAAATAATTCCATTGGCTTTAAAATGCTATTTCAGCAAGTCTCTCTTGACGTACTTTTCTTCCAAGGAATGTCTAAAATAATAACCCCCTCTCTATCTTATTTAAACTTCCTGGTAATAATTGCTAAATATATCATGCCATTAGTAGTAGAGTGGGTGATTTATCATCTTTTGGCTCCCTCACTCAACTGGAAGTTCCCTAAGGTAAAGGCTAGGCTTTATCACCACACAAAACTGATTGCAGTAAATTACTCATATTACATTTATTACATATTAATAACTTAAGCCAAAGAACAACAAGAAATACAAGGCAAGCAGAATCTATTTTAAATATTGTTTATAATTTATGCAGTATAGAATTCATTCTGTTCTCAAAGAGCTGGACAATCTGTATCTCTGAGATACTCACTGTCACTGACTCATAGTCTGCACTTTTATTGAAAAGTAACATGTTAACTCCTAATTTAACATGATTAACAGTATGTTGTCTTTAAATAAGGGCTTAAAAAGCAGTTTATAAATCTGTATCACTAAATTTTGTCATGTGGTATCATCTTGAAGTAATAGATGAAAATGTGCTTAATTTGTAAAAAAAAAAGGCATGGAAAGAGAACAAGTGACCTGTCCTAAATCACATAATCAATTCTCAATATTTTCTCTTATCAACACCACATGATTGTTTTCTACTTTCCTCTGAACTGAATTCTATAAGAAACCTAAAAAATAAAACTTAGTTCAAGAAATGTTACTTGTTTCATTAAAAAATATATTTGTAAGTACAATGTATTTTTAGCTATATTCTAGGAGCATTCAAAGATATTCATGCCTTCGTCTGCTTCTTGAAATAGGTCCATTTCATTTATATAATAAAGCAGCATTTATTTTGGTAATTTAAGAGTTTCATCCAAAAATTCAGTAATGGCTTCTTCATCTGCTGATTGAAGCAATTTCTGAATTAGATGATCCAGGCACTTCTCCCCACATAGAAATTCCTGGTGAAAGAGAGAATTATTAGGAAAACTATTTTCTGCAAATAAAGGAGAACAAAACAAACAATTAAGTGATATTTTGGTTTTTTGCAGTCATTATTTATTTTTAAAGATTTATCTTTATTTATTTTGCATACAAGAATTGGGGTGTGGGCCAGAAATGCGGGGGGGTCAGTGGATTCACCAGAGACAGAATGGGGAGCAGAACAGACAGATTTACTGAAATACACTACTGAGGGGTACAGAAGGGGTACAGACAGGAGAGGTCACTGGGCCATGTGGGTTAGCTCCCTAGCCGGGGATAGAACTCATGCTGCAGTGGCTGGTGATAGCTTGATAGTGCTGAGACTTTAACCCTTGAACCACCAGGGAGGCCCTGCAATCATTATTTATTTATTTATTTATTTATTAATTTTTTTAAAAGTATTTTTTTTTAATTTTTTAATCTTTTTTTTTTTTTTTTTAAAGATTTATTTACTTATACAAGCACTGGGTACAGTCAGAAGTGCGGGAGGGTGAGAGAATTCACCAGAGCCAGAGCGGGGAGCAGAGCAGGCAGAAGGACCGAAGTACACTGCTGAGGGGAGCAGTGGGCGGCAGGAGAGGTCTGCGCGCCATGTGGGACCCTCCTCCGGTGGCCGGGGAGCAGCCGGGGATCGAACCGGCCCTGCAGAGGCTGCGGGCAGCTTCGCAACCCAGCATTCAACCACTGCGCCACCAGGGGAGGCCCTGCAATCATTATTTAATAGCAAAAAGCTTACCAAATGTAGTTTTACAATGTTGAACACAATGGCATACTTGGGATAATTCCTAGTGAGTGTTGGCTTTTTATATAAAAAATGAATCCAAAGAGTAATTGGAATTATTCTCTTTTAAAAATTGTTTAAGGACCTCCCCGGTGGCGCAGCGGTTGAGTGCTGGGTTGCAAAGCTGCCCGTGGCCTCTGCGGCGCCGGTTCGATCCCCGGCTACTCCCCGGCCACCGGAGGAGGGTCCCACATGGCGCGCAGACCTCTCCTGCCGCCTGCTGTTCCCCTCAGCAGTGTACTTCGGTCCTTCTGCCTGCTCTGCTCCCCGCTCTAGCTCTGGTGAATTCTCTCACCCTCCCGCGCTTCTGACTGTGCCCAGTGCATGTATAAACAAACAAATAAATAAAAAATAAAATAAAACATGCCTCTATAAAAAAAAAATTAAAAAAATTGTTTAAATTAGCATTTTGTTTAAAAATCAAATTTTCTAGGACTTGGATTTCCCAACTACTCTGAGAAACAAAACAAACAGATCTGAATCAACTTTTGAAATTTACTACCTCCCTCTCTTTAAAATTCCTTTACTTGACTTTTCTCACAACATTATTTTAGGTTCTCAAAGTACTTCTGAAAGGACATGTTTGTTGAATCACTTCTCCTCTTGTACCCTAAAAAAAAAATAATAAGGCTTTTTATTCTGTCCTGAAAATGGTACCCAAGGCAAAGAAGACTGAAATAACTGAAAGACTTCATGCCCCAGGCACTTGCTGCCACGTCAGTGTGTGTATCACTCCCTGCCAATGTCTGCCTCACCAGTCCCCTGGACTTGGCTCAGAAAGAGCCTCCCCTGACTATTCTAGATCACCTTTCTCAAGTCAACCCTCCAAATTTAAACTATTCAATCCGTAAGTTGTATCATAGTTCCAGTTTTTTTCTTAAATTGAAAATAAACTGTTTTTAAAATCTAGAGATGTATAATCAATAAATATTTATGTTGAAATATTTAGGGAGCCAAGTGTCTTAAGGGCTGCAACTTTTTAAATGGTTAGGTAGAAACACAGGTATATATATAGAAAGAAGAGGTGGAGGAGGAAGAGAAGAAATACTGCATCTAGATTTAGGGTTTCCATTGAACATCTGCTTAAAATTTTCAAAATAAAAAGTTGAGGAAAAAAATTCTGTTATGTTTAACTCCAAATAATTCCATTGAGTGAAAACCCACTTCCATTAAGATTTCCCTGTTGTCTTCCCTGCAGTTCCTCTCTGAAAAATTGACTAAAATAATGACTTCAAGTACCTCTCCTGTGTTACAAAAGTTTCCTGTAATAGGGTTGCTGGGATTAGTGAATTAGGATAGTTTCACATTTTAGAAATGCTCCAAATCCATATATTGACTTAATGGAAAATCTTTAATGTATTATAGAAATGTAGAGAAAAAGAGATTTTTAACATAGGCATGAACTAATCTTTTATATAAAGTTTTTGTATGTTCTTAAAGTTATACTTTATGTTAAGTGTACATGTTTCTCAAACTACAGGTGGAAATATATCTTACTATCTTTCTATTCCACAAAACAGCAGCATATAGCAAATCTCAGTTCAATTTTTAAAATAACTGAAAGCAAAAGCATATGATGAGATTTAAAATTAAGATTTATACCATCTTGGGCCCTCCTGGTGGCATAGGCAGTTGAGCGCAGCATTGTGAAGCTGTTCGCAGCCTCTGCAGCACAAGTTCGATCTCCGGCTAGGGAACTACTCACATGGTGCAGCAGACCTCTCCTGACTTAACCGCAGTGTATTTTGTCAGTCTGCCTGTTCTGTTCCCCACTCTGTCTCTGGCGAATCCTCTCACCCTCCTGCACATCTGGCCTGTACCCTGGTTTTTATATAAATAAATCTTTTTAAAAACAGATTTATACCATCTTGAACATAATATGAAAACGGCTTATAACATTAGTATGCCTCGAGGTCAAATTATGGTATTACCAAGGTGATTTTATCATTTGGAAATTACACAAAAAGGATTATTTCTCTCACTGATGATATCACATTTAGATTCAATTTGATGAACAGACTGCTAGAGATGCCAAGATCAAAGATGAATGAGATGTAGTTCCTAACTTTCAGAAGCTCATAATCTAGTGGGAAAGCTAGGGAAATAGATAAACCTCACAGCACAGTGCAAAAAATTAAACAATAAAATGAGGAGCCATTAATTTTGACAAGAACGGGGCATCAGTGAAGAGTTCAATCAAAAGAATGAATATGGAGAAAGGCATGGAAACAAAGCACATTTAAAGGTCAGGAACAAGGGGAAATTGCAGTGTCACCAGGTATGAGAGAGACTAGACAGGAATCTACATAAGGACTTTGAGAAACACAACAGAAACACAAAACTTTATTACATGCTAGTCTGTGCTTATTATCTAGACAAATGAAAATAAAAATAAACATTACCCTCAAGGGAATTCATAAGAATAGTGGGTAATCTCATAGAACTCAAGAATAGAAATGAATTAGCTGCAGACACCACCCTGGGAGTGTAGGTGGGCCTCAGGAATGAATGTGGGGGTGCATATCATCAGCCCTCTTTCCATACAGTTCTCATTTTTGCTCCTTTCAATAATATCAGCTTCATTCTCTCATAAAGACTGTTTTCTTTCCATGGCTAGAAATGTGGTTTCTAGCCTCTGGTAAATTTTACATATTTCAGTTTCAGTCACCAAAAGAGAATGAATGATTGTCTTTGTCTCCAGTTTAAAATCCTGGGACAAAACTCATTGGCTGGGGCTTGTTTGAATTCCTCCCCAAACAAATCAAATCTTGTGTTTGCTTAGGATCAGGATTATGTCAGAACATAGCAGCTCCACCAGGAACTAGGTGGATGAACTAGGGAGGTCAGGATCTAGAATAAGGGAGGAAGAGCGCCAAGCAGAATGCCCTCCTAGCCTTCACTGTCCTGCACACAGAGTTTAATGTTTTATTACAATTATAATTAATTTATTTTAAAGATTTATTTTTATTTATTTAAGCACACAAGAACTGGGGTACAGGCCAGAGGTACAGGGGGCTGAGAGGATTCACCAGAGACAGAGTAGGGAACAGAACAGGCAAAGTGAGCAAAAGGAGCAGCGGGCAAGACCGAAGAGGTCTGCTGCACCATGTGGGTTAGCTCCCTGGCTGGGGATCAAACTGAGGTCATAGTGGCTGGAGATGGCTTTATAGTGCTGTGACTGTAACCCCTGTGCCATCAGGGTGACCCTATAATTAATTTAAGGCTATTTTCAACCTTTTTCCTTTCACCAATGCATCAACAGATGCTTTCTTTTCAATACGTTGATTAATGATTATTAGAGCATGATAATATCACTTTCCTTAACTATTTCTAAGTCCGGCATGTGAATTTTGTAGTAATTTGTTTGTATTTTGGGCCTTCTCGGTGGCGCCGTGGGTTCAGCACTGTGAAGCTGTCCGCGGCCTCTGCAGTTCGGGTTTGATCCTGGCCCTGCCGGCTGGTGAGAATCCCACATGGTGCAGGAGACCGCTCTTGTCGCGCCCACTGCTCCCCTCAGCAGTGTATTTTGGTCCTTCTGCCTGTCCTGCTCCCTGCTCTGTCTCTGGTGAATCCTTTTTTTTTTTTTTTTAAATAGAGGCATGTTTTATTTATTTATTTATTTGTTTTGTTTGTTTTGTTTATACATGCACTGGGTACAGTCAGAAGCGCGGGAGGGTGAGAGAATTCACCAGAGCCAGAGCGGGGAGCAGAGCAGGCAGAAGGACCCAAGTACACTGCTGAGGGGAGCAGCGGGCGGCAGGAGAGGTCTGCGCGCCATGTGGGACCCTCCTCCAGTGGCGGGGGAGCAGCCGGGGATTGAACCGGCGCCGCAGAGGCCGCGGGCAGCTTTGCAACCCAGCGCTCTACCGCTGCACCACCGGGGAGGCCCTCTGGTGAATCCTCTCTCGCCTCTGGCCTGTACCCCAGCTCTTGTATAAAAATAAATAAATCTTAAAATAATAATAATAATAATGATGATATGTTTGTATTTATTAGGTCAAACTAAGATATTTTATAACTCTAAATGCTGGTTATCCCACCTCTGTTGCATGACTGAATACTATACAAAGCACCTCTTTTATGTGCCTCTTTTATTTTTTTTTAAAAGATGTTATGGGTCATAAGAATGTGGCCATCTCAGGGAAAACCACCACTACTACCAGAAAAGCTACTGAAAGAATATGGTGTAATTAGAAAGTTACGGCCAAACATGTTTGGCTATTACTGTGTGCTTCCTGAGGAAAGGGAAGTTAGTAAATACTTTCTTCTCTTCAACACAGCTGTTACATTCCTGTGCCTTAAGATAGCCTTATTGCTAAGAAAATAGAGGAAGTGGCATAAGATACAAAGAAATTTCTAAATGTATTAAAAACAAATATTTCCCTTATAAATTTAGAACTTTCATTCTGAGTACAGATGAGACAAAACTGAGTAAAGGAGCTCCAGGAATCACATGGCACCAAGGAAAAGAATTAAAACCTTTTGTCTCCTACCTTTTCCAGGTAGTCTGTCATTAAAATTGGATCACTTTTGCTTTCAATGGAAGCAAAATGGACATTTTTCTGTGTTTCTTCATTAATGTTTTAATGTCAATGGTCCCAGTTAGATGGGATTTAGTTAGGTTTATGTTTGAACTATCTTCACAGGGTCTTTCCCCCAACAGCATAACTGTAACACCTAAATCTAATGAACACATACGGTGGCAAGCATAATTTTAAGATGTACCCTTAAGTACAGGCAGACTATGTGAATATGTAGGAATATCACTCCAGCAACGAGGTGACTAAGCAGATTAAAACTGAGTTAATCAAAAGGAGTATTATCATGTTGGGCCTCATCTAAATAGGTGAGCCCTTAAAAAGCTGTGTGTGAGTCACTCTTTCCTTCCCTTACTGTCTGAAGATCCACTGTCATCATGAACAACACAGCAACTAGCTGGACCAGGAAGTTCATGAGCAACCAGGGGCTTCAGTGACAAGTGGTCATTGATGTCCTTCACCCTGGTAAGGCATCAGTATTTAATACAGAAATTCAGGAAAAACTAGCTAAAATGTACGAGATGCCCCTGATATCATCCTGATATCTTGATTCAGAACCCATTTTGGTGGTGGCAAGACAGCTGGCTTTGGCATGATTTACAATTCCTTGGATTACACAAAGAAAAATGAGCCCAGGGCCTCCCCGGTGGCGCAGTGGGTTGAGCGCCAAGCTGTGGTGCTGTCCGCAGCCTCTGCAGCACAGGTTTGATTTCTGGCTGGCCAGGAAGCAACCTACAAGGCACGGTAGACCTCTCCTGTCTTGCCCGCTGCTCCCCTTAGCTGTGCTTTCTGCCTGTTCTGTTCCCCACTCTGGCTCTGTGAATCCTCTCACCCTCCCTGTCTCTGACCCATACCCCAGTTCTTGTATAAATAAATAAATCTTAAAAGAAAAAAAACGAGAAAAATGCTATTGTTTAAAAAAAAAAAGAAAGAAAGAAAAATGAGCCCACATGTAGACTTGCAAGGCATAGCCTGTGTGAACAGAAAAAAAAACAGGGCCTCCCCAGTGGCGCAGCAGTTGAGTGCTGGGCTGCAAAGCTGCCCGCAGCCTCTGCAGCGCTGGTTTGATCCCTGGCTGCAAGGCGAGGGTCCCACATGGCGCGCAGACCTCTCCTGCTGCGCCCGCTGCTCCCCTCAGCAGTGTGTTTCGTCAGTCTGCCTGTTCTGTTCCCCGCTCTGTCTCTGGTGAATTCTCTCACCTTCCCCCCGCTTCTGACTGTACCGAGTGCTTGTATAAATAAATAAATCTTAAAAAAAAAAAAAAAAGAAGTTTAAAAAAAAAAGAAAAGAAAAAACAGCAAAAAAAAATTCAAGCAAAAAAAAGAAAGGAACACAAGAACAGAATGAAGGATGTCAGGGATTGCAAAGGCTGGTAAAAAGGAGTAAAGATTCTGCAGTTACTTTATCTGTGATGATTGTGTAGATTTTTCTTTTTAAATAGAGGCATGTTTTATTTATTTATTTGTTTGTTTGTTTGTTTGTTTATACATGCACTGGGTACAGTCAGAAGCGCGGGAGGGTGAGAGAATTCACCAGAGCCAGAGCGGGAAGCAGAGCAGGCAGAAGGACCAAAGTACACTGCTGAGGGGAGCAGCGGGCGGCAGGAGAGGTCTGCGCGCCATGTGGGACCCTCCTCTGGTGGCCGGGGAGCAGCCGGGGATCGAACCGGCGCCGCAGAGGCCGCGGGCAGCTTCGCAACCCAGCGCTCAACCGCTGCGCCACCAGGGAGGCCCTGTGTAGATTTTTCATGAGAAGATTATAAATTAAAACCTTAAACAAAAAAGGTAAGAGCAAAAAGGTCTGAGTCATTCCTACAAGAGATTCCAAGTGAGATGGGATTCATGGAGGGGACCATATAGCAAATTGCAGGCAATCTTTACCAGTTAAAGGGAATGTAGCTCAGATTTATGAACTATGATAAGCGTGAGAAAATAAATAGGTATTATTTTAAGTCGCTAAATTTATTACACAGCAATAGAAATCTGACATATGTGTATTATCTATATTGTATATATGTTAATACATCGTGATTGAAAAACAGGATTTTGGAATTTAAAAAATAACTGTTTCAAACTGACGTAACGACCATATTTCTTACTACCAAACTAACACAAATATATACAAATTTTAGGGTATTGATTAACATAAACTGGCTAATGATTTAAAATTACTTGGTAATATTTAAGTTATTACTCAACAATTTGATTATACTTTCATCAAAAATATGTTCAACGTCACTTGCAATCAGGGAAATGCAAATCAAAACTACAATGAGATACCATCTCACACCAGTGAGAATAGCACATACTAAAAAAACTAGCAACAACAAATGTTGGCGAGGGTGTGGAGAAAAAGGAACTCTTCTGCACTGTTGGTGGGAGTGCAAACTGGTCCAGCCACTATGGAGAGCTGTGTGGAGATTCCTCAACCTACTAAAGTTAGAGCTTCCATATGATCCAGCAATTCCACTCCTAGGTATTTACCCAAAGGACACAGAAACATCAATTCCAAAGAGCACCTGCACCCCTATGTTTATAGCAGCACTGTTTACAATAGCTAAGCTTTGGAAACAACCCAAAATGCCCAAAAATAGATGACAGGATCAAGAAGATGTGGTACATATACACCATGGAATATTACTCAGCATTCAAAAAAGATAAACACATGCAATTTGCAGCAACATGGATGGCGCTGGAAGGGATCATGCTCAGCGAAATAAGCCAGAAAGAAAAAGAAAAACACCGGATGGTCTCACTCATAACAGGAATCTAGGAAACCTAAATATGGACCAGGAAAAAGAATAACTATAAGAAAGAAAAAAATCAAAATCAACAAACAACTATGAACCAGAGACACTCTTTGAGGGGGAGGGAAAGGAGGGATTGGGGTCAAATCGGGGTTGCAATTGTATGGGGAATATAAAAATAAAAATAAAATAAAATAAAAAAATAAAGATTCATAAAGCATACTCAGTAATATTACCTTAATATCCCGAGTTTCATATGCTATCCTGTGGTCAGTGACTCTATCCTGGGTGAAATTATATGTCCGAATTCTTTCTGACTGGGCTCTTGTTCCCACCTGTGCCAAACAAAATCATGTAAACAAAATGACAAGGAACACAAGTGGACGGAAGTTAATATCTAAGATTACAGTTTGTAAAATTTAGTTATAGAATAAGAATTATTTTTGTGTGTGTGTTTCAAACACTAAAAACCAAGTTATCTTTCTATACCGAATAGTTCTTCCTCCTGGTTTCTACAGTGCTCTCTTTGATCAAAGCAGAAAATTCTGACATTTTGCAATTTAACAAACATTTCACGGGAACTTACAATCAGCCAACCTTTGATACAGACCCTGGGAGAGAAACTAATTTCAGCCCATCCATTCTCTAACTGCTCACTTTGAATGGTTTCAAGGATCTATTATATCTACTATACAGATAAATTCTATTATCTATCATTCAAAAATTCCTTATTTTCACTTACATTCCTGTAAAAATCTTCTCATTCATCTTCTACTTTTCTGGTTAAATTGTGTTGCCCAGCTTAGACTTCCTGATACAGTTTTCTGATACATTTTCTTCTTTACCAAGCAGACACAACTCAACTCAGCATTCAAAACACTTCATAATGTGGCCAATTTTCCCAGTGTTATTTCTGAAAATTATGTGAACCTCTATTATGCCACTTATTATAGCATACCATTATTATGTGTGTGCTTAAGTCTGCTAAACTATCATCTCAATAGAGGCCCTTTCTTAATACTCTACTACCATTTGTGCCTTTCCTGGTCCCAGCAATTGAAATATATTATCTTCCTTCTTTGGGACCCCATATACTTGGACACTTCTTCATGGTATGCACAACTTGCCTTATACTATAGTTGTTTGTATTCTTAGTCTGATCATCTCCCCTATCTCCAGAGTACACAATATACATACCATTCTTTCTTATACATTTTAAGATTAAAAAAAAAAAAAGACATTTCAATAAACAATATGAAACTAAACTCTTGAAGAGCTGATAATCAGAATTTTTAAATATTAAAAACTCTAACCTCAAATATACTAAATAAGGAATTATGCATTTTGGAACATTCCCCAGACCATCCATTGTACAACCAACCAGGTTTGGAAACTACTATTTCAAAGGACCAAATTAAGGCCCAGGATTGCATCCAGACATTCCCTACTCTGGGGTAGGGCCTAGATATTTACAAAGTTCTTTAGGTGATAAGTGGAATGAGAGTTGAGACCTTGGTATAATACTTCCATATAAAAGCTGCTATCTACACTAATTGAAGAAAAAATCCTAAACATTAGAAATAACTGAAAAATTACATACAGGTGGTATAGGAGACAAGGTTTTTGTTTTTTGGCACCTCAAGCCAGATTAAAGAAAAGAGAAACACAATTTGCATATGGCCATTCTTGAATACTTACCTTAAAAACTACTATGTAAAACATCTGATGCCAAAATGTCAAATGACAGGTAAGTTTCTATGTGTTTTATTAATTCAAATGTGGCAGAACTGATGATGCTTCTTATTACTTACTTGCCATGAAGTAATGGTTTTTAGATGAGCATCCCTATTTCCAAATGTATATGCTGATGTTACTCCACAAACTGGGAGTACCATAAATAAAGCATTACTATATTATTTATCCTGACAGTTTTATAACTTGCAACTGAGAATATGTGGGTAAGGAAAGCTGAAAGGGCAAAAGTGTGAAAAGCCCAGGACATCGAGGCAAAAAGGATAATTAATGTTTAGCTTCGTACAAATCATTATTCTAAAAAGGTCATAAAATTGTCTAAATTTACTGTAAGTCACCTCTCTGGAAATAACACAAAACAGTTATTTGGGGATTCTACTTTCTCTTTCAACCACTCTCAAAGACAAACTTTACCTTCTTAGAATGTAAATCATACTACACTTGTTTTACTTAAAATAATGACACCTTTACTTTGCTTAGAGCTTCTCTAATTATATTGTCTGAGTAAATTATAATGTGCATGTATATAGTAGACACCAATAAGTACAATAAGTACCCCTTGTTCCCAGATTCCAGCAGTAAAATTCACTGTTACCTGTCTTTTACAGCTTTATTTGTTTCTGATCCTACATAGAGTTATAATAGAAACACTGTCTTTAAATAAAAAAATCTAAAACTCTCTTTTTTTCCAGAGATTTGTCTTTTAAACCAATTTCCTCTCAAGTCAATTCTCATATAAACCCTGGAGGGAAATAACTGGGAAATAATTTTTAGTTTATGTATGTCATATATTATTTGTAAATTGGCATGTCCAAGTTTAGCCATAATCTGTCAGTTCATATGCATTCAAATTATTGCTTGTTTACAAATGAAAATGTTTCTCTAAGATATTACCATTCAATCAATAATAAATACTACATTTGCCATCTAGAATGATGACTATTTGTAGCTATTAAATTATTACACTAAATAATCTTACCTGCAGTTTTCTAGCACTTTGTTGTTGACACTTGTCTTTTTCAATAATCTGCTGGTAGAGTCTAGCTCTTAATACACGCAAAGCTATTTCTTTATTTCTTATCTGTGATCGTTCTTGTTGACATTCTACTACAAGTCCTGAAAAATAACAGGGATCAGAGGTAAATTGCAGCTTCCACAAATCAAATTTAGATAGAAGTGAGGAACACTTTAAAGGGGGAAATATGCATTGGGACAAGATGACAAAGGATTAAAAATATTTTAGACTTAGCACACTTTGCAAATTTTACCTGCGTTACGATAGTAATAGCTGTAGATGGTAGTTAGATTCTGATATCTTTTTTTTTTTTTAAATTCTAACAGGTTTTTTTTTTTTTTTAAAGATTTATTTATCTATTTATACAAGCACTGGGTACAGTCAGAAGTGTGGGAGGGTGAGAGAGTTCACCAGAGCCAAAGCAGGGAGCAGAGCAGGCAGAAGGACCCAAGTACACTGCTGAGGGGAGCAGCGGGCGGCAGGAGAGGTCTGCGCGCCATGCGGGACCCTCCTCCAGTGGCCGGGGAGCAGTCGGGGATCGAACCGGCGCTGCAAGGCTGCGGGCAGCTTCGCAGCCCCGCGCTCAACCGCTGCGCCACCAGGGAGGCCCAGATTCTGATATCTAAAAGAGATATTTCAGATTATAAGCAACATCTGTAGATGCTTACGCACTCCCCCCCTCCGCCACCCACCCGACCCCACCCCAGGCACTCTTTAATTCCTGGAGCTCTGCCTATCTGTCCTTGCTCATTCAGACACTGCCAAAGCTCAGCAAAGAGCAAGGTACTGCCACCTCTATGCCATACTGCTCTAGACTGTCTTATTCAAATAGCACTCACCTTTTCCCCTTTCAGTCACCAACACAGAGCTGATCTTTTTTTTTTTTTTTTTGTGGGACCCTCGCAGGGGGCCCGGGAAGGAACCGGTGCTGCAGAGGCTGCAGGCAGCCTCGCAGCCCAGTGCTCAACCACTGAGCCACCAGGGGAGGCCCCAGAGCTGATATTTTTAAAATAACTTTATATACAGAAGCGAATGAAGCTACTTAAAGTCTCTAAAAGGAAGAGTTTATACTGAATCTGTTCCTCAATAGTTTGGGTTCTAAATTCAGCTAGTCAGCACATCCAACTATATACATGTTTTGGCTATCCAATTTCTGGATTTGGGTGGGTTTAATCCACACTACATTACTAGCATAAACCTAGTCCTGAAATGGTGATCCCTGGAGCTTCAGGCTGTTCTAGTCTTAACTTTGTAACAACTACAGTGAGAGTCTTTGTTCAATCCTGTTCACAAAATCCAAAAACTATTAGCTTAGGCCAGCTGCATTCATATTGTGGTAATTATTTTGCTGAATGTTTCAGAAATTTAATTAAAATTTTTGTAAACTCTCCAAAGAAGTTTATATCTTTCAGGCATTTGCCTGGTGTTCGCTTTAATCTAGTATCCTTTTTCTCTACGACCCAGAATAATATAAAAATTTCCATTTCAAGATGGCCAGATATTCATGAGCTTTCATTCAAATGCTTGCCAGCTGATTTTGGTCAAAATACCTTCACTACTCCTCTGGCTTAAGCCAGAATGTTTAACTTAAAACTCTTATGTACTAGCTCAGTAATAATAAACTAGTTAATAAACTCATTACAGAGGAGTATTCAATCCTAAATATTCTCTTAGGTAGGAGTAGAGGATTTGGGGAGAGGAGGGTATGTTGAGTAACAGAAGCCCTATTTAAATAAGTTGCTGGGATTGTTTAAAAACTATAAAATGGCTTTGGAATAATCAGTTTTTTCAGTATTATTTCAATACACTACAGGAGATTCCAAAATCTTAGATGGTAATAGTACTAAGTGAGCATTTAACATATATTTTCTGTATAACTAAAATATCTTTTTGAAAGATTTATAGTTATTAATGAGAAAATATCATGTTTTTATTCTAAAAAGCCTGCCCATTAAATTTTTTTTAAAGATTTCTGAAATTGGGATATATTTTTACAATCACTGACTTGCCATAGCTTAATTGTCTATTTTCTTAATTGGCAGTTAAAAGAAATAATTTTTTATTTTTTTAATTGGCAGGTTTTTTTTACATTTCTTTATAGTTACAGTGATTTTCTTTACTGATCGGTTCTTAGATTAGATGAAATAAATTATCTCTTAAATGTTAAATAAAAATCCTTTAATCTTAAAGTATAGGATGATATAAAAGATTAAATCTGATTAGGAAGAATTAGAATTATCCATTACCTATAATGGAAGAAGGCAAGTGCAGGGACTACAACGGCCCACTTTCCCTCACTAAGTGGTAACAAACTAAAGAGGTCACTTTAAAACATAAAATATTAATTCGTCTTCATCCTTGTTTTGATCATTTTTTAAAAAAATAACTTTTCCCTGTATGAACATCTAACTATACTCCTATAGTACTATTCCTCCAATGGTAGAAAACAGAGCTGTTATAGAAGCAGTAGGTTAGAAAAATTGTGACTCTTCAAGAATCTGTGTGCAAGGAGAAAATGGAAAAATGACATACAGTTCTCACTTTCAATTTTAAACAGGAACATAAATCCCAACCTCAGGATCTTGGGGTGTAAGAAACTAAAGAAAGACAGAGTTCTCTTTGTAGTAGACATTGAAATCATGGCAAGCCTCAAAGTATGAAAAAAACAGACTCAAACAATCAATTGCTCATAATTATGTGGATTCATAGGAGTTAGTGTACCTCCACATGTCTTGCCTAAGGCAAGGTTTAGGAGGAAGTTAAAGGTTTGAGAGGAAGTTAAAGTTAAACAAAATATAAGTGGCTACAAAATAATTTGGCCCAAGGTAAGTTGGCAACAGAAATATCAGTTACTTTGTGCAAAGTACTTTCTGGCTGCCCACAGCATAATTTTACAATCTTTCAATATGTTTTCAAGTATTTTGGCTCATTTTATCAGAATTTTTATTGTCTTTTGCTCTAGCTTTTCTCGTTTTAACTTTCCTCTTAAACTAATTATTACTGAAATGGACTTCTTATAACAATTTCCAATACAGGCTTTGGATGAAACTCACTAAGTACCTAGGAATTCATGGCTTTAGTAGGTAAATTATAGTAAGGGTTGTACAAGGTACCAGACACTAAAACAGTACTATTTCCTTCCAAATGTTTTATGAGACTTGGAAAAAGGGTTAAAAATACAAAAGTAAACCTGTGAATTTTGCTTACCTGTGGGGACATGGACAAGTCTGACAGCACTATCAGTTGTATTGACATGTTGCCCTCCTGCTCCTTTGGCTCGAAATGTGTCTATTCGCAAATCCTTGGGGTCCACTTTCACATCTACCTAGAACAAAAGGTATAGCATATAAGGTCAATTCTACACTCAACTTTAATACTATATTTATTCCAAGATTTCTCAAATAAAATATACTGTTTTGTGTTGACATATCATCACCATAAAATTATGAAATAACTTACATGAAAGAAAGAACCATAAATTCTCTATTCTAATGGATGTTATTTTTGACACTGAGTTAGGATACTATGAGATCAATGAGTTTTACAATCTTTTAAGTTTCATCATCCATCATCCCACAAAGCTACATAGGATAGAATATATCATATATATAAGACCTTTATATATTTTTATACATGTAAAGTTGATCCTCATTATTCCTGATTTGGTATCTGAAAATTCACCTAATCATTAAAATGTGTTCCTCTAGGGCCTTCCCGGTGGTGCAGCGGTTGAGCGCTGGGCTGCGAAGCTGCCCGCAGCCTCTGCAGCGCTGGTTTGATCCCTGGCTGCCAGCGAGGATCCCACATGGGGTGCAGACCTCTCCTGCCATGCCTGCTGCTCCCCTTAGCAGCGTGTTTCGTTGGTCTGCCTGTTCTGTTCCCTGCTCTGGATCTGGTGAATTCTCTCACCCTCCCGTGCTTCTGACCATACCCAGTGCTTATATAAATAAATAAAATTTTAAAAAAATCTTAAAAAAAAGTAAAAAAAAAAAAAAAAGTGTTCCTCTAAATCAGTTATTGTAGCACTTTTTTTTTTTTTTTTTTAAATAGAGGCATGCTTTTATTTATTTATTTATTTTATTTGTTTGTTTGTTTTGTTTATACACGCACTGGGTACAGTCAGAAGCGCGGGAGGGTGAGAGAATTCACCAGAGCCAGAGCGGGGAGCAGAGCAGGCAGAAGGACCGAAGTACACTGCTGAGGGGAGCAGCGGGCGGCAGGAGAGGTCTGCGCGCCATGTGGGACCCTCCTCCGGTGGCCGGGAAGCAGCCGGGCATCGAACCGGCACCGCAGAGGCTGCGGGCAGCTTCGCAACCCAGCGCTCAACCGCTGCGCCACCGGGGAGGCCCTATTGTAGCACTTTTACAGTCATATGCAGACAAGTGCAAAGCACAAAAAATTTAACTTGCTTCATATACACATGTTCCCAGCTGAAGATGAACAAGGTGACACTCTACTTTCCTGGTGAAGATCCTACAAAGTGGCCAAAAAACAAAGATGAGAGGGGGCAGAGTCCTGCAGTACAAAAAGCCCAGGGCTAGCTGGAAGGAATCTGAATCCCAACCATGGTACCTGTTAGTGAACAGCCTCAGGTAAGTCACTTGATGCTTCTGAACCCCATTTTTTCTTTTGTAAAATAAAATAGAATCTATCAGGATGGACTGTTTTAGGATTTAAGATCATAATCTATGGGATACAAGTATAGAAATATAGCTATTTATTTATTTGTTTCCACTAGGAAACACTAGGTTCCTTATGTGCTAAATCAGAGTTCACCATGACATTATAGAACATTATGGGAATCTGTGGTGTATGTGTGTGTGCTCATACATGTACTTATTAGTGAACTGAAGAGACATCCAAAAAGATGTTTGTGTTCTAACCATGGGAAAATTATTTGGGAAGAGTCTTTGCGGATTTAATTCAGTTAAGATGAGATCAAAGGGCCTCCCTGGTGGCGCAGGCAGTTGAGTGCTGCACTGTGAGGTTGTCCGCAGCCTCTACAGTGCGGTTCAATCCTGGCCTGCTGGTGAGAATCCCACATGGCGAAGCAGACCCCTCCTGTCTGGCCCGCTGCATTGTATTTCTTCAGTGCCTGTTCTGTTCCCCGCTCTGTTTCTGGTGGATGCTCTCACCCTCCTGTGCATCTGGCCTGTACCCCGGTTCTTGTGTAAGTAAATAAATCTTTAAAAAAAAAATCAACAATATAGGTCAGGGATAAGTGGGGCAACTTTACCGGGGGGGAAGAGTTAAGGATTTCCCAATAGAAACTGTACAATTCAATCTGAAACACTGAAAATCACAGATTTTTCTAGAAGCTAAGCTTCTCAATACAATGCTCATTGATTAAGATGAGTTTTCATTGCAGCTTCACAAGGTTACCTCATCTGGCTGAGGAAGAACAATGACTGACATTGTTCCTGTGTGAATACGCTGCATCCTTGATGACAGGCCCACCTCAGGGATTCGCTGAACTCGGTGGATTCCACCTTCATACTTCAAATGCTTATAGACATCATCACCGGAAATTCGGGCAGCCGCATGATGCAACCCACCTAGGAAAAAGATATTATCTAGAAATATTAATGAATTATACTTTGAAAGGTCAGGATCCTAAGTGGTTCTTAAGCTAAGGTCTAAATGTGAGGTTAGAGGCTGAGATGAAAACATATACAAAAGTATATTTTCCCAATATAAATGTAATTACAGAAAGGAGCATATCAAGATATGATTTATGATTATCTCTGGGGCATAAAAGAACAGATATTTTTATTTGTATTTTTTTCAATTTTTTTGTTTCTAACTTTCTATAAAGACAAGTTACTTTTTATCAAAACGCTATTAGAAAAAAAAAGCACACTGGAAGTTTTCTGCATTAAACTATCCTATGCAATCTTAGGCAAATATGCCTTACATTAAAGATACTCAAAAAGATATTATTAATTTGATAATAATAAATAAATTTATAGGTCTTCCCAAGTTTCCAAAAATCTACTGAAATTTAACTTTTGCTTATCTGTGGAGCAGAGAGATTATCACAATAAAATCTTAACACCTAGGCTAACTTCTTTTTTTTTTTTTTTAAAGATTTATTTATTTATGCATACAATAACTGGGGTGTAAGCCAGAGGTGTGGGGGGTGAGGATTCACCAGAGAGAGTATGGCACAGAACAGGCAGATCTACTGAAATAAACTGTTGAGGGGAGCAGTAGGTGAGACAGGAAGGTCTGCTGCGCCATGTGGGTTGCTCCCTGGCCAGCCCGGGGATCAAACTTGTGCTTCAGTGGCTGGCGATAGCTTGAGAGCATTGTCTTTAACCCCTGTGCCACAAGCGAGGCCCTAGGCTAACTTCTAATTGGACATGTTTTTTTAAAAATACATTTATTATAAAATGCTATATAGACATAGAAACCATATGAATCATATGGATGATTAAAGAATTCCAAGGTCAAGAAACAGGTCATAGTTATCTGAAAAGCCCTCCTATATGCCCCTTCCCAGTTACAATCCCCTCCTTTTCTCACAGGTAACCATAATCTGGACTTTCATTCTTTCTGCAGTTATAATTTTATTACCTAATACTCAGCCCTAGGCACTACTGTTTAGTCTTGTCCATTAAAGATTTTGATGTCTTTTAAATCTCATAATCTATAGGTTTGATTCTTTCATTTCCTACAAATAGTCTGTTGAGGAATTTGGGCTATTGACCTGTAGAATTTCTCACTGTCTGAGAAATTTTGCTGATTGTATTTTCTTTGTGCAGTTCAATCTGTTCTCTGTATTGGCTGCAATTTGGCAGTTAGATCCAGAGACTGGATGAGCACTAACTAGCTCAAGTCCCTTGGAAATACTACAGGGGGCATATAACATATAATTGTTTCTCTTTTTAGGGTCTTGACAGTCTTTGATGCTTAATGTATCACGGAAATTGTAAAATGGTGATAGTCTAATTCTGTAATTTCTTTCTCACTTATTAGTTAAAATACATTTATAAAGAGACACTTGTACTCTTATAAAATCCTTAACCTAAACTACCTTTTTTTGAGTGCACTCCACTAAGTGTTTCTGGCACAAAATGTTGCTATTAAAAAATGTTGATGGAAATCTCATTTTATTTCCTGTATAAGTCACTGGCTCTTTTTTCTCCATGTCCAAAATATTTTTTTTTTCTTTTTAAAAAATATCCAATAATTTTACTGAGTATGTCTTATTCTAGTGTTGGTCATTTTGGCTGGATATCTTCATATGTGCTCTTTAAATATAAGGCTTCAAATTCATTTTTTCTAATTCAGAAGCGTTTTCTTAAAATATAGATGTTAGTATTTATGGCAGGCAGCCTCAGAGATGACCCCAGTGATCTCTGCCTCCTGGTATTTACCTTTAGTACCCTCTCAGATAATCTGACAGTATTTTCTCCAAACTAATTATAATAAGTAAATCAAAATTTAAAAATTATTTTTATAATTTTAATGAAAAAAGGCTTATTCTTTGTCTTTGATTTTAAAGTTGTATTAGTGAAATATTTCAATTTTCCCCTTTTTTAAAAAAAAGCTCTTTATTTAAAAAAAAATCTTTATTCTGCCAGTGACTTAGTATATTTAAAAGAAAGGATTCCCACACATTTTTTTAGGTATGCTCTATATACCTGGAACAAAATTGCTCTTCTTCATTTATTCTTAATATTAGACATTATCTCTGTGCTAACAGCCATCAAGTATGTCTCCTCAATTCTGTTCTCTCACCAAATCTGGTTACATAACTTCAACATTTATTGAATATTTCTAAGTGAATGCTCGCCATTACCTCAATCTACATAATTCAAAAACTACTTACCATTATTCTTCCCAAATGAATTCTGCCTTCCAACTTCTATTCCATTCAATGGCATGAATGAATGTCAAAATCTTCCTGGCTAGAAAGATTAGAACCCCTTGAGGTTCATCTCCATTGTGTCAGAATAGACTAGTGGGATACAGTGGCTCTCAATAAGACAGACTTAAATTCAATCCTAGGATTGCTATAATTATTGTGTGAATTTGGGTTAGTTCATATTCTCTAAGCCTAGATCTTCATCTATAAAATGGGATTAACAGTACGTATCTCAAAAAAAAAAAACCTCACAGGTTAGAGGATCAAATAATCTATATTGCATATAAGATATCAGGCAAGCAACAGCCCTTCGGGTATTTAGTCAGTTACCAAATTTTGCCCATTCTTCCTTTAAAGGTTTCTCACACATTTCCCTACTCCCAATTCTAACTCTTAGTCCTACCTGAACTATTCTAATAACCTCTCTGCAGTCTGCCTTAAATATAGTCTCTTTGATCTATCCTGCATACTGTTATCTAAATAATCTTACATATATATACACACATATGTATGTTACATCATATTGTAATTAATAAAGTCTTCAATAGCTCCTATTCCTTAACAATCAAGATCTGTTCAGCTTCTAAGGCTGTTAAAACTGTACTCACTCAAAGCTATTTCCTGTTACTTCCCATCACAGTATACTCCAGATAATCAGCTTTATTATCCTCATATACACTAAGATCTTTCCCACCACCATGGTGTTGCTCAGGTGATTTCTTCCCTTGGCTGTTACTACCATTCCCTTACCCACTAGCTATATTTAAAATCTGTACCGAGCACAACTTACATCAACTTTCAGACGAGTTAGGGGGCAAAGAGAGGGAAAGAAGATTACTATCAGATTTTCTGATTTAACATACTTGAGTATCTTAAAGTTTAAGAAAATGCAGTTATCATTATGTTGTACAATTTTTATCAGCCCAACAAAAGTGGAAACTTTTTGAAAATAAAGACAAATAATTAATTTTTTCTGTGTTGCCATGAAAATCTACTACATCATTAACCACATAGTTTAACTAGTAATATTTTCCAACTGTACCACATAAATAATAAAGTTCTTTGGGATAAAAACCTTAATTTATCTTTTTAACAAAAAGCAATGCTTTTCAAGGAAAGGTGCATATATATCCTCTCCAGTGAAATTTTCTATAATTCAGATTTTCCTTCCTTCCCTCTATTCTACTAGCTAAGAATTCACCTATAGTAAGCTACTGTCATAGTATTTGATGAGCCCATGTCACATTATACAGTAGATATAGTGAAAATGTTTTTTAAAAAAGGACAAAATGATTCTAATCAAAATCAGAAATAAAATAATTTTCAGTATCATCTATGGATGCGCCTACCATAGTCAGCTGGTGTATAATTCAGAAGTTCAAATTTCCAGTGCTTAAAACGTGAATAATTCTGGTACATGTCAAATACTTCCCGGGTAAACTGTTGGCAGATATCACCTAAAAGAAAATACATAAAACATCCAGTCAGCAGAAATGTCTAAGAGAACAATTACTGGGTATAATAAGCCCCTTAGGAAAGGAAGAGTAACTATTCCAAAGTGAAACATATTTAACCGATTTTTACAGTAATAGCGTGTCAAATCAAGGTAAAATATACTATTTTTCAGATCATTCATAGTGGAATTATTTTACAGACCTCCAGTAGTTCTTCCAGATGTCACCTCTAAAATAACATCATTTTTGTCGTACTTCTCCTTTGGCACTAGAATCTGGAAAAGCTGCAAAAGGAAAAAAATCAGCTTTAGTGTGCATACTTTCCACAGCATACTAATATACTTGAACTTAGATAAAAGGACCCCAAACATCAAAAAAATCAGTAATTAACAAAATCATATAGCATCCCAATGAGATCTAGTCCTAAGATACTGTATTAAGTAGAACTAATTAGACCTAAAATAAGTAATCAACAATTCATGTTAACAATGAAGTTACTTTTCATGATATTCTCTACAGTACTATCATATTATCTTAATTTTCTAAAATGCAGAAGTTTAGATCAAAGTCTAGAGTGTTCCATTCAATTTTCTTCAGATTTTGCCTCTTATTAGTTCCAAACAATAGCTTCTTTCATCTAATAAATGAAGTAAAGCTTTGAATACCTTCATTTGGAGAAAATGAGGACTCTCATATATGAATGAGTATTCATAAATGACAGCAGACATCAGGCCATGTGCTGTATCTTTTCAGTGGAGTCACTCAGTTTAGACTATGTTGAGCACTCCTAACAAAAGGCTCAAATTGTTTCTTGGCTGTCACAAGGAAAAAAGGGGCTTTCTAAGGGCCCTCTTTGGTGGCACAGCGGTTAAAGTCTCAGTGCTATCAAGCTCTCACCAGCCACGGCAGCATGAGTTCGATCCCCAGCCAGGGAGCTGACCTACATTGAGCAGCAGACCTGTCCTGTATCACCTGCTGCTCCAGTGTATTTCAGTCAGTCTGCCTGTTCTTCTCCCCACTCTGTCTCTGGTGAAAACTCTCACACCCTGTACCTCTGGCCTACACCCCAGTTCTTGTATGCATAAATAAATAAAAATAAATCTTACAAAGCAGGGAGGACTTTCTAATAAAGAAAGTAACCAGGGCCTCCCCTAGTGGCGCAGTGGTTGAGGGCTGGGCCGCGAAGCTTCCCGCAGCCTCTGCAGTGCCGGTTCAATACCTGGCCACCGGGTGAGGGTCCCACATGGCGCCCAGACCTCTCCTGCCATGCCCACTGCTCCCCTCAGCAGTGTTCTTCGGTCCTTCTGCCTGCTCTGCTCCCCGCTCTGGCTCTGGTGAATTCTTTCACCCTCCCGCGCTTCTGACTGTACCCAGTGCTTGTATAGATAAATAAATAAATCTTAAAAAAAAAAAAAAAAAAAAAGAAAGTAACCAACTTCCTCTCGGAAGAAAAGGGAAGCAATTTGGTTATTACTGAAAGGTCTTTCAAATCAAACAAGCACCTACTTGTTACCACTCTCCTTATTGTCTATTCAAATATTCCATCTCTGCTAGAACTGACACAGTCTGCAGGAGAATTAGACTGAGTCAGACGTCTTACTTCTGCCATTGATTAGCTAGTTAAATCAGTGGTACATAATAACTGATACCTTTGCCTCACCTCCCTCAACCTTTCCAGAAGCCCCTCAACTAGATTCCCAGAGTAGGGAAGACTGAAGGTAAGGGTGACAAATATGACAGAGAGGATCATGATTATAGTTCTGTTTTTCAATGTTTTAAACAAGTCATTCATTAAGCTAGGAGCTAAAGACTTGTGGTAATTAACTGTCATTATATCCTTCAAGTCTCTCCATTCTATCCAGTTTGCAAATTCTTTAATCTTTAATTAAAATCACTCCACTTTCTAAGACATAAAACCTTGACCAAAAAAACTTGACAGTCCCCCATGGTAAATGAAATTTATCAACCAATGTTCCCTTTCTTGAAAATTAATAGATTCAGCTTTGTAATATATTTTTGCTTGGGGTTGGGGGTGGAGGTGTATATGTGGGGAGCGGGTTGTTGTTTTTATTCTTTGACATCATAATTTCTTCCATCTCATTTTGTAGCAAATTACAGCACTAAAATAGCTTGATCATTTATTGTAAAAGACTTAAAAACTGGTGTATGTAAAATACTTCAGTAAAACATTGTCTGCCAAGGACAGTATTCCCTTATATTAACACCTACTGAGATTAGTATACCTCTCAAAAACATACCTCATTGTATAACATGTTGATTTTTTGAGCAATGGTTTGCCTTTCTTCCAAAGCAAGTTCTTGTAACTGTTTTTCATCTTGTTTAATTAGACCTATAAGACAGCAAAAATAGATAATGGTAAAAATTTTCAAATACAGAGAAACTCCTAAATATCTATCTAATCTCTGTCTACTAAAATTTAGTTTAGTTGTAAAGGAAAGGGATAAAAGAACAGATAGATATAGTTGAAAAATGTCAATGAGTGTTTGCTAAGTATATCCAAAACTGTCTGTGAGAAAAGAAGTATGATCTTGCTCCCAAAAACTTGTGATTTGAATGTCTGCAAAAAATTATAAAAATTAGTGATTAGTCAAACAGTTTTTAAAGGTTAATTAAATATGAACTCAGATAAGGTAAATTTGATAGTAAATTGACGTTATCACTTTCCTGTCTCAAGATAATAGCGACTACTTAGTACACTGAGTAATTTAGCATAGCTACAGTCAGAAGTAAAAATGCATGTAATTTTGCAATCTCTTAATATGTTCACATCTAGTAAACATTTTTTAAAAACAGTGTGAATCGGGGCCTCCCTGGTGGCGCAAGGCGTTAAGCACCACACTAAGAAGCAATCCGCAGCCTCTGAAGCATGAGTTCCATCCCTGGCCAGCCAGGGTGCAACCCACATGGCGAAGCAGACCTTTCCTGTCTCGCCTGCTGCTCCCCTCAGCAGTGTATTTGAGTTCTGTTCCCCACTGTGTCTCTGGTGAATCCTCTCATCCCACTGCATCTCTAGCCTGTACCCCAGCACCTGTATGCATAAATAAATAAATCTTTAAAAAAAAAACAACGGTGTGATTCAAACAAAACACATCTTAGTAACCTTTGCTTTATGGAAACAATGGTTCTTTTCACATCATTTCAAAATCTTATGATGCAAAATTGTACTCGGTTTGGAGGTCAGACTACAAGTGGTAAATTTATTGTAATCATCTAGGATGAGATATAATGAAGCTACAAATAATGGGAAAAATAAAAGGGAACTCGTGGAAGAGACAAACGCTACTGGACTCTGAATTATTGTGCAGTGGATAAGAACAGAGTTTTATTGCCATGTCTTGACTGACTTCAAGTCAGTTTTGACTGACTTCAAATCCTTGCTCCTCTCCTGATTGACTGAGCAACCTTTAGTATTTCAACTTCTCATCTCTTTCTTCAACTATAAAGTTGGGATATGAATAATAATTCCTATCTCATAAGGTTATTGTGAACATTCAAATGAAATAATATTTGTAAAATATTTAGCTTATACCTGGCTCAGTAAGAATCAGTCCATGTAGCCATTATCACTATTATTATAAAACAGCAGAATTGTAAATCAGGAAGTGACTTTAGAAACAATGTTATCCAATCTAGTAATAGGGAAAGATGTTATTTCAATATAATTTAGAAAGCATTTAGTAAACTCCTATTGTTATTACTATTGCTTTCCCAAAACTAATTCATAAATTGAGTGGCCTTATGCAAAGAAGTTAAAGGTTAGGTGGGATAATTCTGATGCCACTAACAGTAGGCAGGGAAATGTAAGGCTTAGGGCATCCAGGAGTTTACAAGTGTAACTTGACTGGCCTTGACATTTCATACTTCTTTAAGGCTTTATGAAACAGACTGGAGCACAGTCAAAAATTTAGGAACTAAAAGGCAACAGCAAAATTAGGATAAATATTGAATACAAAATTAGCCCATTGTGCTTTTCTCTCAGCTTCTATATATTTTGAAAAAATTTCCTGAGAAAAAATGTTAAGGCATATTTCATATTAAGAAATACTAAACTTAAAAACACTCTTCATATCATAGACAAAACTAACTCAAATAGATCTAGATGTAAATGTAAGGACTAAAATTATAAAATACTTGGAAGAAACACAGATGTAAAACTTTATTTCCTTGGATTATTTAACAGCTTTAGCTATGACACCAAAAACAAAAGCAATAACAGAAAAAAAGACTGGACATCATCATACTTAAAAAGTGTGATACTTTGGGCAACCCAAAGAATGGGAGAAAAGTTTTGCAAGTCATGTTATCGGATAAGAAACTTATAGCTATAATATAAAGAATCTTATAACTGAAAAATAAAAACTCAATTTAAAAGTAGTCAAATGGTCTAAACAGTCATTTATCCAAAGATGATATACAAATGGCCAGTAGGCACACAAAAAGATGTTCAACATCATTAATCAGGGAAATGCAAATCAAAATCACTATAAAATATCACTTCATATGCACAAGGATGACTAGAATCAAAATGGCAGATTATATGGGTTGGCCAGATGTGGAGCAACTTAAACCTTAAGGTGAAGAGCTAACCTCTTAACTTGGCATGTAAAAGGATGCAGATGCTTTGGACAAACAGTCTGCCAGTTCCTCAAGAAGTTAAGCATAGATCTAACTGCGTCTGAACAAGAAATTGAAAGGTCTAAAATATCATAGGAGTCACAACCTATGTCTAAACAAAATCATGTACACAAATGTTCATAGCACCATTGCTTATAATAATGAAAAACAATAAAATTCAGCAATAAAAAGAAATGAATTCAAATTCATATTATAATATATGCACAAAATTCTATCATATTGAGTTACTTTTGTATATGATGTCAGAAATACAAATTCATGTTATAATATAGATGAATCTTAAAAACAATGTTAAGCGAAAGAATCCCATCACAAAAGGCAACATATTATATGACTCCATTTACATAAAATGCCTGAAATAAGTAAATCCATGCAGACATAAAGCAGACGAGTGGTTGCCTAGGGCTGGTAGGGAAAGAGGGAGTAGAAAGAATCAACTAAGAAGTTCAGTTCTTTTAAGACCTCTAAGCTATAGGAACTGTATCTATGACACTTCTATTTAGGATAGAACTCAATAAAGGTCTGCTCATAAATTAAATCACCAAAGCAGTTAGGTTTAGTAGCAGTTTAACTTTAGTAGGTTAAATACTTCACCCAGAACATAGTACTGCCCGCATAAGTGTAGAGCTTATTTGTAGGTTTTTTTTTTTTTTTTTTTAAATAGAGGCATGTTTGTTTGTTTATTTATTTATTTGTTTGTTTGTTTGTTTTTGTTTATACATGCACTGGGTACAGTCAGAAGCGCGGGAGGGTGAGAGAATTCACCAGAGCCAGAGTGGGGAGCAGAGCAGGCAGGCAGAAGGACCGAAGTACACTGCTGAGGGGAGCAGCGGGCGGCAGGAGAGGTCTGTGCGCCATGTGGGACCCTCCTCTGGTGGCCGGGGAGCAGCCGGGGATCGAACCGGCGCCTCAGAGGCTGCGGGCAGCTTCGCAACCCAGCGCTCAACCGCTGCGCCACCGGGGAGGCCCTTATTTGTAGGTTTTTTAACAGACTGAGGTCAGCAAAGCTTTTCAACTTAGGAAATCAATTCTGTAATGGTAAACACAATATATTCTACCTACTTGTACACATTGAATCTAATTCTTCAATTGTTTGTTCTGCTTCTTGAATTTCTTGGTAAATGGCTGCAAGTGGTGCCAACTCAGCATGTCTTCGATGCAAGGACTTTCGGTCCCCTTCGTCCACAGAGAGATGCTGCAAATGCTGATCAAGTGTTTGGTACTCCTTACTCAGGTCTTCCATATACTTCTGTAGTGCTCTATGCTTCCTGGTATCTTGATGACAACATCTCTTGGACAAATTCTTCTTTAACAGATGATAGAGAATGCAATTCCTGTTTTGTCTAAAAACCAACAGGCTTGTATCAAGATGAAGCTGTGTAAATTGATGAGAATGAGGGTGGATGTGGCATTGGTGGTGACCATTAAGAGATGGATGTCTAAAAAGCCAACCAAACAGATGACGATTCATCTCAGCATCTGAAATATAATAAACATAATGCAAATAAAAAGTAAACTCTACAGATGTAATAAAGCTGGAAGGAACTTAAGAAATATTGTTTAGTTCACTGCCTTAGTCAGTTCCAAACATAGTCCCCAAATTCTGTAACCCACCAAAAAGGAAATAATTCTTCAAACCTCTGAATATAACATATTAAAATAAATGACAGCAGTTCCCTACCCACTCAATAGGCACGATTAACAAAATGTGTATAGTGTAACTAAAAAATATATCAGCAGAATGGGTTAAATTTGTTATTTTCCAGAAAATATCCAGAAATATCTAGAACCTAGAAGTAAGCATGTGAACAAGCACTTGAAATACCTGAAATAGTCATGCAAACCCTAAGTGGTTCACATTCTTAGATTTCTAAAGTTTGAAGGAAACATATTACCTATTTTTTGTCTAATTCTTTAATTCAGCTATCATAGGAAGTCAAGTAACTTTAAGCATGATTATTCACTCAGCTTGATAAAGGCAAAGCTTGTCTGTTCATTGTTCACTGCTTTCAATTCTTCAATTATTCTTCAAAGGTGCTCTCTTTTAGCTGAGATTATAAAGGAGGAGAACTTCAAACATTAACAAACTAAATTGGACAATGGTGATAATTACACTAAATTAAAAAAGCAGAATATAGAACAACATAGCCTCAGGATTTTCTACAATTTTTGGTATACATACATATTAAAGAGGTGCACAGGGTATACTGAAAAAAGGAAACAGAAAAAGAAGTATGCCAAAATGTTAACAAAATGATTCCTAGTTACAGGATTATGGATAGGTTTTGCTTGCTATTTTTCTAGCATTTAGTGTTTTCCAAGTGTTCTATCCATATAGCACTTATTACTTTTACAATCAGGAAAGAAAGATTACTTTAAAAAATTGCAAGTTAGATGAAATGGGGAGTGTACAATAATTATCTGTTATACTCCCCTCTAACAGAGTTGAATAAGAGCTAACATAGGTACACAATGGTTTTATTGAGTGAGAAAAGGAAAAAACAATGGGTTCTAAGAAAAACACTTTGCCCCTAAATCCAAAGGTTCAGAGATAAAATAAAGGTTGAAATTTATCAAAATCAACCTCTGTCTCTAGTTTTTCTATCATACTAGGAAGTACATTTATATATTAGCTCACTTGATAAATGTAAACTAGTAACGTGACATCATTATCTCCTGGGAAATAAAACATTCAGGATGGTCTCTAAAATATTAAAATTTGCAGCTTCTACCAATGAACTATAACATACTAATTGACATTTGGAAAGGTCTGTGGAAGAATGCACCAGACAGAAGTTGTAAAAGTTACAAGTTCCCCAGCAGAAATATCTGTTCATCATCTTTACATCTAGCCTTAAACAAATCAGAGGTGTTTCCAATTGAAAATGGTTAGAACAAAAGAATGGCAAGCTTTTTGTTAAATTTGTCAAAAATTTTCATTTTGGGAACGGTAGTAGAACCTACAACTCTAGAGATCAAGAACCTCAAAGTTAATGAGGGGTAAGTGGAGGAAGGAAGCAACCAAGACGTTCCCTCTCTAGGGTTATCTATACCTGAGATCAGCAAGTCTCCCCCGTCACCTACCAGTGACTGGAATACTCTCGGTGGCAGATACTATTCTAGAACACTCCTTAGCTTCGGCGTGACTGACACACAGCACGCGCGAGAACCACATGTAAACCATACTGTCTGACTCCGTTTAAGGAGTACACCCGTGAGGAGGCGGTATGGTATAAAAAAAAATCTGGAAGGGAAAAATACATTTTAAGGTGAGAAAAGAGAAAAGAATTGTGAGTACCTAAGAAAAAGAAGGAAGGACGTTAATTTTCCTTGCTGAGGTCGGAGAGTGATCACGTTCACTTCCGGGTTCACTTCCGGGTTCACTCCTCCTGGGTAACTTCTCCGGTTCCTCCTCAGCGGGACATTTCTCTAGAGCAGTCTTCCTTGGGTTTGCTTAACAATGAGCTGAGAAAACGCTAGAGAAAAATGGCAAATCGAAAAGAAAAAAAAAAATGACAAAGGAAAATCCCCACAAGAGGACCACGCACCACACGTAGCCGCAGCCGAGCCCAGGCGGGGATGGGAGACTGTGTCCAAAGTGCAGAATGAACTACAAGTCCCGGTAGGTCACCGCTAAGACTCCTGGGGGTTATAGTTCATTACTCACCGTGTCCCCAACCCACACGGGTATGGGAGAGGGTGTCCCGACTGCAGAGTGAACTACAATTCCCGGCAGGTCGCCGCTAAGAATTCTGGGGGTTGTAGTTTATTACTCACCGAGTTCCCGACCCACTCTCTCTTTTTAGCCCAGATAAGTACAGCTTTTGGTTTTCGCTCTTTTAGTCAATCCCAGGAGCGAGACTCTTTACAGTTCTCATTAAGAGACCTGTACATGTAAAATACATGTTATATAAAATTACAAGTTTCCTTATATATGCAGCGATTAAAGGAGTTTTTCCTGGAATTATTTTCATGAGGACCCTCTTGTCATCATTCCACAAATTAAAGGGGTTTTCCATGTTAATAGTTACACTTTCACCTTTCATTGATTGAGAAAATAATAAGTTAAGGAGACTATAAATCTATATTTTTACAAATCATAACGCTCCTTCTCCTCCCCCTCACTCCCGTGTAACAATATGTAAGTATATATACATATCTATAATCATTAAATGTGGAGATATATACATATATAGTGATTTTATAGATATTACACACACTTACAGACTTTAGGGGCTTAATGTGGGTTTATAGCTTGAAAACCACTGATTAAAAAGGGAATTACAAAATCCAACTGGTGAATAATTTTAAGAAAATATAAAAATATTGCCTTATTTTTAATATTCCAGGGGAATACAATCCTTGGTAATCACATCTATAAGTTCTTTCACCTCCGTGCCTCAATATTTCTTCCTGAAAAACAAATGCAAAAATAATCCCATATTACTGACTTCTATAGGATATTTTCATAGGTTATTACCACATACATAAAAAGGAGAATTCGACACAAATATAAATATCATTTATTACTTACTTCAAGGTATCTACTTTTATCTACTGCATCTTAGATAATGTTCTAAGTGGCTTAAACCTACTAATTCGTTTAATCCTCACAACAATCCTAAAATAACTATTTTGCAGAAGAAAAAAGGCACAGCGAATTTAAACAACTCTTTGAAGATAAAAGAACTAGTAAGTGATAGAATGCAGATTTAATAAAGGTAATCTTTCTTAATGATCTGTAGCTCCTAAGCGCTTATACTGTCTCACTTCCTCCCCAAAGGGAAAACATTCAATCATTCATTCAATAAATATTAAGCACTAGCGTATTACTCACTGTTCCAGACATGAAAGCAGTGCATAGAATAACAAAAATCTTTGTAAGCACAGTGCTTGGGCCTCGCTGGTGGCACAAAGGGTTAAGATGCAACCTATGGGGCCTCCCTGGTGGCACAGGCGGTTGAGCCCGCACTTTGAAACTGTCCGCAGCCTCTGCAGCACAGGTTCAATCCTGGTCAGCCTGTGAAAATCCCGCATGGCAAAGCAGACCTCCCCTGTCTCGCCTGCTGCTCCCCTCAGCAGTGTATTTCGTTGGTCTGCCTGTTCTGTTCCCTGCTGTGTCTCTGGTGAATCCTCTCACCCTCCCGCGCATCTGGCCTATACCCCAGTTCTTGTATAAATAAATAAATCTTAAAAAAAAAAAATGCCCCTATGAAGCTATCCCCAGCCCCGGCAGCACAAGTTCAATCCCCAGCCGCCCAGGGAGCTACCCATATGGTGCAGCAGACCTCTCCTGTCTCTCCTGCTGCTCCTCTCAGCAGTGTATTTCAGTCAGTCTGCCTATTCTGTTCCTTACTCTCTCTGGTGAATCCTCTCACCCCACCCCCACACCTCTGGCCTGTACCCCAGTTCTTGCATGCATAAATAAATCTTAAAAAAAAAAAAAAAGCACAGAGCTTTTATCCAACAGGGAACAAACTCCAAAGGATTCACATAACTCATTCTCCTAAATTATCCAACAAAATCCTTTAATTCTGTATTTTGATTTGTGAATGCATATATAGAACTTTAATGGTATATGTAAAGCTTGATTCTCCTTAAAAACAAGCCTACTGCTATGGACTGCATTGCATTGCCACAAAATTCAATGTGTAAATCTAACACACAGTATGACTACTGGAATTTTCTTTGAGGAGATAATGTAATAACCTTTAAGATTAAATGAAGTCATATGGGTGAAACCATTGATCTGCTGGGATTAATGTCCTTCTAAGAAGAAACACTAGAAAGCTCTTTCCTCTTTCTTGTCCCATACCCCTCCCCCTCAGCCTTCTGTTTCCTTCTTCCCCACCTCCCTTCAGGAGCACAAAGATAACATGAGCATACTGCAGAGGGCAGCAACTGTCTTCCAGGCAAGAGAAGAGGCCTCAGAATGAAACTTACCTGGCTGCACCTTGATCTTAGACTTACGCACCTCTGAAACTTGAGAAACAAATGCCTGTTAAGTCATCCAGTCTATGGCATTTTGATATGGCAGCTCAAGCTAAGAAACTTACATAGTCTTGAGATATACATAAAATTTTATGTGCTTTATTTTATTCCTCAATTAAAAAAAAATCCCTAAAGATATTTATGCTTGGTACTGTAAATACTGCTTGCTATTTCATGTTATTTAAGGGAAATATAGCTATAGCTATATTTATTAATATGCAGGATGTCTGCAACATATCATTAAGTGAAGATGCATCTTGAAGAAAACTAGCAAACCATTTCATTTTAAATACATATGTAATATACATTTAAAATCCGGCCCAGGGCCTCCCTGGTGGTGGAAGAGGGTGAACACCGCACTGTGAGGCAGTCCACAGCCTCTGCAGCAAGAGTTTGATCCCTGGCCAGCCAGGGAGCTACCCACATGGCACAGCACCTCTCCTGTCTCGCCCACTGCTCCCCTCAGCAGTGTATTTCAGTCAGTCTGCCTGTTCTGTTCCCCACTCTGTCTCTGGTGAATCATCTCACCCCCCGCATCTCTGGCCTGTACCCCAGCTCTTGTATGCATAAATAGATAAAATAAATCTTTAAAAAAAATAAAAAATAAAATCCTAAAATCCAGCCCAAAGTGATGCAAATTCACAAAAGAAAAGTTCCCTTGAACTATAGTTATCAAAGTCACTAACGTGGGCCCTCCCTGGTGGCGCAAGGGGTCAGGATGCACCCTATATGAAGCTATCTGCAGCCATTGCGGCACAAGTTCAGGCGGGGGCCAGGGAGCTACCCACATGGCACAGCAGACCTCTCCTTTCTCCCCACTGCTTCCGTCAGCAGTGTATTTCAGTCAGTCCACCTGTTCTGCTCCCCATTCTGTCTCTGGTGAATCCTCTCACCCCTGACCCCTCTGGTCTGTACCCCAGTTCTTGCATACACAAATAAATAAATGTTAAAAAAAAAAAGTCACTGACATTTCAGAAGACTGGAGCAATGTAAAATCCAAACTGAGTCAGAAGTCTTTGAGGGTCTTCCCAGTGGCGCAGCAGGTTGAGCATAGCGCTGTGAGGCCATCCATAGCCCCCACGCCAGTGCGCTGGTTCTATTCCTGGCTGGCGCAGCAGACCTCTCCTGTCATGTCCACTGCTTTTCTCAGCAGTGTATTTCAGTCAGTCTGCCTGTTCTATTCCCTACTCCGTCTCTGGTTAATCCTCTCACCCTCCCACACCTCTGTCCTGTACCCCAGTTCTTGTATGCATAAATAAATAAATCTTTAAAAAAAAAAGTATTTGAGAGGAGACCTGTCCATCAGCTACAGATGGGAAATTAGGCACTAAAAGAAGAAATCAGAGGAGTGCAAAGATTACAGATATTGACCCATGTCCCCAAACACTGACCACAGCCTGGCTGCATAGATGCTGCTCCTTAAAACCTTGGATGAACGTGACTGACCCCATTTTTTCCTAGGAATTTACCCCAAAATTTTTCTATTTAGTTCTTTGACATTTCATACTCTGATTTACGTAGAACATATTCTCTACTTAAATGTTAATTAAAGACACCAGACAACAAAAAGATAAAGTCTAGAGGAAGTGTAGGTAATCTTTATTTTCTTTATTATAGTATTCTGAATTTTCTGAAGTTTTGTGATGAATATTGTTGTAAACAAGAACACTATAGAAGAAAAAAAAATCACTTAATGTTTACTATAAGACCTTATGGGAGTTGTTATTATTGAATCCTTTTGTGAAGCTAAATAACTCCTACTTTCAGAGTGTGATATATTACAAGATAAAAATTTCCAGAAATAGTAATAAAAAGATTCATTCTAGGGGGGTGGAGGGGAAAGGAAGGATTAGGGTCAAAATAAGGGGGGGTGCAATTGTATGGGGAATATAACCAAAATGAAAATGCATACATTGTGCAAAAATGAAAAATGATGTAAGAATTGTATAAAATAAAATATTAAAAAAAGATTGATTCTATAGGGGAAAAAATAGCACTGTGATTAAATTAGCAACATGAGGTACCACATCTAAGATATATCGCACTATAAAGTCCATTATAAACAGTTTCTTCACTGAATGAATGTATGATCAGTTTTGAGAAACTAAATGATCTGTGTCCCCCCTCCTCCAACTTGAAGCAAGCCAAAACAGCAAAACATATAGTACCAGTTTTCTGATTTACTTAGAGCAAACTCAGCCCAAATCCCAAAGGAGTAGGGAATGGGGATTTTCACTCATTTGTTTTGTTTTTTTATCCCTACAATACCACCTGGTTGTTTTCAAAATTCTGACACTCTTGTGACTGTAGTAATGAAAGGTTGCTTTGCGTCTCTCAACAGGGATGTGCCTGTATTCCACATTAACAAATTGTCCATTAAAGCTTTCCTCAGAGAAGCAGAAGAGCACCAGGCCTTCCTCAGCCCTGGACATTTTGGGGACAGCCAGAGCACTCTGTTTCATGCTAAGTTAAAACTTTTGGTCCCATCTGGGAAATTTTCACAAACCTAGAAAGCAAGATAAAATCCCAGCACACAAGTCATAACACACTCCAATTCATAGCACACTGTGCACTTGGTTTTTCTGGTTCCCTGGAGCGTAGGCGCTTTTATATTTTTTTTAACGATTTATTTATTTATGGATACAAGAGCTGGGGTACAGGCCAGAGGTGTGGGGGGGGGGTGTGAGAGGATTCACCAGAGACAGAGCGGGGACCAGAACAGGCAGATTGAATTAAACTGCTGAAGGGAGCAGCGGGCAAGTCAGAAGTCTGCTGCGCCATGTGGGTTGCTCCCTGGCCAGCCTGCAGGGAGGCGCCTGGAGTTCAGGCTCTTGACCACACGTTGAGACATCCTAAAATGTAAAGATTAGCAACTGTTTGGGATCTCAATCAGATATATTTCACTATAGAATGGGTGGAAACGGCACTTATTTAATAATTTGATACAAAAGTCAAGCTCTCAATAGGTGGAAAAGAAACACCAAAAATAAAGAGTATTCTATTTATATTCTTTTAAACTATTTTCCCTGAGAAAGGCAGAATATGAAGGATGAAAAGACAGCTTTCTTATTTTCATGTATTCATACTGGTTCTCAAATTTTTCTTAGCTTGGAAAAAATACTAAGACATGTGCCACCTGCTGGCACTACTCAACCTGAATCTCTCAAATAATTTTCAGTCAGATTTTTAAGAGGTCTTAAAGGTCAATCTACTAATTTCTCTTTGTTCTAAAAAAAAAAAAAAAAAGCAAACTAGAATTAGCCTATGTTGAAGACAAGCTTTGTTAACAAGGTCACTTAGTGTCATCTCCTACAACTTCTTGGTAATTTCATCTCTCGTACATTTATCACCCTAGATTTCATGCTATTTTTCTCAAATCATTTACTTTGATTTTGAGAGTACATTCCCAAAGTTTCATTTTGATAATTTTTTCCCTATAATTTTCTCCTAGGAGTAGTCGTCAGTTTTAAACATAAAAGTGTTTTCCAAATTAGATACAATGTGGTCTACATCATGGAATACAATGTAATCTATACTGTATGTTCACAGACATATTTTTATTTTTTCCCTTTTCAATATGAACATTTCAAACATTAAAAAATGAGGGGACAGTATAATAAATCCCCATGCACCCATTATGAATTCTTAACAGTTATCAACTGTTTTACCCACCCTCCTCTCTATTCCATGGAATTATTTTGAAGCATATACCAGACATATATTTTCATCTGCAAATACTGATTTCCCTGATTGTGTCAATTTTTTTTCTTTTCTTTTCAAAATTTATTTTTTGGTAGGTTCTTATCAGGATTCAAATAAGGTCTGTACATTGCAACCTGTTGCTATGTTTTTGATTTTGTTCAATCTCTAGGTTCCACACTCTTTTTTTTGTTTTTTTCCTTGCAATATCTTTGTTGATGAAACCAATTCTCTGACTTAAGGATTATTGAAAATGGGCAAATTGTCACTTCACCTGCAAATTCTTGGAGTCCTCTGACCTCAGAAGGGACAGGGAGTGAGTGGCCAAGTTGAAAGCTGGAGAAAGGACAGTGGAGTATGCACAGCAAAAGCTTACTTGGGGCAAGGCAAAGCAAAATTTTTGTTTGAAGCAAAGCCGTAAAGCAGCACAGCTCCTGTTGCCAGGAGGGAACTCGAATGAATTGCCATTGATGGGGTTCAGGAGGCTGTTTTTATCTGTTGGAGTCTTGTGTTAGTATTTGTTCTCTCTTTTTGGGAGTCATATACTAGGGGGTAGTTTCGCGTATTTCTTTGCAGCTACTATCCACTTGGTCTAGGCAGACTAAGTCTTGCTGCCTAGACATCGTACCACCATCTCCTCTCAGCCCCTGCTTCCTTATCTCCCCATGCAGCTGTCTCCTGACCTTGGTCATTCCCTTACTCATTTTCACACAGGATAGATATTTCTAGACCTAAGTTGTAGTGTTTCCTCGTTCCTTTGTTCTCTGTGTTTCCTATAATTTGGTTTAGAAGTTTAATCAGATTCAGATTTAAATATTTTTGGCAAAACTACTTCATAGATGGAATAAATATATCCAAAGAAAGGTGTAAAACATTGAATTGTGTTTTTTAAAAATGATACTAGAAGCTCTTGACTGCTTATATCCATTATTTCATTAGAGCCTGCAAAAATGGTGATATTTTATCCTTCCATCTTCATTATTGGCAGAAGCCTTTATAAAAGAAACTTATTCTCATCAACTATTGTTTGCATTTGCTTTGTAATTTTTAGGTTTTTTTTTTTTTTTAAATAGAGGCATGTTTTATTTATTTATTTGTTTGTTTGTTTTGTTTGTACATGCACTGGGTACAGTCAGAAGCGCGGGAGGGTAAGAGAATTCACCAGAGCCAGAGCGGGGAGCAGAGCAGGCAGAAGGACCAAAGTACACTGCTGAAGGGAGCAGCGGGCGGCAGGAGAGGTCTGCGCGCCATGTGGGACCCTCCTCCGGTGGCCGGGGAGCAGCCGGGGAGGTGCTGCAGAGGCCGCGGGCAGCTTCGCAACCCAGCGCTCAACTGCTGCGCCACCGGGGAGGCCCTTTAGTTTTGTTTTTTTAAAGATTTATTTATCGGCTTCTCTGGTGGCGCAAGGGGTTAAGCACCGCACTATGAAGCTATCTGCAACCTCTGCAGCACGAGTTCGATCCCAGCCCGTCAGAGAGAAACCACATGGCACAGCAGACCTTTCCTGACTCACCCGCTGCTCCCTTCAGCAGTGTATTTCAGTCAATCTGCCTGTTCTGCTCCCCGCTCTGTCTCTGGTGAATCCTCTCACCCCCACACCTCTGACCTGTACCCCAGCTCTTGTACACATAAATAAATAAATCTTTAAAAAAATAATATCCCATTGTCTGGATGTACCATAGTTTATTTATCCAAGGAAAGGATTTTGAATCATCCACATAGATAATTGGAATCATTGCAGATGGATATTAGGAGTTGAAGTAGAAAGGAGGACTAATGTCCCTTGGCAAATAAATAAATGAAGGATAGTGACTAATAAGGAAAGGAGAGGAGACACAACTGATGGGCACAGAGTGAAAATAAATGTCCTTTTCCTTAAATGAAAGTGACATGTTATGATTTGGAGGGGGCAAGATGATGGAAAAAAATGTTAATTCTCCCCCCCACCCCATCAATATTATGTAAGGAGAGGAAGATGCAAAAAATCAAGGAGTGGGTAGTCCACTACAAGAAATTCTACTGAGAACTTAAGAAGACTATGGACTGAAAATAATCTTTGGATTTGGCTACTAGACAATCCTAACATGTAAGCTTCAGGAAGGCAAATATTTTTGCTTGTTAGAAGACTACTTTTCACATTGTGCTCATTGAAAAAATGGATTGGTGATAGTTCAGAGAATGTATTCAGAAGACAATTGGAGGCAGAAGCTAAATCTTAAGAAAAAAAGCGCTGCTGCTTTCCTAGAAGAAACTTATTTCTTGCTCATTTTCCATAGGGATTAAAAGTGGCACTTTTCTCCTTATAATGCTTCATGGTTTCCCATTGTGGCTTGATAAACAAAACCAAACCTTATTGCCTGCGATGACAAACTCTGCACAACCCGGCTAACATTTTCAGCAACTGTATGCCAATTTCCCGCTCACTCACCCCCCATTCTTGAAACTGAAGTTCACACCTCTTTTATTCTTTGATTGTGCCAATCTTGTTCCTGCATTGGAGCATTTGCATGTGGTTCCCTTTGCCTAGAATGTGCTGTACCAGCTTTTCACCTTAACTTCTCATTCTTTAGGTCTCTGTTCACATGAAATCATCTCTCCAGAGGCCTTCTAGATCATTTCTGAGCATCTGTTTTAAAGCAATCCTTTCTTCCACCTCAATTGCCTTCTACATGACCCTGCTTTATTTCTTTCATGGGACTTCCATAGTCTGGAATTATCTTGTTTATGTGTTTAATGTTTGTCTTTTCCCATTAGAATATAAGCTATATAATGAAGGGTAAAATGCAAATAATAGGGGGAATTACTAATGCATAAAAGTTCAGGTAAAGCAAAAGGAGATGGGATCAAGCCCTCAAAGGGAGCACGAAGTGCTGTTTCTTGGTACAAAATGAGAACAGGGAAGGACAAAGAGAGCAGAAACATTAGGGAATCTGAGGTATAATGCATTGTGCAATCTGATGAGTTCTTTTCCCATCAGACTTTAATTACATGGCTAAATTAGCTGTGGGAATAGCAGCAAACTACTTGATTTTACCCTGCCAGCTGGCTCTGCTGTGTACATGGGGTGGAGAAAATCCTTTTGCAGATTCTTTTCTCCTTGGCTCTAGCTGGCTTAGCAAGAGAACCAATGGCTCATATCATGTAAAAAAGCTTCAGGAACTGTTCAAGTCTTTACAGATACTGTTAGTGGTATTTCACTGTGTGATCTAAAGGAGATACACCCTATCTAAAGAAATAGAATGGAACATCAGGGTGGAGTTCTAGCATGCCCCTAAAGGGGCTTTTTTTTTTTTTTAAGATTTTATTTATACAAGAGCTGGGGTACAGGCCAGATGCGCAGGAGGGTGAGAGTATTCACCAGAGACAGAGCAGGGAGCAGAACAGGCAGAATGGCTGAAATACACTGCTGAGGGGAGCAGCAGGTGAGACAGGAGAGGTCTGGCGCACCATGTGGGATTCTGGCTGGCAGGGATTGAACCTGCTCTGCAGAGGCTGCGGACAGGTTCACAGTGCAGTGCTCAACCACCTGTGTATATATGTACATTTTCCCTCCATGGACTTAGGAATGACTAAGCATTCTATTCACATAAACCTGTTGTGAAACAGGTAACAGCAATGTTATTAAAACTCCACTCTCTGTTGAAAGGTGAAAATAAGATTTGCTCCCGACTACGCAGGAAGCCAGTAATAAAATTACAGCCCTTGGTTAATCCAGGTTTTCTGATTGTGCATGCCTTACATTTTTTCTACGTTCTAAGGTTCAGTTTGACAACTACCAGTAACACAATTGATATTCTTCAATCTCCCACCTTTCCTCACACTCCCAACTAGTGTAGAAAACCAAGGTATGTGTGCATCAAGTATGTTCTGGCATGTGAAAGTCAGAAGGGAAAAATATTAAATATGACTCTTTATAACTCCCCACTTCCCAGTGTTTGGCATCATAGGTTTCCTTTGATCTGCAGGGAGATCCTGGAGAGGTTGTGGGAAGCAGGAGATGCTGGCAGTGGTGGCAAGCAACCAAATGCAAATGAAGAATCAGCACAGGCCACCTGAGTCAGGGGTGGGAAGCCATGGTGAAGATCTAGCAGCTATCCCAGAAAGTGGAGACACTCAATTTGTATTAATTAAGTGTGTGTCTGGATTTGGCCCATAGGAAATTTTCATTAGAGATAAAGTTTATTTATCGCCCAGATATTTACAGTTGGTCCTGTACTTCCCCCTTCTCTTTTTCTTTTTTTGATTAGTCATTTTGAAGTTATGCAACTTGTGCAGTTTGAGATGAGGCATAGTGGCTTGAACTAGCTGAGATACATTCCTAAAAAGTTCTTCTTGTGAAAGTCAAGGGATGGCCTGACAGCAGCACTGATGGAGTTTTAGTTCTTCCCAGGATTAAATCTTTACTTCTGAGGATGTAGATAAAGTGGAAGTCAAAGTGTATCCAGTAATCAGTAATGTCATGATGAGCAAACAGCGAGTATGGATTCATGGAAATGGTTAGTTATGAGGGTGCTGTGAACAGGTACTTCTCGGCCTCTACTCTGTTATCTACCCGTTCAAGTGCAACTCAGCCTCCTTTCCCATGCAGCCGTCCGTCCTTGCCTATTTCCTCACTAGTAGTTAGGGGAGGCTAGTTTCTATCAGAACATGTAGGCCCCCTTAAAACTCCCCCCTTTAAAAAGTCTCTTTCTCATTTTAAAATACTCCTGTGACACTCTCTCATGTCAGATCAACTCAGGCAGAGTATATAAAAAAACATTTCAAATAAGCCCTAGTCCAGCTCTGATTACAGTCCATTAAATGTAATTTTGCATCAATTACTCCGAGGTCTCATAAATATGCACAATTTATACCTAGAACAAGCATAGGTACGTTTATGCACCTAATGTTCATGTACTTCTTAAAATTAAACCTACATTGTATGCTTGTTCTTGTTATTGATGTATTCGTGTCTTTCGAGCTTTTCTAGACACTTTTATTACTATGCTATCTTTTATGTCCCAGAGTTGGAAGTTCTGATAGAAGAAGGCTTCTCTTAGAATCTAAATTGGGGGGACTGGGGAGGAGGGTAAGGAAAACAAGCTCGTCCCACATCAAGAATATAGTCTGTGTCGGGAACCGTTTAAATTCAGAAGTGGAGAAAGATGCAAAAAAAAAAAAAAAAAGTCTGATCCGAAATAACTATTATCTAAGGCCGCAAATCAAACAGTACCGGTGTTGTCCTGGGGACCACCCTGTTACAGTGTCTCATGAGGGACTAAGGTGCTTGAGTCCCACGGGTGGGGAGTTTTTGGTAGCAGGGCGTGGGGCCCAACACTTCCCCTTCCCCCGCGCCCCCACCGTCCCCGGGGGCGCCCCTAGCCTGCCAGCTCCCCTGGCGACCCCGACCCTTTGGCCTCTACACCCAGCCAACCACTCCGCCCCCGACCCCCCGGCGCCCAGCCTGGGGGCGCCCCGCGCATGCGCACCCCGCCCAGCTCGAGGGGGCGGGTCCTGGCTGCCATCTTGCGGCGCGCGGGAGCCGCCGCTGCTCACCGAGAGGCTGGGCGCTCGCTGAGGGCGTCTTCCTCGGACCCGGTTCCTTACCTTTGCCAGCCCTGCCCGGTCCCAAATCGAGCCCAGTGAACTGGCCCGTCCCCCGCGGCCCGACTCTCAGCAGCCCCTGGTCCCAGTGCCCACCCCGGCGACACGGAGCGGCCGGGCGCCGCGCCCCCCCGACGACCGCGATGCCGAACGTGCAGCTGCCGCCCAAGGAGAGCAACCTCTTCAAACGCATCTTGGTGAGTGGCGGGGGGCCGCCCGCTGCCCCGGGGCGCCCCGGGCCGGCTGCGGACCGCGCTCTGGCGGCGGCGCCTGCGTGGGCCGGGCTCGGCTCTGGCTCGGTTCTTTGTTTATCTCGGAGCCCGCGAGGCCGGCCTCCTCGCCGCGGCGGGGCCCCCTGGCTCTCGGAGGCCGCCCGGGGCTGCGGTCCGCGCGCTCCCGCTCCCGCCCCTGCCCGCCTCGCCCCCGCCGCGCTTTCTAGAAACTTCACCCCGCCCTGCGCAGTCACCGTGGGCCCGGGCGCGGCGGCCGGGGCGGGGGTCCCCGCGCCCTCCGCGGCGCCTCGCGGCCCCCGGGACCCTCCCCCTCCGACACCCCCCCTCCCCGCCCGGGTGATCGCTTTTGCCTGCTTCTCCGTGGAGCTGGTGGCTCTGTGCTTAATCGCTTGCACAGCGCGTTCCGATGCCTGTTAAAGTGGGAGCGATCCCGAAGTGGGCCGGGGCGGGGGTCGTGCTGGGAACTCCTGGAAATGACTGGGAAGTCGAGGGGCCCAGCCCTCCGTGGAGAGCGCTCGTTTGGTGTCACCTGACTCTCTCTCTCGGGCTAGCACGGGGAACGCGAGCTGCCTTTTGCTTTTCTGAGTTTCAAAGTTGAACGCATCTGTTTTAACTCACAAAGGCCCTCCCTGCATTGAGTACACGATTAAAGCCGCACAGAAATGGCTAGTTTTGCCCTTGAGAGGGGCACTTGGTTGCAAAGTAGAAACCTGAATAATGGGCCGGTGGTGATGAGTGAGAAGTGAGTTTTCTGTAGATGTGTGTCAGCGTCCTTCACGGTTTTCCAGATTATGATTTTCTGGGAGGAGAGGCAACGTTTCTTTCCTTTCTTCTGTATGTTCTGGGAGGTGGGTGGGGAGGCGGCATTGATTTTTAACGGTATTTTTAAAATAAGGATTTTAATTTAGGAGTGTGCTGCAGAAGTGAATGATTTTATCATCTCGCAGCTACAATAAATGTGGGTAAAATTGTGATAGAATAAAAAAGTTTTATGGGACCGTTGCCCTTTGCCACCTGCAGTAAATGTTCCATTATTATCAGTGTATACATCCGTACCAGTTTACCAGGTAGCCTATCTTGTTCTTCATGGCCTTTATTTTCTTGTCTTGTTAGATATAAATTACCTTTTTTTTAAAATTAACTTTTCAACTGAAAACTCGCGTTTAATTTTTTTTAAAGATTTATTTATTTATGCATACAAGAGCATAAAGGGTTTATTCTTCAGAGCTTGTGGTGGTTCTATGACCAGCACTTTATAAATAAAAAGAGTAGAATAGAATAGTCTTAAGTTATCAAAGACAGATAAAATTTCATAATAGCTGCTCTACTTCCAGCCAGTAGAAATTTCCTATTCCAGAATGTTTTTAAAAAGATGCAGAGTAGATAGGATGAAAATTTTAAGTCTTAATTTTACATGGTGTCTAATGTTGCCCAAATGGGAGACCAGTGTAAAAACAAAGTTCTAATTAAAGCATTGTGGTGGTAGTTTGCTTCACTGAGCTTTGTATCTTTTTTTCTTATTTTACTTTCATTTTTTCATACTGTTATATTTTTCACAGTATGGAATTGGGGAAGTGAACTTTTTTGCCCCTGTTAAATTTTTTTCTTTTTCCTTTTTCTTTTGGTGTATTTAGTGAATCTGAAACATGTTAATGAAAAATCGTCAATAAATTGTTAGCTGGATTTCAGCTAACATTTGGCAATTTGCCTTATGCCTAAAAGGTGGCAGAATACTTATTCTCATATAGATAGTCTAAGTCAAATCATGTTTTTAGTAACATAAAGAAAAACAATTTATATTAGTTAGAAAAAGGTAAAGCTGCAGCTGAGTTACCCTTATATTCAAATAAATTGGGAAATGGTAAAATTTCCTTATCCATATATAAAATGTTATAAGGTTCTACAAAAGTGAATGAGTTTATCGTTTTACAGTTGCAACAAATGTGGGTAAGTTTTTGGTATAAAAAATTCTATGGCGGGCCTCCCCGGTGGCGCAGCGGTTGAGCGCTGGGTTGCGAAGCTGCCCGCAGCCTCTGCAGCACCGGTTCGATCCCCGGCTGCTCCCCGGCCACCGGAGGAGGGTCCCACATGGCGCGCAGACCTCTCCTGCCGCCCGCTGCTCCCCTCAGCAGTGTACCTCGGTCCTTCTGCCTGCTCTGCTCCCCGCTCTGGCTCTAGTGAATTCTCTCACCCTCCCGCGCTTCTGACTGTACCCAGTGCTTGTATAAATAAATAAATAAATCTTAAAAAAAAAATTAAAAAAAAAAATTCTATGGCAAAAAAGATTCTATAATGAAATTATTTTTTTGTTTAGTGGACTACCAATAGTAAATTAAAGAAATACAAATACTCAAATATATATTCAAACACATCTATACGTATTTAGCAGCTAGTTTATCACATCTTCTTGACTTATACCTGCTTGTCTTATTCCCCAAACTAATATTAACATTGCCTTTTATTGACTTTTGGAGTCACTGTATGCCCTCTTTTTTTTTTTTTTTTTTAACTTCCCTGTTGATTTCTATTTGTTTTTAAATTTTTAAACGTAGTACTTTTTTTTTTTTTTCTTATATTGTTGTTGGTTTTTGGACAATATATTATTTCTTTCCTCAGGTGTGGTTACTATAGATCTCCCACCACCAGAGTACCCATAGTCCATCACCATATTCCATTGTGCTCTTCTCTCTCTGTCTGTCTCTCTTTCTCTGTGACATCATTTTCACCCCTCCTCTTTCCCTTCCTCTCCTGGATGTCTCATATCTGTCTATGGTCAGCTTCCAAGTTTTGTTTTTGACCCTTGGTTTGGATTTTCTGTATTTCACATATAAATGAAACCATCTGATTTTTTTTTTCCTGAAGATATTTATGCAAAGAAGAATTGGGGTGTAGCCTTGAAGTTTGGGGGGTGAGAGGATTCACCAGAGACAGCGGGGAGCAGAACTGGCAGATCTACCAAAATACCGTGCTGGGGGGCAGTGGGCAAAACAGAGATCTGCTGCACCATTTGTGGGTTAGCTCCCTAGCACCATATGTGGGATTGAACTCAGGTGCAATGGTAATGGTGCTGAGACTTAACCCTTCTGCCATCAGGGAGGCCCTTGATATTTATCTTTTTCCTTCAAACTTATTCTTGCTTAGCATCATCTTTTTCAGTTCTATCCATGTTGCCACAAATTACATGAGTTTACCTTTTTTTGATTACTGAGTAGTAGTCCATCATGTGTATCATGTATCTATATCAGATCTTCTTGATCCATTCATCTCTTTTGGGAGATTTAGGTTTCCATATCTTGGCTGTTGTAAATAGTGCTGCAATAAACATAGGAGAGCAGGTTTTCTTTCAGATTAGTGTTTTTGTGTTCTCTGGGTAGATTTCTAGGAGTGCAACAACTGGAACTTATTGCAGATGCATTTCTAGGGTTTTGAGGAACCTACACAAAGCTTTCCATAGTGGCTGGACTAGTTTACATTTCCACCAGCAGTGAGTGTGGATTCCTTTTTCTGCATATCCTATTCCAGCATTTGTTGTTTCTGAGTTTTGTTTTTTTTTTTAATATGGGCCATTCTCAACTGTGTGAGGTGTTATCTTATTGTGTTTTTTTTTTTAAGATTTATTTATTTTATTTATACAAGCACTGGGTACAGTCAGAAGCGCGGGAGGGTGAGAGAATTCACCAGAGCCAGAGCAGGGAGCAGAGCAGGCAGAAGGACCGAAGTACACTGCTGAGGGGAGCAGCGGGCGGCAGGAGAGGTCTGTGCGCTATGTGGGACCCTCCTCCAGTGGCCGGGGAGCAGCCAGGGATCGAATTGGCTTTGCAGAGGCTGCGGGCAGCTTCGCAGCTTCGCAGCTCAACCGCTGCTGTGCCACCGGGGAGGCCCTTATTGTGGTTTTAATTTTCATCTCCCTGATAACAAGTGATGGTGAGTTCATATGCCTCTTGACCATTTGCATTTCTTTGGAGAAGTGTCTATTTAGCTCTTCTGTCCATTTTGTTTTTGGTGATTTGTTTTGTTTTTGTTGAGTTGTGTGAGCTCTTTGTACATCTTTGATATCAACTCCTTGTCAGATGTGTTTTACTCTCTATGGATGAGATGATCAGACCTAAGTATGTTAAATGACTAAGTGTTTAAGTTTCTTTAGTTAGTATTAAAGTTGTGATTAGAATATATTATTTCTAGTAAGTATATATTTATTACTAAACCTAAGACTTTAACCTGAGAACTTGGATGTTGGAGACAGGCTGCTTGTGTTTGAATTTTGGCTCTGAATCTGTCAGTTCAATAACTCTGCCTCAGTATCTCTATCTGAAATTGAGATAACATGTATCTAAAAGGCTTTCCTGGGTTTAAGTAAGGATTAACTAAAAACAGTGTCTGGCACATAGTAAATGCTTCCAATAACATCTAGCTATATTTATTACTGCTATTAATAGTATGCCTATTACTTCCAGACCACTTGATAAATCAGGAAATTTTTTCCCCCTTATTGTCCTCATCCTTATTACTTCTGCTTGATTCTTCTTGTCTTTTGTCATTTGAATTTCTATTGTCAAACTCAGTTACTTTTTATTTTTAAGTATTTTCGGAATAGGTAAAATATTTGCATTGTTGAATATTTATATTTCTCTATTATTCTTGTCTCCCAACCATTAAATTCCTTTCCACAGAGTCAGTCAAGAAACCTCAACTTAGTATGGCATGGTGACTGTAGTTAAAACTAATATATTGCACATTTGAAAGTTAAGCGAATAGATCTTAAAAGTTCTTGTCACAAGAAAAAAATTTTTTTTGAGTTACATGGTAGTGATGGGTGAAGACTTATTGTAATGATTATTTCACATTATATGCAAATATCAAATCATTATGTGGTGCACTTGAAACTGATAGTGATGTCAGTTACACTTAAAAAGGCATCTATGTTTTTTCCCAGGACACTTTTATAATTCTTTCCTTTATATTCCAACCTATTGCAAAGGTTAATTATTTCTTCCTCCTTTGCTGTTTCGCTTTGAACCTAGTAGTAGGTATTTCTTGAGCAGCGCTTATTTGTCTAGACCCTGGGCATGCGATATTGTTTAAAATAGTGAAGGAGACTTCTTGTGTGGTGGGGAAGATAGGCAGTTAAACAAGTAATCAAATAAGTAAGAGTTTCAGGGCATGATGGTTCTGTGTGGAGACTAAAATTAATTAATGTGATAAAATGTGTGTAGGGGGTGCAGGGCAGGAGGATGGCAATATTAGGGAGATCATGTAGGTGACATGTGAAACTGATGACAAGGAATGAGCTGTGGGAAAATCAGGGGAAGAACCCTTTAGGATGAAGGGATATAATTACAGAAACCTTGAGGTGGGAATAAACTTGGCATGTTGAGTAGTAGAAAGAATGCCCATAACAACATTAAGTGAGAAGAGAATGGAAGATGAGAAATTTTTGTGATCAATAGCTGTGGAGGACAGGAATTGATTCCTTAACCTGGTTGGTGGCATATAGGAATAAAGATGTTGCTACACTTGTATTATCAACAGAATAGTGAAGGAAAGACCCTGGTCTTTGGAGTCAGACCAGAGTTTGCATTAAACTGAGCCACTTATTTATTTTTTTTTTTTTTAAAAGATTTATTTATTTATTTATACATGCACTGGGTACAGTCAGAAGCGCGGGAGGGTGAGAGAACTCACCAGAGCCAAAGCGGGGAGCAGAGCAGGCAGAAGGACCAAAGTACACTGCTGAGGGGAGCAGCGGGTGGCAGGAGAGGTCTGCGTGTGTGGGACCCTCCTCCGGTGGCCGGGGAGCAGCTGGGTATCCAACCAGCGCCACAGAGGCTACAGGCAGCCTCACAATCCAGCGCTCAACCGCTGCGCCACCGGGGAGGCCCTGAGCCATTTATCAACATGTTTTATGAGCTCAGAGTTTTAGTCTGCACATGTATAAGGTGGAGATTTGAGATGTATCTTAAATAATAGTTATGGGAATTAAATTAGATAGAACTAGTTTCATACAGATACATAGTTGGTCAAGAAATGACAAAAATTTTTTGATGTATGCTCTGGTTCTATTCTTGAAATAGCAAAGTTTTTTATGCAGTTTCTATTATTTTTCTGTTATCACCTGTGGTTTTGCTTTTACATTAAAAAATCTAGTAGTATTGGGGCCTCCCTGGTGGCGCAGCGGTTGAGTGCTGGGTTGCGAAGCTGCCCGCAGCCTCTGCAGCACCGGTTCCATCCCCAGCTGCTCCCCGGCCACCGGAGGAGGGTCCCACATGATGCACAGACCTCTCCTGCCGCCCGCTGCTTCCCTCAGCAGTGTACTTCGGTCCTTCTGCCTGCTCTGCTCCCTGCTCTCTCTGGCTCTGGTGAATTCTCTCACCCTTCCGCGCTTCTGACTGTACCCAGTGCTTGTATGTATAAATTAAAAAATATATCTTTAAAAAAAAAATCTAGTAGTATTGGTTGACTATTAAATTCTCTTTATTAAATCCTCCTTGTCTCCTCTGAAAGTGGAAATACTTAAGATACTAGAACAATCTGGCAAGCAGTAGCAGGTAGCAAAAGTACACTTCGTGTTACAAGTGATACAAATTGACAGAAAAACTTTCCGTCACATGGGTTTTAGATCTAGTTTTGGACCTTGAGTTTAGTATTTATATGATGCAGCAAAAGTGCCTGATATATATTCAGTTTATACTAATTTTTTGTTCATATTTCTTTACAGAAATGTTACGAACAGAAGCAATACAAAAATGGCCTCAAGTTTTGCAAGATGATTCTTTCAAACCCAAAATTTACTGAACATGGAGGTAGTGTCTCATCTGTGAGAGTTTGCTATGAAGAAAATAATTCTAAAAGTTGATATATGGGATTGCTAACAGTAAAGAATATTAGCCAGATTCCATGACCTTGTGGCTCTCTATTGTAAATGTTCAGCAATTTTATTTATACCTCATAGGAGTCTTATTTATGTTATTTTTATTATGCTTAGTTATACATAATCTTATAGGTGAGAAGTGCTTGATTCATCTGTAGGGACAATTGGATGAGGTTTATACCAGTATTTTCAGAGACCTGAATTGACCTATTACTTTGAATAGATCTCACATTTATCCTTTGGTATTCTATGTAAGAAATAAGGACAGTCATTTCGATACATAGGTAGTATAAAATATGATTAAATACACTTTATTCTTTGGTTGTCCTTTTTTTTTTTTTAAAGATTTATTTACTTATATAAGAACTGTGGTACAGGTCAGATGTGTGGGAGGGTGAATGGATTCACCAGAGACAGAGCAGGGAACAGAACAGGCAGACTGAAATACACTGCTGAGGGGAGCAGTGGGCGAGACAGGGGAGGTCTGCCCCACACCATGTGGGTATCTCCTCAGCCGGCTGGGATCGAACCTGCAGTGCAAAGGCTTCAGATAGCTTCACAGCGCTGTTCTCAACTGCCTGTGCCACCAGGGAGGCCTGGTTGTCCTTTTTCATGTGTCTGCTCAGCTATATAAATATGATAGTGTTTATTTGCCATTAGATTATATATTTTTCTTGAACTGTTTTCTAGCACTGGTATTATTAAATGAATATTTTCCTATCTCATCCATTTTTCCATCGGTGACCAGTGCTTGTTGAAAGGATAGATCAGGTTAGACATTCAAGTTATGATCCTATAGCTGTGCAAAGCTAATTGGGGTTTCTGAATGTTAGACTTGGGTAATTCTTCAGACCATTCTATTAGGAGAATAGGCTCACCCTAGTCCACTTTCTAATAACATTTAAAACACTCTTTAAAGAAAATGGAAAGAAGTCTTCATCTTACAGAATTTTAGAAATTAAAAGCTGTTTTTAAAAGCTTTTTAGCCATAGAGTCCCTATCCAAATGGGACCTTTTGTTAAACTCATTATTTAAAAACAGTTAAGATGTTAGGAGCTGGACCAGTGGACACCATTTTGAAAACCAGAGATCAGTTTGGAAACCATTACTCTATTCTCATTCCCCTCTTGTGAATTTTTCAGAGGATTATTTCATTCTAAATCATTTTTCATTAAACATTCTTCTGTTGCCACCCCCATAGTCCAGTGTTTTACTCCTAAGATGCAAACTGATATTAATTAACCTAAGTTGAATTAGTTTGAGTAAATTTGCTGACAAAAATGAAATCTGTTACAGGTTTCCTCCCCTATCTGAAAGCAGAATGTTGTTCTTATTTGGTATGATTTGTTAGGTTATTTTTTAGATCTGGGGACTCTTAAGAAATTTTTCATATAAATTAATAGTAATAGCATTCCCAGACCCCCAAGATAACCCACCAAATGATGCCAGATAGGAATGTTTTACTTTCGGTTACCAGGAAACTTGTTGTGAATAGGGTGATTTTTAAGTTGCGTACATGTCTTAAGGTAAGTTAAGGTAAATTGTTTTTGTGCAGTGTAAATCAGATGATGATTTTATTAGATTGATACCAGGTGAAAGCTCTGGAATTACTGCACTAGATTTGACTACAGATTTTAGGTGCCTGCTGTTACAATTTTTCAACAGAATAATCTCAATTTCTTCATGAGTTAAAAAGCATTTCAACAACTCAGTCCTAGTCTAAGGAATTTCAGAAAAGGACTTCGGCTAGACTCTAAGCAAATGCTTGAACGTGGTTTTATGTTTCGTATTTGGAGAGATGTTCTGACTATATAATTTAAAAAAATGACTCTCATAAGCATTGGCAAATCTCAAATATTAAAATAGTGCTAGAGAATAATTTATGTCTTTAACATGTGTAAATAGCGGTTGAAATATTTTTTCAGAGACTTTGGCTATGAAAGGATTAACATTGAACTGTTTAGGAAAAAAAGAAGAAGCATATGAATTTGTTCGTAAAGGACTTCGTAATGATGTCAAGAGTCATGTTTGTATCCTTTTTACAGTAATTGAATAGTTTGATTTCACGTGTATATTTTTCACTTACTAGTTTTTCTAGTTCAAATTAAAAGGTAACATTTACTATGAAAAATTTCAAACCTACATAGAAAAGAAAATTTAATAAATTGTACCCATTACTTATCTTCAATAATTGTCAACATTGTGTAGTATAAAGTTTCGTCTGCTTGTTACTCTTGTTTGCTTGTTATTGAAATATTTTAAAAACAATCCATATATAGTATGTATATCTTTCAGTTGTGCTCAGTGTGAGGAAAAAGTAACTGATAAATTATATATGACTTGAAGCCCATTTTTTTTATGTATACATAAACTGAGTGATACTTTTATATCATTATGGATGATCATTTACCTGTTATAGTGAAATGTGTGTTCCTTAAACTTTCTCTTAGAAATTTTGGAAGAAAAATTCAGAAGAATCTTAACTTAAAATACTTTATATAGTATTAAGTATGATAATATATATTTTTAAAGATTTATTTATTTATGCATACAAGAGCTGGGGTACAGGCCACAGATAGGGGCGTGAGAGGATTCACCAGAGACAGAATGGGGAACAGAACAGGCAGACTGACTGAAATACACTGCTGAGGGGAGCAGCGGGCGAGTCAGGAGAGGTCTACTGTGCCATGTGGGTTGCTCCCTGGGCGGCCGGGGATTGAACCTGGGTGCTACAGAGGCTGCGGATTGCTTCATAGTACAGTGTTTAATCCCTTGTGCCACCAGGGAGGCACAAGTATGATATATTGATTCTTCGACTTAGTTTCTGTTACGTAGGGACATTGCTGTTACTGCAATAGAAACTTAGAATTGTGCTTGTAAAACACAAAAACTTAAGGATGGATCATTGAAGTTTATTTTTACTTCTGTTTTGCCTGTTTATCCATGATCTTTTCACATATTACCCTTAAATATCTTACTTTTTTTTACACTCATTTCATCGAATAACTGGCCAGTATTGACTAACAAGTCTGAGCAGAAACATTATTTAGCTTAGAGTTCACTCAAAACACTACTTATTTCTTCATCTCATTACTTACCTAGAGTGAAGAGAGGACATGTAAGTATGATAGTTTTTTTGGCTCCAGGATAGGCCAAGACATCAATTTATAATAAACAAAAATTTAATTTTTGTTGTCTTTACTATCACTAGTGAATTGATGGCTACATGTCATTTTAGAATTGATTGAATATAAATTTGTTTTAAAAGATAATTGCATATATCTGTTGATATGCAATATCTGTTTCTATACATAGTGATGAAGAATAAGTGAATGTTGAGGTCTTGGGTTAGAAAAGTGGGGGGGGGGCTCCCCGGTGGCGCAGCGGTTGAGCGCTGGGTTGCAAAGCTGCCTGCGGCCTCTGTGGCGCCGGTTTGATCCCTGGCTGCTCCCCGACCACCGGAAGAGGGTCCCGCATGGCGCGCAGACCTCTCCTGCCGCCCGCTGCTCCCCTCAGCAGTGTACTTCGGTCCTTCTGCCTGCCCTGCTCCCCACTCTGGCTCTGGTGAATTCTCTCACCCTCCCGCGCTTCTGACTGTACCCAGTGCATGTATAAACAAAAAACAAACAAACAAATAAATAAATAAAACATGCCTCTATTTAAAAAAAAAAAAAAGAAAAAAGAAAAGCGAGGGGGTAGAGGTTAGGAAATATGCAAAATTTTCAATAACTTTTTAATGTTACTTACAAATATTATGGATTTCCAGCATGTACACTAGCCTAAGAACCTTCAGGTGCTCATTTAGCATGTCAACTAACAATTTAACAATTGTCAATCAAGTTTGATCTGGTTTGATCTTATACCTACCCCCTCACTGTCGTGCTCCCTTTGACTCCAGGTCATTCTGAAGTAAATCTTAGACAAAATACCATTTTGTTAATGTGCACTTTATGTTAAATATGTAGCACAGTATATGCTAGTATCTGTGAATGTCTGTTTCCTTAACTTAATAGGTTGGCATGTATATGGACTCTTGCAGCGTTCTGATAAAAAATATGATGAAGCTATTAAGTGTTACAGAAATGCCCTCAAATTGGATAAAGATAATCTACAAATTTTGAGGGATCTCTCTCTGTTGCAGATCCAAATGAGAGACCTTGAAGGTTACCGAGTAAGTACTTTAGTCTATATGAATGTACATGTTTTTACAATAGATACAACTTAAGAGCATGTCAGTTCTGAATGAGATGAACATTAGCCACCATCATATGATTTTATTGTTCATTATAGTCTGTAGTAGAAGGGCAAAGTCACTTCGTACCTTCCCTCCAATGAAAGTTGTGGACCTGTATATTTGTCAGGAAAAGACAATTGTTTTTCATTTAATGCTTTAAAAAAACTAGAATATCTCCCATGTACAAAGTTCTAGATTCTCTGTGGGATTGACATTTACAAATTTGGTAAATAAGGCTTTTATAATTGAAATCTAAATGTATTGATAAGTTTTTTTTTTAATTATAGGTTAGTAAATATAAGGCAATGTGAAGATTGCCATGAATCAATCTTTCTGTTGTACAGACCTCTTCAACTCTGCTGGGCATCCCCTCTTAGTATCCTCATCGTATTCAGTGTGTCCAAAATGGAATTCTCTCCTTATATTAAGGAAGCCACCATTTCTTTGCAGTTCTCTTTAAATAAATCTTTACATTTTACTTTTGTTTTTTAACTGCTGTATATATCCTATGCCTTACACTTAGATTTTTGCAGAAACTTCAAGGGTTCTGAACTTAAAAATGTTATCTTTCTTTAGTACTTTATGGCTTTACTTTAGCAGTACTTAGCAGTCTGAGTATAGTGGGGGAGTTAAAGTCGATTATGAAAAAGGTAAAGAAATTAAGAATATTGGCAAGAGGGTGGTTAAGATAGTGAAATAAAAGAAGGAAGAGAGCAGGTGGTTAAAAATGAAGGACTCAAGGAGCTAGAGATACTGGTGATGTCAAAAAGGGTAGGAATATTTCCAGGTGAAAGTGTGGGCTGCATAGGAGCATGGCCAGAGGGTGAGGTGTTTGAATTTATGGTTTCTGGGTGGCATTAAGGTCAAGAGTTTGACTGTGGGGTTGGGGCCTTGATTCGGGATGGGAGGGATATCAGAAGATGAGAAAATCTTGACTCTAAGAAGATAGAGTAATTTACAGTGTTGAATTTACCCACAGTAATAGCAGGATTTGGTAGAGAGAATACTGATCCAGACTTTAAAGGAGGGTAGTGACAGAGAAGCAACAGTGAAAATATGGCACAAGAGTGACATAGCTTAATGTCCTAGTGTAAAAGGATCCGTACACTTAAACATGTGAGGGTAGAGGAGTCATACTGTCAAATTTGATTTGTTAAAGATATCTTTTTTCCCCTAAAAGATCTGATCACATTATTCCTTATGGCATATATTATAGATGGATTTACTTGGCACCCATTTCAACAACAGAATCATTAATACCAAACACTTTGTTTTTCAAGACTTGATTGTAGCTTGTATTCTTCATGAGACCCTGTTTAACCAAGCAGTTGCACTATGAATAAGTGGTGTCTATGTTGGGAGGTTGGATTTTTCTGCTAGTGAAGATTTCTTAATTCTTCTGAGGCAGCCATGGTAGAATTTCTGGTGTTTCCTCCCTAATGTCTCTAATGTCCCTAAGATGTTGAGCTTAGAATGGCAACATTAGTGCTTTTGCTAGAAAATTCCAGTTAGATATTTGTTTCCCTTGGCTGTGTCTACCCTGTCTCTGGGGCCAGTTTTAACGATGTAAATACACTGTAATGTCATATAATAATTTCATATAATAATAATTTCATATAATAATACACTGTAATTTTATATAATATCTTAGTGTCTCTTGTAAGATATTTAGTTACCAAAAGAAATTCATATTATATAAAGGTAACTTTTTGAAGCAGTCCAAAAGCATGGACCTCTGGGTCAGTTTTTCAGTGACAGTCTTACATGTATTCTAGAATTTAAAAATTTAGATAAGGAACATAAAAAGAATATCCATTCTTTTCTATAACTCATACTTGATCATTATTGTTTTATTAAGAATGATGAAATCTAAATATGTTGGAGAAAACTAAGGTTAAAAATTTCTTTTTTTAAGGAGACGAGGTATCAGCTTCTTCAGTTGCGTCCAACACAGCGGGCTTCCTGGATTGGATATGCTATTGCATACCATTTGCTGAAAGATTATGATATGGCACTAAAACTATTGGAAGAATTCAGACAAACTCAGCAAGTAAGAACTTCATTTTAATATTTTCTCCTACTGTCACAAACTAAAATAGTTGAGTTCTATATTGCTCCTACCTCCAAACAGGAGTTAAAATCAAAACCTATGGAAAAACTTAAAAAATTTGAAATAGTTGGAAAAAGTTAAAACAGAATTCTTTATACAAAATAAATTTTGTACACTACAATTTCAACAATATTCAAATTAATAAAGAGTACAGGGCCTCCCCGGTGGCGCAGCGGTTGAGCGCTGGGTTGCAAAGCTGCCCGCGGCCTCTGCAGCGCTGGTTCGATCCCCGGCTGCTTCCCGGCCACCGGAGGAGGGTCCCACATGGCACGCAGACCTCTCCTGCCGCCCGTTGCTCCCCTCAGCAGTGTACTTTGGTCCTTCTGCCTGCTTTGCTCCCCGCTCTGGCTCCGGTGAATTCTCTCACCCTCCCGCGCTTCTGACTGTACGCAGTGCATGTATAAACAAAACAAACAAACAAACAAATTAAAAAAAAAAATGCCTCTATAAAAAAAATAAAATAAAATAAAAAAAGTGTTACTCCCTTGCTCATTTAAAAAAAAAAGAATACAAAAAAATGAAAATAATTTTCTATGGAATTGTTTTTCTAATATATATTGCTTTATATATGTAGAACATTAGATTTATTTTAATAAATAACTTTAATGTTTGTAAATACAACAGTATAAAAATACATTGTATCATAAGAGAAATGAAGTAGATGTTAGCATTTTTCCATAATTGCTCCAGATTTTATTTTTATCTTTTTACTATTTAAGATTTATTTATGCATATAAGAGCTGGGGTATAGGCCAGAGGTACATGGGGTGGGGGTGAGAGGATTCACCAGAGACAGAGTGGGGACCAAAACAGGCAAATTTACTGAAATATACTGCTGAGGGGAGCAGTGGATGAGATAGAAGAGGTCTGATGCGCCATGTGGACTAGCTCCCTGGCCAGGGATCAAATTCGTGCCACAATGAATGCCGACAGCTTCTTCGTTGTGCTTAGATTTAACCCCTTGAGCCACCAGGGAGGCCCTCTAGATTTTGGGTTTTTTTTTTTTTTTTTTTTTTTAATTTTCTAGAGGCATGTCTTATTTATTTATTATTTGTTTGTTTGTTTGGTTTATACATGCACTGGGTACAGTCAGAAGCGCGGGAGGGTGAGAGAATTCACCAGAGCCAGAGCAGGGAGCAGAGCAGGCAGAAGGACCGAAGTACACTGCTGAAGGGAGCAGCGGGCGGCAGGAGAGGTCTGCACACCATGTGGGACCCTCCTCCGGTGGCCGGGGAGCAGCCGGGGATCGAACCGGCGCCCGCAGAGGCCGCGGGCAGCTTTGCAACCCAGCGCTCAACCGCTGCGCCACCGGGGAGGCCCTCTAGATTTTGTTTTTTAAAGAAATAAAATGTCACCTCCCAGGTACCTATTAGAGGTACCCCCCTATTAGAGCTACCCCCATTCTGAAATTGCTATGGATCATTCCTAGGCATATTTATATTATGTATAATTTCAATAAAAGTTATGAACTATTGTTTTGTGTACTTGCAGAGTTCTTTTAGGGAACTGTTTTGCCATGTCTTTGTTCTGCCCTCCAAGGTCAGCTTTATTAGATAAAAGTGCTGTCAGACAGCATCTTTCTCTGATTTATCTCACTTATTAACACGATGCCCTCAAGGGTCCATCCATACTTTGTTATGATTGAATAATATTTCACTGTGTGTATATATATTGGCTTTTCAGAGAAGTCATGACACATTTCTTTTTGAAAAACAAAAAAATACATCATGACTTCTGACAGCCTAATATATGTATGTGTATGTACATATATGTATGTCTATATACACACATATGCTGATAATATACCAAATCATGAGAGAGGAAGATCTGTTTCAGGGGTTTTGGAATATATAGAAACATGAAAGTATCAATAGTTTGCACACACACACCCCACCCACATCTTCATCTGTTGATGGACACTTAATTGTTTTCCATGTGTTGGCTATTGTGTATAATGCAATAGTGCAGATATCTTCCTCCCCCACCCCCCCAGTCTTTTGGGACTATTTACTTTCTTTGAAGACCTCTTAACACAAGTGACTACAAGTATTTTAGATGTAGGTTTGATTGAAATGGAGTGCTGATCAACCTTCTGTTAACCCCTTAATCTTGAGCCCTTTGTCTCTATTCCTCTGTACTTGTGTCAGAAATTTTACCTTCTGGGGGCTTTTGCAGGGCAGATTGTCACCCTCCACAACGATTTCCTCTTTATAACTACCCTAAACTTCTTCAGCTTTTATTTCATCACTTTTTTTTTTTTTAAGATTTATTTATTTATTTATACAAGCTCTGGGTACAATCAGAAACGCGGGAGGGTGAGAGAATCCACCGGAGCCAGAGCGGGGAGCAGAACAGGCAGAAGGACCGAAATACACTGCTGAGGGGAGCAGCGGGCGGCAGGAGAGGTCTGCGCGCCATGTGGGACCCTCCTCTGGTGGTCGGGGAGCAGCCGGGGATTGAAACGGCACTGCAGAGGCTGCGGGCAGCTTCGCAACCCAGCGCTCAACCACTGCGCCACCCGGGAGGCCCAAAATTTCACTCTTATCTTTAGGCCTAGGGAACTATTAATCTGCTTTCTGTCTCTCTAAATTTATCTTTCTTGGAAATTTCGAATAAATGCAATCAGATTGTAATGCTTTGTGTCAAGATTCTTTTATTCAGCAAGATTCTCTTATTCAGGGGCCTCCCTGGTGGCGCAGCGGTTGAGCGCTGGGTTGCGAAGCTGCCCGCAGCAGCGCCAATTCGATCCCCGGCTGCTCCCCGGCCACTGGAGGAGGGTCCCACATGGCGCGCAGACCTCTCCTGCCGCCCGCTGCTCCCCTCAGCGGTGTACTTTGGTCCTTCTGCCTGTTCTACTCCCCGCTCTGGTTCGGTGAATTCTCTCGCCCTCCCGCGCTTCTGACTGTACCCAGTGCTTGCATAAATAAATAAATAAATCTTTAAAAAAAAAAAAAAAAAGATTCTCTTATTCAGCATGTTTTTGAGTTTCATCTATATTAAAGCATACATTAGATCATTTGTTTTTAATGCTGAATACTGTTTCATTATATACTTTGTTTATCCATTCATCAACTGATAGACATTTGGATAGTTTTTAGTTTCAGAATTACATATAATGCTGCTATGAAGAGTTGTGTACTAGTTTTTGTGTGAACAATTGTTTTTATTTCTCTCTTGGTTAAAGCTCTAAAAATGAAATTACTTGGTTGTATGGTAAGTATATATTTACCTTTTTAATAAATTGCCCAGTTTTCCTAACTGGTGAATCATTTCACATTCCCATCAGCAATAGATGGAGGTTTCAGTCTTTGTCCATCTCCCAGCACATGTTATTGTTCATTTTTTGATGATAATCTTAGTAGGTGTGTAATATAACAGTTTTAATGGTATCTGCATTTTCCTAGCCACTGTGATAATGAACATTTTAAAAAATGTCTATGCATGTTTTGTGCTCATTTTTTAATTGGGTTATTTTTCTTACAGCTGAGTTGTAAGAGTTTCTTTTATAGTCTCAGTTTAACTTGCTTATCAGCTATCATTTAAAATTATTTTCTCCCACTTTGTAACTTATATTTTCATGTCATTAATAGTGTCTTTTAAAGAGGAAAATGTTTATAATTTTTTTTTTTTTTTAAATAGAGACATGTTTTTTATTTATTTTATTTATTTGTTTGTTTATACATGCACTGGGTACAGTCAGAAGCGCGGGAGGGTGAGAGAATTCACCAGAGCCAGAGCGGGGAGCAGAGCAGGCAGAAGGACCGAAGTACACTGCTGAGGGGAGCAGCGGGCGGCAGGAGAGGTCTGCGCGCCATGTGGGACCCTCCTCCGGTGGCCGGGGAGCAGCCGGGGATCGAACCTGCGTCGCAGAGGCTGCGGGCAGCTTCGCAACCCAGCGCTCAACCGCTGCGCCACTGGGGAGGCCCGAATATGTTTATAATTTTGATGAAGCCCAGTTTTTTATTTTATCGTAAAACTGCCTTGACACCTTTGTTGAAAACCAGTTGACCAGAATACAAGTGCTTATTTCTGGACCTTGTATTCTGTTCTGTTGATCTGAATGTCTATCCTAATGCCTATATGGTACTATATTGATTACTGTAGTTTTATATACATAGTACTGCCATCAATATAATGAATTTTGTGATCTATGAACCTAGAATGCCATCAATATAATATTGAATTTTGTGATCCATGAACCACTTGTTTAGATTTTTAATTTCTCCCAGCATGTTTTGTAGTTTTCAGTATATAGGTCTTATTTCTTAGATTTGTTCCTATATATATTGTTCTTTTTGACATGATTTCATTTTCAGGTTGTTTATTGCTGGTATATTCAGATGTAATTGATTTTCATGTATTGATTTTGTACTTTGTCACTTTGCTGATAAACTCTGTTATTAGTTCTAATGTGTTTTTTTGGGGGGGCAACTTCTCTAGGCTTTTGATGATCTTTATACTTTCTGTGGGGGGGGCAGTATGTGATTTTCTGATCTCTTCACTTTGCTACAGGCAGACATCCTACCCCTTTGTTTTAAAGAATTTATTAGTCTTCTTTGCTGTTAATTACGCTTCTGTTTCTAACTGCTTGTGGGTTGCTTTTTAGAGATTGGTTTTCCTCAGAAAACAGTTAAATTAAGGATCTGTAGCACCTTTAACTAATTCTATAAGTAAGAATAATTGGATTTTTTTCCAGGTCCCACCCAATAAAATAGACTATGAATATAGTGAACTGATATTATACCAGAATCAAGTGATGAGAGAGGCAGATCTGTTTCAGGAATCTTTGGAACATATAGAAACATATGAGAAACAAATATGTGATAAACTTTTGGTGGAAGAAATCAAAGGTAAGTTTACTTGCTTTATTTTTTCATGGCTTCAAAGAAAAAGACAAAAACCCATAACACTTAAAGAAGACTTGCTGTATGTCAGTCAGTGTTATAATAAAGTCATTATCAATTAATATACTTTTTTTTAAGATTTATTTATTTATACAAGCACTGGGGTACAGGCCAGAAGTGCGGGAGGGTGAGAGAATTCACCAGAGACAGAGCGGGGAGCAGAACAGGCAGAAGGACCAAAATATACTGCTGAGGGGAGCAGTGGGTGAGACAGCAGAGATCTGCTGAGCCATGTGGGAATCTCCCTGGCTGGCCGGGAATCAAACTGGCGCTGCAGAGGCGTGGACAGCTTCACAGCACTGCGTTCAACCTGCTACACCACTGGGGAGGCCCTAATTTATTCTTTTTTTTTTTTTTTTTTAAAGATTTATTTGTTTGTTTATTTATTTATACAAGCACTGGGTACAGTCAGAAATGCAGGAGGGTGAGAGAATTAACCAGAGCCAGAGCAGAGAGCAGAGCAGGCAGAAGGACCAAAGTACACTGCTGAGGGGAGCAGTGGGCACAACAGGAGAGGTCTGCGCGCCATGCGGGACCCTCCTCCAGTGGCTGGGAGCAGCTGGGAATTGAACCGGCACTGCAGAGGCTGCGGGCAGCTTCGCAACCCAGCGCTCAACCGCTGCGCCACCGGGGAGGCCCCCTAATTTATTCTTTATAGCAGTTCTCTGATATAATTGTTACATACATTTTAGAGAGGTAGCTGAGGAATAGAATGACTTGCTCAAAGTCACACAAAGGAAGTTGAGTGGTGCTTAATATGAATCCAGATTTCATTTTCTTATTAAGTGGTATGGTGTATTGTGTTCATATTCTCTTGCCTCCCCCATGTATAGAAAAATACAGTGAGAATCATTAGTGATGGCACTGGGATTATCATGAAAGCAGGATTCCTTTACTTTCATTATGGGATAATTATAAATAGGATACGGATAGCTTGTTAAAAAATGCGCTTCAGTGAAGAATCAAGTACATTTTCTTTAACAAAACTTTGCTCATCAATCACCCAGTACCCTAGCAATGCTGTGTTAAATACAAGGCTTAGCTAAAATGATAATGTTTCATACAGTTACAGGACTTCTCAATCTTGTCGAAAATAATAGCTAATATTTACTCTTGTGTTTCAGAGTTCTTTAAAAAATTTTTTTAAACACTTCTCACATGGGTATGATTATTCCCATCCCTTGCCCCCCCTCCCTGTGTAGAAGAACTGGGGTATAGGCCAGAGGTGCCTGGGTGAGAGAAGTCACCAGAGAAAGAGTGGGGAGCAGAACAGGCAGATTAACTGAAATACACTGCTGAGGGGAACTGTGGGTGAGACAGGAGACGTCTGCTGCCCCATATATGGGTTAGCTTCCTGGTCGGGGATGGAACTAAGGAATAGAGATGCACTAGCTGAGACTTAAGCTCTAGGCCACCAGGGAAGCCCTATCCCCATTTGCATAGTTGAGGAAACAGGTAAGATTAAGAACTTTATCAAAGTTACCTTGCATTTTAGGTGGTAATTTGTAAATACTTCTTTATGATTTCAGGTTTTTCTTTAATTTTTTTCATCCTTGATGTCCCCTTGTGTCATTTCCTCTCTCCTCCATCTCGTTTCAGAGCTCTCATTGTTTACTGATGTCCACTAGTTTTTGAAAGTATTTTACTTTATCAAATCATCTGCTGTGTAAATGTCCAGTATTTGTTTTCATTGTTCTCACTTGCTTTACTACACATAATTATCTCAAACACCCTCCATTTTGTTGAAAAATGACTACATTACATCTTACCTTATGACTGAATAGTACTCCATGCCGTAGATACACCATATATTCATGATCCAATCATGGATATTAGGCAGCTTCCTTGTCTTAGCTATTGAGCTATCAACATAAGGTTTGTTATGATGATTTCATATTCTTTGACTAGATGCCCAGGAGTGGGGCTCCTGGGTTGTATGGTATTTCCATTTTAAGTTTTTTAAAGTAAAAAAATGTTTTTCCATATTGGTTGTGCAAGTTTACATTCCCATTTTATTGTTGGAGGTCTTTTTAATATGTGCCGTTCTCAGGGTGTGAGATGGTTATCTTATTGTGGTTTTAACTTGCCTCTCTCTTATGTGACATAATGATGAACAGTTTTTTTCTTGTGTCTGTTGGCTTTCTGGATATCCTGTTCAGTGAATTGTCCATGTGTGCTGCCCATTTATTAATTGTGCTCTTTGCCTTTTATTTTTGAATTGTGTATTAAGAAGTTTTTATATAGTGAAAGAAAATACAAGATGACTAAAAAGATGTCTATCCTATTGAATGGGAGAAAAAAATTCATAAAATGTTACTGATAAGGGTTTAATGTTAAAAATATGTTAAATAACACAATTCTGGGGCCTGCCTGCTGGCGCACTGGTTAAGCGTCAGCATTATGAAGCAGTTCTCAGCTACTGCAGCACAAGTTCAATCCCCCAGCCAGGGAGGTGACCCACATGGCACAGCAGACCTCTTGACCTCTTCTGTCTCCTCGCTGCTCCCCTCAGCAGTGTATTTATTTCAGTTAGTCCACCTGATCTGCTCCCTACTCTGTCTCTGGTGAAATCCTCTCACACCCCACACCCCCTGTACCTCTGGCCTGTACCCCAGTTCTTTTTTATTTTATATAAGAACCGGGGTATAGGCCAGATGCAAGGGAAGGTGAGAGGATTCACCAGAGACAGAGCGGGGAACAGAACAAGCAGACTGAAGAAATACACTGCTGAGGGGAGCAGCGGGCGAGACAGGAGAGGTCTGCCACGCCATGTGGGACCCTCGCCGGCCAGCTGGGATTGAACCGGCACTGCAGGCTGTGGACAGCTTCACAGCGTGGCGCTCAACTGCCTGCGCCACTGGGGGAGGCCCATACCCCAGTTCTTGTATGCATAAATAAATAAATATTAAAAAAAAATAAACAACACAAGTCTGGTTTCATTCTCTACCTGTAATTGATGGGTGAAAAGAAAGTTATTTTTATGTTCTCGTGTACTGATATTTTCTGAGTAAATCTTAGTTTTTGGGTTTTTCTCTTTGTAGCTTAAATAGGAAATGCAGTGACAAAAAGTGAATATACAGTAAGAGCGATTCTAGTTAAAAAATTCTGGTTATAACTTGTGAATTTTGTAGGTTATATTCATTCATATATTGCTTAGTGAGAATAATTTGGGGGTCATCACTTTGACTGTAAAACCAATATTCTGTATTGCTGATAGAGATAGATAATGGTATTTTAATAGTTTTAGTGAACTTTGCAGGCCCAGAGATAATTTATATTTACATATTTATGTCTTTTGTAGTCATCAGTATATTAAGATATTTTGGAAAATCTTTAATAAGATTTTCAGTTTCCTTATGATGTGCGAATGTATCTACTTATATTTATTTCTCTTGACCTCATGGTGGCAGCAGATAATTGGTTTTTGGAATTGAAAAATAGACTGTTGTCTGTTAAATCTAGGAGGCTAAGGAGGGTAAAAATTGGGCTAACCAGAAACTGTGGCGTAATTGGGCATGTTTATAGTTTAAAGTGAAATACACAGTGTTTGTGTATTCAACTGTACCAAACACTGTGCTTGCTACTTTTAAGTATATTTCATTTGATTATCACAGAATTGGACTGAGGTAGTTGATATTTTATAGGTAAGAAAATGAGCTTTTGAAGTTTTCAATTTTTTTAAGGTCACAAGGCTAGAAAGTGTGTAACTGGTAATTACAGCTAGTTAGCCTTATGATAGAGCTTGAGTAATATTTAGTAATGAAGTGATAGTATATAATTATGCTACCATTACTGTAATATACTTCTCAAAAAAGATAAAAGCTGAAATTACTGAAAACATTTCAAAGAGCTATTTGTTTGAAATAGATTCTTTGGGCAACAGGAAATCTTTGGAATAGGTGATTGAGATATTTTTTTCAGAATTTTCCTTTTATCTTGAATTAGATGTACCTTCTAATATATCTGAAAAGTTTAACTTCTCATTTTACAAACCCACTTTCAATTTGTATGACTTAGTAAAAGGAATTAAATCTTGGTGGTGACCCATGTGTGAGCATGGTTTCTATGGGTTCTTGCTGTGAAATAGTATTTAGTGTTAATAGTAATGTTGAGTTAAGCTTCTCCAATTTTAGTGACTTGGAAAGAAAACTTAAGAAAATTGAGTGAAGACTTATGTAATATACGATGAGAAAAGTACATTAAAGTCTTACACTATAAAAGGATATTTCATTAAAATTATTTGCCAATTGGTATAGGGAGTTTTTACTTATTTAAAATGTACAGTACAAAAATTTTTACTGACAAAACAAATATTTTCTCTGTATATTTGGAGTGTGGGCAGGAGCCAAAAAATGAATGTTAGTATAATAGAATTTGTAAATGAAGGTTCATTTCTGAAGGCAAGCTGTGAATTATTCTGTGTTTACTTATGGAAAATACAACATGCCCCCAAAGGAAGCATATGTTCTTTCATAAATATCTGTTACGCTAATAATGCTTATTGAAATCTGTGTGATCAGAAAGATAATATTTAAAATAATGTTATTTTTAAACTTGATTTTAGGAGAAATGCTGTTGAAATTGGGAAGACTAAAAGAAGCTGGTGAAGTATTCAAAAACTTGATTGATCGGAATGCAGAAAATTGGTGTTATTATGAAGGCTTGGAAAAAGCTCTGCAACTTAGTATGTAATGATTTTTCTCTACTTTCTCTTAAGTAGTGTTTGAAGTATATAATAAAATGTAAAATTTAAATATTTGAAGACTACTATTAATATTTTCAGAATTAGCATTCATTTTTCCTCTTAGGAAAATTACAGGTAAACATGGGAGTGAAAAGGAAGTAAGATACTTATATTTAAGTGATAAGTGATGATAGATAATTTGAGTTTCCTTGACTTGTTAAAATGTTACCAATTTAGACTAACTAGAGAGATGAGAGAGAATTCTGAATATTCCTTTTTTGGGAAATACCATGTTTATTTAGTATTTCTAAAGAATTAGAGATCTGTTACTCTCAACCTCTAAACATAAGATTGGGAGCGGAAAAATTTGTGAGGGTATACTAGTACATTATATCAACATTAAAAAATTATTCTTTTACAGGTGGGGAGGAAAGGAGAAATACTCTCTCTTAATTTTAAACTAGACTAAATCATGTAGAGCAAAATGTTGCACATCTTTCAAAATTAGGTAATGATCCTTTTCAGAATCTAGAGTAGCATCCACATTTTCCTTAACATTTTTATAATTAAATGTTTTTAGGACCAGTTAATATTCCTAAAATCATATTTATTCATGGATAAATATATGGCTGAAATCATTATGAAACTGGCTTGACAGTATCCAAAGGGAATTTTTAAATTTAAAAAGTATCATAGCAGAGCTGAATGCTCTGTTTATTATCTAGACTAGCCCCTAATCAAAAAGTAAGACCCAACACTAAAATGGTATTTTTGGGACCAGGGCCTGACTTCTCATTTTGAGAAGCCTTTTATGTATATGGTCAAGATTGTTATGGTTACTAGGTTACTGAATGATTGTTTAGCAGTTTTGTCCACACTAAAATTTTAGCAGGAATTAATTAGTATACTTGTAGTTTATGGTCTTAATCAATGTATTTGAAGTATATGCTGTGCCAGTAAAAGATTTAAATAAAAAATAGTTATAGCAATAAAAAGTATGGTAAATAGGTAGCTATCTATATTCATTTATAGTAATATCAGCTGTGAGGAGAAAGCTTATTTATTGTATCCTAGTCATTATTAGAAATTAATCCAGGTTGCATTCAGATTTTAGTATCACAAAAGTCAGATGTCTAAAGTTTAGAAATGTGAGCTAGCTTGTTTTTCTTTAAACTACCAATTACTGACAGTTAATAATACAGAAATCAAAATGTTTTACTAAAGTGAATGTAATGTGTTCCATTTGTCAGGATCCATGCTTACTATTTAAATGTATTAATAACAAAACTAATTACATTACTTTATCTTTTTAGGTTCCTTAGGACCTTTTCTCCCCCCATGGTAAGTTCTGGAGCTCCAACTTGTGACTTCCAATAGGGCATTGAAATGGTCTTCTTTTGTTTTAATGTTAATTTAACTACATTTTTAAGACTTGTTATCTTGGGTAATAGAGAAATTTTTTTATAGTTATAATTTGTCATTCTTTAAGATTAGGTATAAATATGAGAATTGCTTTTTAAAAAAATATGCAATAATTTTCATGTAAATTTTAATGTAAGGGTCCTTGATATTTCTTGAAATCCCTAAACCATTAACAATATGTGAAAATCAATTTTCACATATCCTAGTTTTAGAATCCAACCACATTGGAGCTCCAAAACATATTATTGGGGGAAGGAAGGAGTCAAAACAAAGTCAGCTTTAACCTTTTAAAGTGCAGTGTATATAAACTTGATTAGAACACTATATTTGCTTATGAAGACACCTAGATTGCTAACACCAAGGGTTATTCTTAAAATAATTATACTTCTCTGGTCTGAGTTAAAATCCACTTAAAAATTTCAAGCAGGTTTATAATAACTAAAACTTATATTAAAAGCTTTGCTTATATTAAAGTTTGCTTATATTAAAAGTTTGCTTATATAAAAGTTTGCTTATATTAAAAGCTCTGCTGTAAATTGTCTTCTTGCATATATAAATAATATATGTAATCTGTATCTTCATGGCCCTGTTTTAGAATAATGACTTAGACACAGATCCTATTTTGTAAATTGTTGTACAGTAATATATAGTTTATATACAGGTCTATTATTTCATAGTATAAAATTAGGTTGGTCTTGGGAGAGAAGATGCAACTTCCTTTTAAAAGTATATTTTATATCATTTGAGAGAAATGATTGTCACTTTAAATAATCTTTACCAATGGGCTTCTTAGAGTCTCATTTGAAGATTTTAAGTGTCATAGCTGCTTTAGAAATTTAGTTCTTTTTAAATATAAAACATTTACATTCATGGTTCAAAAATTCTTGCTGTTTTAAGCTTTAATCTATAGATATTGCAGACTTTTGTGAGGATACGTATAGACTTCATTGGGTTAGTGTGCTTTATATACTATGTTATAAAGGAATTTTTCTTTTTCACATGCACTAAAGAATATAAGATTTGAAATGTAGAAACTGTTGTGATGAAAATTGCATTTTTCTGGAGATTGAGTTAAAAATGGGGTTTACTGATTATATTATTTTACCACCACAGTTTTTATTGTTGTTCTTTCCAAAATTGAGAGCAGCTTTAATATTGATAATGCAATTTTTATTTATAATATAATTTTTAAAGTTTATTAGTGCTTTATCATAAGGTAAATATTTTGATGCTTTAAATTTTACACATATTTACTGATAATAGGCACTTTAGAAGAGAGGCTTCAAATTTATGAAGAAATTAGTAAGCAGCACCCCAGAGCAATTTCACCTAGAAGATTATCTTTGAATCTTATCCCAGGTAATAATAGGATATTTTTTGTGACAATTATTCATGGAAATTGATCAACACTATTTACATTTTAAAAAGTGTTTCTGTTATAGAATTTAATCTGCACTAATCTTGGGGTGGGAGTATTCACTTGTGAATTTTTTATGCATATATTAATAACGTTCACGGTTACGTGTTGGTTTTAAGCATCAGAAGTCATCTATGTAAAATTGTTTTTCTTACGTGACTTTGAAAATTAATCATCATATTTAGAAGATAAATTCCTTAGAGTTAATGACAAATTATATGTGAGGAATTGTGATTTAAGTGGTGGAAGTTTTAGATTTTTCTTTCTAGAGCATAAAATCAGAGGAAGAGTTGTAAGCTCTTTTACCACCACAGTGTTTTAAAAAAAAATCATCATTCCCTTTGAAGTTCCTCTGTTCATCGTAAGCTACTTTCCTGAAACTTTTTATCATGCCATTGTTTTTATATGACTACCATGTATTTTGTCTTCGGAATAAAAGAAAAAATCTGAATTACCCCGGCCCCCTTTTATTTTTTACTCTATGTAAATCAGACTGCTGTGGTGTATATTCTGTGCTTTGCTTTACTAGTATACTCATGGCCTTGATCCAAGTGATTAGATATAGCTGAACACGTTCAATTTTGGGTTGTATAAGAGGTAAAGAATATATGAGCTCTTCGTACAGTGTATTTGTTGATGATTTTATAGGGAATTGTGCCTTTTCTTAAAGTTGTATTTATTTTTAGCTGAAAGTACTATAAATTATAAATTATTTGTTTGGATTTCTGGCACATCTTTGTAGAAATTAGAGCCTAGAAAGCCAATATAGCTTAAAATTTTTTTTTCTATTCTAGGCATGAGGGAGGAGGGACTGCTTTTCTAATGAATTCTCATTTATGATGAAAATATTTAATTATAGTTTACAAAAATTAAGTTTTGTAAGACTTATTTTAAAAATATTAGAAGTATCTTAGGACATATGTTGGATTAGACAGCAGATACACACTTATTTAAGATACTCATTTCTTAGTACTGCATTTCATTCCACAGATGATGAATACTACCCTTATGATCCTCTTTTATTTTTAATTTGGCTTTGTGAAATACTGAGCACAGATTGATCATGTATTTCAGGAAACATTAAATCCAAATGAATATTATCAGGCTTGCTGGGGAGGGTGCCGGTGTTCTGAGATTATTCTTCAGTCCAGTGAATTGGGGAAACTTTGGGTTAAACCCAGGTTTCTGCAGGACTTCTTAGATTTTTAATATATGCATTATGAATTTCCAAGATAGAATGTACTGTTGTAGGGAGGAGCATTTCCCTAGTAAAATTACTTTATGAGGACCTCCCTGGTGGCGCGAGGGGTTAAGTCTCAGCACTATCACGCTATTGCCAGTTACTGCAACATGAGTTTGATCCTGGGCCAGGGAGCTAACTCACATGGTGAAGCAGACCTCTTCTGTCCCACCTGCTGCTCCCTGCAACAATGTATTTCAGTAGATCTGCCTGTTCTACTCCCCACTCTATCTTTGGTGACCTGTGGCCTATACGTATCCTAGTTCTTGTATGCATAAATAAATAAAAATAAATCTTTAAAAAATACTTTATGAAAGATGCTTGGATTCACATTTTCTGTCTTTCATAGCAGCTTTTTTGAAATATATTCCACATACCATAAATTCTGACTTTAAAATGTACAATTCAGTGTTTTAGTATATTCATGGAGTTGTACAACCATCATCACTATCTGGTTTCAGGAAATTTTTATCACTCCTGAATAAAAGCCCTTGTACCCATTAGTAGTTATTCCCCATCCTCCATCCCCCTCCACTAGCACCTGGTAATAAGTAATCTATTTTCTGTACCTATGGCTTTGCCTATTTTGGGCATTTTATTTAAATGGAATCATACCATAGCTGCCTTTTAATGTTGAGCTTCCTTTTTTTTTTTTAAATTAAGGTATGACTATTTCAGAGAGTGAATGGAGGTGTTTTCTCAGTTTGAACTCTCAAATTCATTCACACACCTTCAGGAAAGAAAGTTCTGAGCTTCAATATTACAAACAAGACTTCTTAGTTTTATTTTTTTGGAACATGGAATTTCAAATATATACTGTATACACTTCTTGGATTTTTTTCTTAGTCAATACAGTTTGGTAAAAATCCTCAGTATATTGGTAGTAAATTGGGTTATAATTTGTAGGACAGTGTATTTTAATTGAAATAGAATTTACTTCAATTGGTTTACCTGGACCCAGCTATTGATTATAAAATTTGATTTGATTTGTAATGGTATTATACTAGATCCTTTGTATTGGAAATGCTGTTTTTGAAGTGCTAGAAGGATCATTTTACAAGATAAGTTTCAGTTGACAAGTCTGATGGCAATAGACCTCAAGGGTCAGTATCATTGTGAGGTTCTCTCTTTAATAACATGTATTTACAAAGCTCCAGTGACTATATATAAAATTTTACAAATAATTGTACCTTTGCACAAGCTCATGAGGTCTTTTTTTCTGTCTAGAAATTATTTCATTTTTAATATGAAAGGCATCTTAGAGTTGTCCAAAGCAGTAAGATCATTTTCAAGAAATATGATGGGACTTGAGAATGTAAGGTGAAAGTTTTGGATAAAAGGCTTTCTGGTTTTTAGATGACTTAGTACCTAGTGAACATAGCAGAAGTCCTGAGGAAATTGTCTAATAACTTAAAATATTAAGTTCTGTGAATATAATGTAGGGATATAGCTACCTTTCAAAATATTATTCAAATGTTTCAATTTACCATGGCCTGTTAGTCTACACTGGTCAAGGGGGGAAAGCAGAAAGAGAATCTGGTATATTAGATATAAAATGTATGATTAAATTTTGCTCCAATATTTTATTTTTGTTTTTTTTAATTGAGTTAATTCACATATAACATTGTATAAATTTAAGGTCTATGATGTGCTGATTCAGTACAGCTATATATTGTAATAATACTACCACCGTAGTGTTAGCAGTACCTCCACTAGGTCACATAATTACTTCTTTTTTTTTTTAGAGGCATGTTTTATTTATTTATTTATTTTATTGTTTGTTTGTTTATACATGCACTGGGTACAGTCAGAAGTGCGGGAGGGTGAGAGAATTCACCAGAGCCAGAGCGGGGAGCAGAGCAGGCAGAAGGACTGAAGTACACTGCTGAGGGGAGCAGCGGGCGGCAGGAGAGGTCTGCGCGCCATGTGGGACCCTCCTCTGGTGGCCGGGGAGCAGCCGGGGATCGAACTGGCGCCGCAGAGGTCGCGGGCAGCTTCGCAACCCAGCGCTCAACCGCTGCGCCACCAGGGAGGCCCATAATTACTTCTTTTTTGTACTGAGAGCATACTCCATTATTTAGAATAATTTCAGGTGAATCAGATATAGTCTGAGTTTGCTGTTCATGTTATTTTAGTAGTGGTTTTTGGGAAATCAATTTTTATATGAAGCTGTCCTACCTATCTAGAAAAAAGTATAGCATCTTTATAGTCAGATTAACCTGTTTTGTAGCTGTAAATCATATCACATAATGATTGATGGATGGGTCACCTTCCTGCAAAAGTAAGACTGTGAATACTGTTATTTTAAAATAACTAGGAAGGTGGTTCTGTGAGATGGTTCTTATACATAAAGAAAAAAATTAAAGGTAGGTAAATAGTATTTTTGGGATATGGTGTATAATTGAGCAGTTTATTAGTTATGTGTGGACTTCTTGTTTAGGTATACATTCGTACAGTTCCAATTAAAAGGGTACAAAGAATTTTTAAGTATAAAGTTTTTTTTCCAGTTTCTGTTCCCTGGCTATTAAGTGTACTTTCCTGGATACTGCCATTTTTACCAGTAGATGAAATATTCTTCCAGAACACTCTGCATATACAAGCAAATATGTGTGGGGGGTGTTTTTATGTAATTATATTTTTCTCTTTCCTTTCCTGATTTTTCTTTTCACTTAACTCTGTGTCTGGAGTTCAGTCCCTTACCGGCACATATGGATCTTCCTTTCCTTTCTCATTTTCTGACCAACTATTTAATAGGAGAAGAGGCGTTCAGTAATTGATAGTGGGGATATTGTCTTTCAAATCAAATCTGCCAGTATGATTTTAATAGACTGAAGAAAGTTGACCAGAAAGTAGAGGTCAGAGTAGCCTCTGACATGAAGATAAAATGCTACTTTTCGTGGTAAATGATAGCGAACATGGTAAAGATTAACTGTGGAAATACAGTAGCTGAAAGATACCCAGTCATAAATTGATAGACAGCATTTATTGAGTGGTTACTATGTGCCTCATACTCTGCTTGCTTCTTTTTCCTTACCTTGTTTGAGCCAAAGAAGAGTATGCTTGAGAATGGTGTTGGTGTTCCTCTCATCTTACAATGCAGAAAAATGAGATTTTTTTTAAAGATTTATTTATTTATGCATACAAGAACTGGGGTACAGGGCAGAGGTGTGTGGGGGTGTGTGTGAGAGGATTCACCAGAGACAAAGTGGGGAACAAAACAGGAGGAATGTCTGAAATACATTACTGAGGGGAGCAGTGGACGAGGCAGGAAAAGTCTGCTGCGCCATGTGGGTTGCTCCCTGGCTGGGGATCGAACTCGTGCTATGGTGGCTGCAGATAGCTTCATAGGTTGCGTCCTAACCCCTGTGCCACCAGGGAGGCCTCATGAAAATGAGAGTTTTAATGGACAGCTTATTTGCCCAGCTTACTGTGTCATATACAAAGTAAGTGGAGGAATATAAATTTCACTAAGCAACAGCATCTCTTACTGTTACCACAAAATTGGTGACTTTTGCTTTATATTAGAGGAAGTGCTAGTAGGATTTGATCTCTGAAACTGCTTCATTTTTTAAGGAAGTAATGCTGTATTTTTAAACCAGGGTGAAATTTTGTTTTTTTGTAATCTGTGGTTTTCAACAGACCTATATTTTATATATGATCCAATAAAAAAGCAGAAATTATTTGAATAAAACTCTGTAGTAAATATAGTTTGGTAAATGTTGAGCCTGTTTTTATAGTTAATAAAATTTCCTCTCAAAATTTAAATTTTTCTTTCAGAGTTTTACTATATCTAATTATGCTCATCGTGCATATTTTGTTTAGTACAGTTAGGCACAGGAAATTAAAATAACCCATTTCAGTAGTTACTCATAATATACATGTCTTAGTTATTCATGACATATATGTCTCTTTTTTTAAAAAGTGGACAAATCAGTATCCTCATATGCTAAACTTTCCTGTCAAAAAGTTAATTTATCAGAGTTAAAACCTTTGTATTTAAAATTAAAAATTTTTTCAATTTTTTATGCTTTGGGAAAGTGATGCCATACATTTTTTTTGTAAGCATTCAGGAGACTTATTTACTTGGTTTTGCAAATAGGGTATTTTTATTAAATGTAATGTTAGAATGCTTCAGGGGCTCAGTCTAATAACATACATTTATTTATTTATTTTGAGACATAAGCATGTTTTGTTTTCTTAGTGTCTATTTCACCCAGTAGAATGTTAACAGTTCCGTAAGAGCAGGGTTAAAAAAAAGTTTTGATCTCTTAATATCCACTGTATCTGGACAGTGCCTGGCACATAGTAGGAGCTTAATACATGCTTGTGGGATGAATGAATGTTGGAATAAGTCATTAGTTGATTCAGAAAACAGTTGTAAATGCCATTTTAGTGTTTAAGAGATATCTTGATCGGTGTTTGAATATACTGTTGGTTATAGTAGAATCTTGCCTGATCTGCGAAGTGCTTTATGAGTTGTCTGTAGATAGCAGGACTGAGTAAGTGAGATCAGGACAGGTACTTGCTAAGGGGATTATAATGGATAGTAGGTTACTTTTACTTTCAATTTAAAGCTGCACAATCATTTTTGTTTACCTATCTTTTTAAGAGTTCTTTGAAGATAATTTGAAGATATCTAGGGGAATATATAGTGCAAACTTAGATATTTGGTGTAATACTTTTTATGGTAAAAAATAGTGCTGACTTCTGGAGTTTAAAATTGAATAGGGGGATAATTGTTTGTAAGGGAGTTTTATTTATAAAATTATTCTTAAGACCGTTTGCATCAATAAAATATAACAAAATACACTTTTGTTTCTAGGTGAAAAATTTAGAGAACGAATGGATAAGTTCCTGAGGGTTAACTTCAGTAAAGGTTGTCCACCCTTGTTTACTACTTTGAAATCTTTATATTACAATACAGAAAAGGTAAAATTTGGTCTTTATTCAGTTTTGCTTTAGTCTTTTTAAAACTCAGTTACATAGATTTCCATTAAACAAATGCTATGATTTAATCATGCTCTCTATTCTAGTAATGTTACTTGCGTTAGTGTTAATAATCAAATTATATGAGTATATGATAAGTACTATCAAAAGAAATGTTAACCTGAGATTTACGGAGTAAAGACTTTGTAAAAGTGCCAAGAGTAAAGGTATTTTTATGCATATACTTTTGTAGTAGGATTTTAAATTTGATATCACCAGAGGTCTGTATTTAGCTATTTTTTGATTAATTATGTTATTTTATAGTGTGACTGCATATTTTAAATTTTGGTATCCCTGCTTTTTAAAGGAGTACTGTAGTTAATTGAGGCAGTGCAATATTAAAATGCCATTTGTTTAACAAAGGACTAATAATAGTTTTAACTAATAGGATACATTTTAATAAATAATGATAGTTTTAGCTAGTTCTTAGAAGGGAGTGATACTTTTGTGTTTTTTTAAAATTACAAAATAGGTACTTGGTCTTAAACTAGAAAAGTAATTAAAAGTTAATGGAAAACAAGTTATACTTTTATTTCCAAGCAATCATTGCTCATTCAAATCTAAAACCTTTTTTGGGGGGCAGTTAAAGAATTTTTAGGAAGATACTAGTGTGTAAAGAATATATTTTATTAGAAATGCCAAAACATTTTTAGTTAAATGTCAATTATTTTGCTTTGACCCATAATAATTTGTAAGTTAGCAATAATTGTAAAGAGTAAAATAGTAAAAACAAGATCAGGTATAAGTAGAACTGATGTTGGCACTCCATTCCCTGTGGCAGCAGGTTTCATAAATTAAATGGAACAACCGATAACGTCTAGTAAATATCTAGTAAAAACCTTAACATTCTTTTATGTCTGAGGTATGTGTTATCTGGCTGCAATAATAGTACAATTTATTTTTTGAGAAATAATGATTGATTCACATGAGAACATAGAACAATGTCTACCTATAATTCTGTGGAATATATAAGTTAACATTTGTCAAAAGATGAGATAAATTACAGAAATAATAAAGAAATTATGTGAATTAGAATATTGTTTTTGAGGGGCCTCCCTGGTGGCGTAGGTGGTTGGGCGCAGCACTGTGAAGCTGTCCGCAGCTTCTGCAATGCCGGTTTGATCCCTGCTGGGGAGATACCCACATGGCATGGCAGACCTCTCCCTATCTCGTCTGCTGCTCCCCTTAGCAGTGTATTTCAGTTAGTCTGCCTGTTCTGTTCCCCGCTCTGTCTCTGGTGGGTCCTCTCACCATCCCGCACATCTGGCCTGTACTCTGGTTCTTGTATGCATGAATAAATAAATCTTTTAAAAAAATACTGTTTTTGAAATACTGTCTTGCAGCAAATGATAAATATATTAAAGAATTTGTTCTTTAATATATTAAAGAACTATCACTGAACTTTCACAATTTCCACAAGTTGCTTTCACTTAAAAATAAAATCCCTCCAGTAGTGATCCAAAATTACCATCTTCATAGAAAAGGGAAGATATTTAACATTACCACCCAAGTTGGTGAGTTGTATATTGATCCTTTTGCACACATTTCTATGCGTCAATATAAATTTGTGTTTGTAACCTTACAGAAAACAATGTATTAGTGTTTATTAAGAACCACAAAACATTCACACAGTATACCCATTAATTTTTCTAAGAATCTGTGGAAGAAAATAACCCTAACCAAAGCTATGTGTAAAAGATATCTATGCTTTTTAAATAGTGAAAACTTAGAAAAGCGAAGTTCAACAATAGAAGTATGATTTTTGGTATGACACTATGCAGTCTTTAAAAAGGAAGATAATAAAGTATTCAGTAGCACAGTAAATGCTGATGAAATTGTTGAGTGGGGGGGACAAAATTTTATATTCAAAATTATTGCAACTACTTATATTCACCACAAAAAAGATAACAGAGAAAAAATTCTGGAAATTGCTCACAATTTAAAATACTAAAGGCATTTTCCTTTTCTTGTTATTTTTTATTAACAACATTTTTAAAATACTTTTTTGCAATTGTACTATATCCTTAGCTACCTTCAAAATATAATTTTATTTTCAGAAAATAACTTCCTTTCCAAGTATTTTTTATTAGTTGTTTTTGTTAACAGGTTTATTGATGACATGCCATAAAATGTACGTTTTGAAGTGTAATTCAAAATCCAGGAATTTTTAGTATATTCAGAGTTGTCCAGACATCAATCACCACAGTATTATTTTAGACAAGTTTATCATTCCATCTTCCTTAGCATGGGGCAAATCACTAGTCTATGTCTATGGATTTGCCTATTCTGGATGTTTCTAAAAACAAATCAGAAAATAGGTGGTTATTTTTCCTTGTTTCTTTCATGTAACGTAATATGTTCATCTTTGTGGTAGCATGAGTGAGTGCTTCATTCCTTTTTGTTTACATTTAGATTTCTTTGTGAGAAGCATGAATTTCTCACTGAAAGGGAAAAAAATAGTAAATAATCCTAATTTAAAAAATTCAAAAAGGCATTATTTACAGAGGCTTCAGAGAACCTACCAGGCAGCATTTTGAGAAAATGATAATTGTAATGAGGTGCTTGAATTAGTTTCTTGTTTATTTTAAAACGGTTTTAAATTTTGGGAGAGCAAAGAAAAGGAAGTGCTTTTTCCTATCTAGAAAAAGCAATATAGTATAATGTCTAATGACATTTCATTTGTTAATCCCCGTATGATTTTTGCCAAATATAAGTAATACTATAGTGTTATTTACTTAATATTTCTTGCTAAATTTGATGACATTTTTGTTTCTTATAAAGGCTACGGGTTTGTGCTAGTTTATTTTTCATACGGCACATAAACTTTAACTTCAAAAAGTTGGTGAATTACCTGTCTTGTATTCTTCATGTGTATCACATTTTGGGAAATGCTGGTATAGAATAAAGAGCATTGCTTGGAATGAGGCCTGGATTGGAATGGTGACTCCATCACTTGTTTGCTTGAGCAATTACCTGAATCTGTTTCTGGAGTTACTGTGCGTTTTAATGAAATGATAATTTTTTTTTAGTGCTGAATTCAGAGATGGTGTCAAGAACTAATCATCTTCACTTTACCCCACCCTTCTCATCTTGTCTGTACAGAAAATTACTGGTGTTTTATTTTAGTGTCATAGTTCTTGGGCAACTTACCTTTGTAACTAGATCCTTCAAAATTGAAATCCCACTAGTAATTGTACATTTACTGAAAAATAATCTAGTACTTTTGTTCCTTGTTGATACACTGTTGTGCTTAGTTTCTAATTTGGGTTAAAAAAAAAAGGAGATTGTTTCGGCCCATAGAAAAATTACACCACATAATTCAAGCTGTTAATTTTGAAGCTTTTAAGTTTTTATTGATCTGCGATACCTTACTTAAGTAGATCGGCTTTCTTGATTTTAAATGGTAGTGGCAAAATATTTTCTAGAAGAATAGCCATTGCATAGTAAGTTTTACAAGAAAGGAGTTGAATATACTTTGTATTTTATGTATAATTTGTAAGTAAATCTGAATTGAAATGGGACCTTATGCCGAAATAAAACTCCTTCAACTAACTTTCATAAACAACTTTGGAAAATTGTTTTCACTTAATTACTGAGTTAATGACACTAATATAAATTTTTTTTGGATCAAGAACTATGCTTAATGAATGAATCACAAAGGCCATGGCTCTTTAAGATTTTTTTTTTATGTATAAGATTTCATGTGTACTTTATCATATCTCAAATCTTGTTTTGAAGTTTTGAAGCTGAAGATCTGTTTTATTCAGTAATATTTGTATTACTTTATGAAGAATTATAGGTGACATCAGTCTCTGTTTTATTATTAAAACTGACTTAATTTTTTCCACCCTCTAATGATGGAAAGATACACCCTTATTTAAAACCAGCTTTAGCTGCAGTTTTTGAAGTTGCCAGTAGATGGCATTGTAAATTGATTTTAAAAAAGGATTTGCCTTAAATTTATTAACAGGTTCTGGAATAAGTTCCTCTTATTTAGCATCATCTGGGATTTCTTTCCCTTCAACAATGTCATGAGGAAATGACATTGAACAAAATGGCATCATTTGAGGAAATAGTTTTGTTATATATTATTGACTTAAGTTGCAATGTCCAAGAACCAATCAGTGACATTAAATGAGGAGTTGCTGTACTGCATTTCTCAGCCTAGAAAAGAATATTTTAAGTTACAGATATTCTAAGTGAGATTGATGGGGTGGTATTAGACATGGTGAGTTAAAAATGCCTATTTAAATTTGCTTTATAATAGTTTTTTTTGCAACAGTTTTAATCAGCTTAATCAGCTCAAAAGAGGTTGGTGGATCCAGAGTGATCTGATTCTATCAGTCTTGGGTTTTACCCCCAAATTTACACCTCTAACAAACTATGGGTAATGGGTAATGCTAATGCCAAAGTTGATGATATTAATGGTATGAGGTTCACATGCTGAGAACTAGTTGTTTTTTGTGTGTGTGTGTAGTAAAACATACTTAGCAAATGCACCATCTTCATCATTTTTCAGTGTACAGTTCAGTGATATTACACATCCACATTGTTGGTAGCCATCACTATCCGCCATGTCCATAACTCTCTTCATGTTGTATCGTTAAACAATACCTTCCCTTTTTTCCTCTCCCCCTCAGCCCTTGGCAGTCACCATTATACTTTTGATCTATATGATTTTGACTGCTTTAAGTACCTCAAATGCAACCATACAGCATATTTCTTTTTGTGACTGACTGACTTCACTTAATGTCCTTAAGATTTATGCATGTTGTCATATATTGCAGATGTTTCTTCCTTTTTAAGACAATAATATGCCATTGTATATATCACATATTGTTAGTCCCTTTTTTGTGAACGGGTACTTGGGTTACTTCCACATTTTGGCTGCTTTGAGTAATACAGCTATTAGCACAGGGGTGGGGTGGTACTCATCTATTTGAGACCCTGATTTTAGTTATTTTGGGTTGATAACCAAAAGTGGAATTGATAGATCATTTTGCAGTTCTGTTTGTGTTTTGAGGACTGCCATACTGGTTTTCACAATGACTACACCATTTTACATTCCCATCAGCTATATACAAGGTTTCCAGTTTCTTCATATCCTTGTTTACACCTGCTCTCTGTGTTTTTGGTAATAGGTGTGAGGTGGTATCTCGTTGTAGGTTTGGTTTTTATTTCTGTAATTAATGATCAGTATCATGTGCGCACTGGCCCTTTAGAAAAATGTCTATTCATATACTTTGCCCATTTTTGAATCAGATTGCTTGTTTTCTGTTGCTGAGTATTAGGAATTCTTCATATATTACGGTTATTATTCCTTTATTGATGATTTGCAATTATTTTCTTCAGTTTTGTAATTTGCCTCCTTACTCTGTAGGTAGTGTCTTTTGATGCACAAACTTTAAAATTTTCATGAAGTCCTGTTTTTCTATTTTTTTTTCCTTTTGTTCCTGTGCCTTTGATGTCATATCCAAGAAATGAGTACCAAATCCAGTGTCATAAAGCATTTCTATTTTTGTCTAAGAGTTTTATTGTTTGAGGTGTTATTTTTAGGACTTTGTAACACCTTGCATGTGGTGAGATACAGGTCCAACTTTACTGTTTTGTAAAATGTGGGACTTTGTAGGTTGGGATTCTAATTTGGATTCAGAATTAAGCTTATCAGATCATACCATAATATTACAGGGGATGTATGACGTGAACATACATTTTTTGTAGCCATGTATAACAAAATCTGTTTAGGACTTTATGATACATGGTCTGCTCTTCAGTGGTGGTGGAACTGTAGTAGATTTCGGTTAGTTTATAAAGACACTTGGGGAAAGGAAAGAAACGATTGTTTTTTTAAATAATAAAACTGTAAAATCCCACATTTTATAAAATAGTAGCAGAGTATCAGATCTTATAATTTTAGGTTAATAAGTGAATTTGGGTAGGAAAACCTATAATCTTATCTGGTACAGATTCTGTCTGCCTTTTAACTAGGGCTGCTAACAATAATAAGCAAATCGTTGTTATTTTTCACTTGAACTTTTGAAGCCTTCAGTAGATATTTAAAACTAATTGTACCTACTTTTTGTTTGTCTTGCTATTTCTAATTCATGTGACTTTTTTGATACTTTTAGTGCATAGAACATTTAAGTGTAGTTTATAATATTTTAGTCTTAACTGAGCCTAGCATTGAAATGCAAATCTATCAGAATGATCACTAAAAAATAAGGTAATTTAAATTTGAGGTAGGCGTTTACTTAACCTTGTTTTTTCATCAATTCACTGAATATTTTAATCATCTCATTTTTTTGTAATCAAGAGCACTTTAAAAAATCTGAATGTGTAATGGCTTCACAATTTAACAGTAAGAAGCAAATGCAAGTAGATTGTTAATAATTGCATTGGAAAAAAGTTTTGTAGTAAATAGTGCTAATTTGTTACTGCTATAGCTTATTGAGCTGAGGTTAATGAGGTTTTCTTTCACTCTTGTTAAAAGACTGTATTTTCTGTGTCCTCACCCCAGGCAAGGGGAGAAGCAGCTACCCTAGTAGTTCTCTCATTTTATAGTTCTGAAATAAGCTGCATATTTCTAAATTTTATTTAGTTCATAATAAATAGAAATACCTTGAATAAAATATTAAGATGTTTTAAAACTATGTTTCTTTAACAGGTTTCTATAATCCAGGAGCTTGTTACTAATTATGAAGCCTCTCTTAAAATGTGTGACCTTTTTAGTCCTTATGGTAAGCTAAATTGAATTGGAATTTGATTATTCATTTCTATCCATTTTTAATTACAATAAAACTGTCTTATGTTTATGATGTACATACTAGATGGTAACTATTTACTAGTTTTTGCAGTTAGTGAATGAAATGAGAACACTTTCAGTCATGTTTAAGTTTTCCATAATCTTGTGAAGTGGGAGTTAACCTTATTTTAACAGTAAAAAGATAAGAGAGGTTGAACAGCATACTTGACATCATGTAGTTAGTGGAAACCTATTTTTCTTGAATCCCTACTTCTCTGATCTTTCTACTGTTCTATTGTTTTTTTTTTTTTTTTTTTTTAAATTTTCTAGAGGCATGTCTTATTTATTTATTTATTATTTGTTTGTTTGTTTGGTTTATACATGCACTGGGTACAGTCAGAAGCGCGGGAGGGTGAGAGAATTCACCAGAGCCAGAGCGGGGAGCAGAGCAGGCAGAAGGACCGAAGGACACTGCTGAGGGGAGCAGCGGGCGGCAGGAGAGGTCTGCGCGCCATGTGGGACCCTCCTCCGGTGGCCGGGGAGCAGCCGGGGATTGAACTGGCTGCAGAGGCTGCAGGCAGCTTCGCAACCCAGCGCTCAACCGCTGCGCCACCGGGGAGGCCCTGTTCTATTGTTTTAACTCTTGTTAATTTGGTTCTTCATTTCTCTGTAGGAGCATATGTAAATCAAGGCAACTTAATTTATAAAACACTAGATTACTTTGTCATAAAGAACTTTAGTTTGTGTTCTTTATGTGTGTTTTACGTGTCATTGCCCTTTTATTTTTGTTAGTTTGAAATAAATTTCATAATAAAATGATAACACAGAAGTAAATAGAATAATTAATCTTTCCTGTGCCACCATCACCCAACTTCTTCTATTGTTAGCTCTTGCCAGTCTTACTTAAAGTGCCTTCTGTCTACTTTTTCTCTGTAATATTTTTATTTTTTAATTTTTATTTTTTAAGATTTATTTATTTATACAAGCACTGGGTACAGTCAGAAGTGCGGGAGGGCGAGAGAATTCACCAGAGCCAGAGTGGGGAACAGAACAGGCAGACTGACAAATACACTGCTGAGGGGAGCAGTGGGCGCAGCAGGAGAGGTTTGCGTGCCATATGGTACCCTCAGCGGCGGCGGGGGATCGAACCGGCGCTGCAGAGACTCCAGGCAGCTTCGCAGCCCAGCACTCAACTGCTGTGCCACCAGGGGAGACCCTCTGTAATAATTTTAAAGCAGGGATACATTTTACCTATCAATGCCTCAGCATGCATCTATTTCAACATTTTTTTAGAGATTTATTTAGGGGGTGAGAGGATTCACCAGAGACAGACAAAGTGGAGGCCAGAACAGGCAGATCTCCTGAAATACACTGCTGAGAGGAGCAGCGGGGAAGGCAGGAGAGGTCTGTTCTCCGTGTGGGTTAGCAATAATCTGGCTGGGGATTGAACCCAGGACATAGTGGTGCTTATGTTGAGATTTAACTACTTGGCCACCAGGGAGGCCCAGTATGCATTTATTTAAAATACTTTAGCAAAAGATATTACCATACTGTCTTATACAAAATAAACTTGCAAACCATAGTATTTAAAATGTAACCCACATGCAAATTTCCCCCAAATTGTTTGTGTAATTGGTTTATTTGAATTTGAATTCAGCTAAGGTCTACACATTTGATAGTTATGTATCTGCTATTCTATTGGTCTTGACCAATAATCTCCACTTCCTTTTTAACAAAAAATGCTATTTATTGAAAGGTTATTTGTCTCACAGAATTTCCCATGTTTTGAATTTGCTTGACTGATATCTCATGGTATCATTTAATATATTTTTATATCACCCACATTTCCTATAAACTTGCAGTTAAATTTATAGGCTGATTAGATAATGGTTCCATATATTACTGCATAAGTGGTGCTTTCTACTTCATTTTATATCATGTCTAGAGGTAAAAAGCTTCTCTGGTTGTGTCTCTTCATGTGATAGTAAGATTGATCACGTTTCAGGTGTCACCCTGTTCTGCCCAAAGTCCGTCATTGATCTGTCAGCCTAATTAATGATTTTAGTCTTCTTGAGGATCGTTAATTCAGCCCCTTATTTAATTCAATCATAATTTCATTTGCATTTTAGATGGAATTCTTCTTATGAAGAACTTCCCCCCATCAAATATTTGGTTCTCCTGAATTATAGTTTATATAGGAGGAACAAGAGAAATACTTCACTCTTTGCCTTTATTTATTATTGGTGTTTAAAATTATGCTAATTTGTATTTGCATTGTTGTTGTCTCATTTGGTCAGATTTTCTACATACCTCTGGGTTTTCTTTTTTCTTTTTTATTATGGGTAATTCTTTCTACCTTATTTTATATCTGTATATCTTCCCTTCTGAACTCTGTTTTGAGAACTTGATCTTTCTTCTCTTTAGCTTGAAGAAATAGGGTAGGGAACAGGATAGAGCTCAGATAGATAATTGTGTATGACTCCTTTTGTCAAATAATCAAGGTTAATTCCATTTAGTCAGGAATGTAGCCTCTTCATTAGTGTCAACTTTGGGTTTCCCTCATTAAGTGTTGAGGTTTTGAAAATTTTGAGTCCTGTTGTATTTTATGCCGTTATGGAAGTCTCACCATGATAGTGACATCCTTTTTCCATGTTATTTTCCTTGCCTTTTCCTCGGCCTATGACCATGTGCTGTCATTCGGAGAATTCATCAAATGAGATTGATTTACCTCATTTCCCCAGCACTGGTTTTTTGGAGTGAGATAGTATTTAGACGCCTATGAAACTGGCTATGACTTTTCGAACTTTATGACATGACATCCAAACCTCTTTCTGCAAAAATTGGTCATTTTTGCTGGGTTTTTACTGTTTGTTCTAATAATCCTTAATTTCATTATATATTGGAAGGAGAAAGTATGTGATTTGCTTTACATTGCCATCTCTATAATAATTTTATATTTGTTTAATTGCAGAGAAAGGAGAGAAGGAACCCCCAACAACACTACTGTGGGTTCAGTATTTCCTGGCACAGCACTTTGATAAACTTGGGCAATATTCCTTGGCTTTAGATTATATTAATGCTGCAATTACTAGTACTCCAACACTAATTGAATTATTCTACATGAAAGCAAAAATTTACAAGGTAAACTTTCATTAAGATTTTGAATAGTTGAAGAATCCGGCAGCTTAAAAAACTCTGAGATTTATCTTTTATTGTGGAAATAAGTTCTAACATACCTATTCCTAATAATCTCATAATCCTAAGGAGTTTTATTTTGCATAGTTGTATAATTGGAGATTCTGCTCTCAATAAATGAATTATAATTTATTTAGAGTTCCAGGTAAGTTTGATGGAAAATAGTTACTATATTTCTAACTCGTCATTATAAACTTTTCCCATTTATATTGTACCTATATTCTCTTAATCATACATTGTGATTTTTCAATGTTTTCATTTCTTAAAGCATATGGGTAATCTCAGAGAAGCTGCAAAGTGGATGGATGAAGCGCAGTCTTTGGACACAGCTGATAGATTCATCAATTCCAAATGTGCAAAATATATGCTACGTGCAAATATGATAAAAGAAGCAGAGGAAATGTGTTCCAAGTTCACAAGGGTAGGAAATACATAGTGTGTAGTTGCCTGAGTTAGTAGAATTAAACTTAAGCTCTATGATGATTTGTGAAGTTTGCCTCTGAAGTTCATATTAATTTATTTTTCTTACTATATTTTAGTCCCATTGAGTTCACATTCTAAGTGTGGTTTCTTATTGTGGCTGAGTGTGTGTGTACATGCATGCACATGCACTTGTGTTTCTAGGATCTGGTTATAAGCAAAAACTGACAAAAATACTCATACGAAAATAAAACAGTACACTACTGTGTATGCATATAAATCTGGTTATAATTCTTTTGTCTCGCTAGTGATTTGTGACTTTTTTTTTTACTTTATTTTGTTGTGAATGGTTTTTAATTGAAGTGTCTTACTTCAGAAGTGCTTATAGTTTTTTCTTAAAGATTTATTTTACTATGCATGCAAGAACTGGGGTCTCTGTGGGGGTGGGGTGGGGGTAGGAGTGGTGAGAGAATTCACCAGAGACAGAGTGGGGAACAGAACAGGCAGATCTACTGAGAGACACTGCTGAGGGGAGCAGTGGGTGAGACAGGGGAGGTCTGTTGCACCATTTGGGTTAGCTCCCTGGCCTGATGGAACTCAAGCTGCAGTGGCTAGTGATAGCTTGATAGCGCTGAGACTTTAAGCCCTGTGCCACCAGGGAAGCCCCTGCTTATAGAGTTTTTTTTATAGAAGAAACTAACTTCGGTGGACTTACTAGCTTCTGTGACATTATAGAATATATCTCTGAAATTGTTGGGGTAAACATCCTTTTCCTCCTCCCTCATCCTTCCCGTCATAGACTTTCTGTTACATTATAAAAATAATGTATATTGCTAATTAAAAATATAAGTAGGCTAATGAAGTGGAGTAGATAGCACAGAAAGAGATAACATGTATATTTGGAAACTTGGTATTAGCCAGAGATGATGTAAAATTCATAGATTACAAGATATAGCTGGAACAGTTATTTGTGTTGGAAAAAAAATAAAATGACATCCTTGTTTTATATTGTAGACAGATTAGTTCTAGTGGATTAACTTCAGAGTATGAAAAGCAAACTTTCCAAACATTTTGTAGTTTACCTTTTGAGCTTGAAGTAGGGAGCATTTCTTAAGATAACAAAAGCTAAATTACAAGAGTAAAATTGATAAATTTGGTTTAAGTTTATAACAAGGAATAGCTGTAACAAAGTGAAAATATATACAGTAGAAATGGAGAAGATATTTCTATCTCATGATAAACTCCGGAGAATTCCTGGAAATACTTATACTTGTTGAATGTGACATTGAAGCCTAGTGAGGAAGCCATGTTTGCAAGTTTTATTTGCAAGTTTTAATTAAGATACTTTGAAATAAATTATGTTTCTAAATGCACATTACATACGAAGTAGAGAACTTTAGTCCACAGGAGAGGTTCAGTACTTCTGCTGATTAAAAATGCTCATCATGACTTATCAGGGAAACACAAATCAAAATCACAATGAGATACCCACCTCACATCTTGAGAATGGCCCATATCAAAAAGACCAGAAGCAACAAGTGTTGGTGAAGGTGTAGAGCAAAAGGAACCCTTGTACACTGTTGTGGGAATGTAGACTAGTCTAGCTCCTGTGGAAAACAACATGGAAGTTTCTCAAAATTGTAAAGCAATTCCACTTCTAGGTATTTACCAGAATAATGCAAACATGCTTATTCAAAGGGATATATGAACATTCCTATGTTCATTGAGGCACTATTTACAATAGCCAAGTTATGGAAATAGTCTAGGTGCTCAGCAACATAACAGTGGATTAGAAGAAGATGTGGAATATACACAATGGAACTGTTTTTTGCTCTTCATTTATTAAGTTTAGACACAAGTATATATTTTTAAAAATCCTATGTATTGACATGGGAAGAATACATCAAAATACATGAACTCTTGTAATACCACCGTTCTTTGACCAACAAGGTGATAATTTAGCTTTGGATATTTTGGGAAACAGTACATTAAAATATGACAGTAATATCAAAATGTCAAAAATTGAGAAAGATAAAGGAAAATCTAGGAAAATGTCCAAGCACAAAAACAAGATGTGTGCTAAATATTTCATGTAAATCATTTTGAATTAAAAAAGATGAGCTCTTTACTGTTTGAGACAACGTGGATAGAACTGGAGGGAATTATGGTATAGGTACGGTAAGTCAGAAGGAAAGACAAATACTGGATGATTACACTAGTGGAATGTAGAGAAACCACAAAGTAACAGACAAAACTAAACCAAAACAAACCCTTAAGATCTGCTGTAGAATTGAAGCTACCAACTTGAGATGGGTGAGGATGGGTATCTGGGAGAGCAGAATGTGATGGAGGCCCAATGGACTTTGGTGGAGGACTGTGGTTACCTTGGTGGTAGTGTAGTGTGAAGAAATGTCAACATATACCTCTGAATCACATATGATGGTATATGTCATTATTTCAATGAAAAATAATTAAAAAGCACGCAACAAAATAACATCAAAAGTAGTACAGAAGGGCCTCCCTGGTGGAGCAAGGGGTTAAGCACCACACTATGAAGCAGTCCGCAGCCTCTGCAGCACTAGTTCGATCCCTGGCCTGTCAGGGAGCAACCCATATAGTGCAGTAGACCTCTCCTGTCTCACCTCTCACCTCTCAGCAGTGTATTTCAGTCAGTCTGCCTGTTCTGTTCCTGGCTCTGTCCTGGTAAATCCTCTTCCCGCCCCCCGCATCTCTGGCCTGTACCCCAAATTGTGTGTGAACAAATCTTTAAAAAAAAAAATAGTAGTGCAGAAAGCAGTCAGCAAAGCCCAGCAAAACCCAAAAAACAAAAGGCAGAAGATGGGCTTTTTAAAGTTACTGTCTTAAATAGTTTATATAAACCTTTGGTATTTAATACTTGGAGTTTTCTTTGTAGTGTTGAATATCCCCACAGAATTGGGTAATAGGACTATACAGTTCTAAAACACTAGGAGCTTTTTTTTTTTCAATTAAATTTTATTATTTTCTTATATTGTTCATTTTTCTACAGTATTTGATTTCTCCCCTCAGGTGTTGCCCCTCTAAATCTCTCATCACTACCATACCATAGTCCTTTGTTTTCTTCCCTCCCCTGTTTGGAGCCTTCTTCCTCCCCCTATCTTGTATGCCTTAGATCTATAGTTTGCATGCAGGTTTTTTCTTTTTCCCCCCCACACTTTGTTCGGTTTCCCTGTAATTCTTCCTGAAGTGAAACCATCCAATATTTTTATTTTCCCTTCTGACTTATTTCTATTTCACTGCACATAATCCGTCCCTCCTCCATTAAAACACTAGGAGCTTATGGGAAGCACATGATACATCCTTAGTTGCTATTTATTGTCATACTAATACTTGTAGTTATGGGATCTTTTGTGTTGTTTGCTTCCTATAGTTATAAATGCTTCCATTTCAGGAAGGAACATCTGCCATGGAAAATCTCAATGAAATGCAGTGTATGTGGTTTCAGACAGAATGCATTTCAGCTTACCAGCGTTTGGGGAGATATGGGGATGCCTTGAAAAAATGCCATGAAGTAGAGAGGGTAAGTTGATAGACTTGACTTCACTTTTCTCCTATAAGGTGACCAGACCAGAACAAAAGGCAGGTAGATGTCTACATGAGATCATCTACCTCTTCTAATTACTTTGGAAATCTCATTTTAAAAGAAAGAATTCTTTATCCTTTTCCTTTCAAACAATCAGAGGTTGTGAATAAATGGCTTTTTTTTTTTTGATTCTTTAGTGGCTATGATTTCAACATGCTACGTATTTTCTGAAGAAAGAAGGAAGAGATTAGTAAGCCATTGTTAACATATTTTCAAAAATTCTATTCCTTAATTGAGCTATTACTTGATTTTCAGCATTAGCCTAGAAGGATACACAAGCTGGTGGCCATCTCTTTCCCCTTTACATCAGGTTCTGCTCTGTAGTCAGCCTCTCTCCAGTTTGTCTTCCCAGGATATTTGTTCTCACATTCACTACTCTGTACAGCAAACGGCTGGTTTGCAGGCTTATTTTATTACTTGCTTTTAGGATTATGTGTGTGATACCTTAGTGAGGGAACTTTTCTTTTCCTTTGTGTGAATTTTTGTTTTCCTGTTCTTTGTCATCTCTGAAGCACTCTCCTTCCAAATGGACAACAGGAGGAAAAGAGCCACAAATGCACCCCTGAGGCAGTACTCAGCAGCCCTCAGTTGTGGGGTCAATCGGCACCACTGTTCCCATCTGACGCAGTATAAAACCACAGGCATCATAGTCAGGTGAGCCTGATGTCTGCACTCTGGCAGTCACTTTGGCCTTTTTCCCCATGTGAAGTTTTTGAGGTTATGTCACTCCCCTAAAGCCTACATTTTAGGGGGTGGCTTTTGATGGAAATTGGTATTAGGATTATACCTGAGCCTTTTTAGAAATAACGTAGTTATTGCTGTGTGCATGTGTGCGTGCTTGTGTGTGTGCACATGTGTGCATGTGTATTACTGGTTGCTCCCCCCACCCCCGCCCCACCCGGCCCGGGTATCATAGCTTTATGTATCTGGGGAAAGTCTCTCTTGTCTGGAAAAATACAAAGCCCGTAATGATAGGTGAACATTCAGGCAATATCTGTGCATTTTAGTTTAAATCAGGCTAGTAACTGTAGATTACTAGCTTGTTTTGACATTCCCATTAAGATGATCATCACTTTAAAAGCATTCTTGTTATTAAGGAAAGACACATTTTTATTAACCAAGACATTCTCAAGAGGTGGTAGATTGTTTGAAGAGGCAGCTAAACGCTTAAGATCAGTAACTCTAGTAAGTCTGTAGAAATTTATCAGATTTTCTGGGAAAATTAAGAATTGAACATTGACCATCCTTAGGGACATTATAACTGTAATCTCTACCTTCAATTCTATTCTTCCTATTCTGAATAACTATGTTACTTTGTTTTTAATATTTTGGGATGATTATTAGAATATAATGAATAGGTATTCCACTACTAAGTTCCACTTAGGTTGTGCTTTCCCTTAAATTTTTAGTGATTTTGGCTAATAGGGAAAAAAGTCTATGATGTCAGCTTAACCTACTGGTAATTCAAGAGATATGATTTGACTGGTAGAAAGTATTTTTAAAGAAAAAAATTACAGGAAATATTAACTATCAGAGAGTAAAGCATGGCAGAAATCACTGTCTACTTATGTATTTGGTTAATTGCTAGACACTTTAACTGTATTTAGAGTTTCCTATTGGTGTTTGAGAAAGAACTAGGAATAAACGATCCCACTCATGCTACTTGTAATGTTATATTAATTCATACTAAAAATAAGACAACTTTTGTAGTCATATGTAGAAATGTCAGTGCTTAGTACACATAGGGTGATTAAGTATTTACGGACTGACTAAATCTTCTAAAATTACTTTCTAATAAAATAAACATCAAAAAATTTAGTGATAGAATTGCAAGAGTTTCAGAGTAATTAAGAATTCAAAGGCTTACTGTATAGCTATCTTCATGAGTTAATTTTTAGCTTTAAATATTTTAGTAAAGAAACTAGTACCTTTCAAAAATAAAACTGCAGTTTTACCTTCTAAATAGAGAAATAAGTTCAAATAAGGTCTAAGTTATTTTATTGAATATAAATATATGGGATATATATATTGCTACGAGCTCTTTAATAATTGGATTTGAAATATTAGAATTCTAGAATGGCTCAAACAATACCTTTCTGTTTTCTTTTGTGTCCTCCCCTTAGGATTATATGTAAAGATTATGTAGTCCAACCCACTCTGATGTTTAGAACCTGAGTTTTTAATAGTCAAAGAAAATTACTGCCTTCAAAATATTAGATATAAACTTATGTTCTGAATAATATTTTATAACATTTTCTTTTTTATGAACTGAGTTTTTTTTTTGAGGTTATTCTTCATGTCTTTAGTGTGCTTATTTATAAAGAAGCAGTTAGATATATCTCTCAAACTTTTGATAAAATAGTGTTTCTGATAGATCACAACTACAGGAAGTTCATAACTATCTTCTAGTACATCTTAGTCATTATCACACTGACACATCCGTAATGATGATGAATTCTCTATAATGGAAAAGGAGCTACTTATTACCCTAGTTAGTCCTGTTACCATTTTTGAAGTACAGAGATTGCTGTTGCCTCCCTAAACTTGTGCTCTTATAAATCTCCTTGAGGAACTCTGAGACGTAATGGGTGGGAGGATCTAGATCATAAGAGAAAGCCTAATGAAATTCCTAAAGAAAACCATACTCTTAACTGTGAATAGTATTGATTCTTTGCTGACTTGACTTGTCTTCTTTGATTCAAGACTAATTTTGACAGCCTAAGCAATTCCTGCCAGTATTATCTCCTGCAACCCTACTGTCTCTCCCCCCACCCTTCATCCAAAGAGAATTAGTGTTTGCAATGAGGGGAAATTGAGTTGAAGATATGAGCTATAAGCTGAGATTTGGGTACTTGGCTTGTGATGTGATCCTGTCCATGTTAATATTTGGTTGAAGTGCAGGAAGCTGACTTTATCTGTTGTGTTATCTAGTGGGTTTTTTTTTTTTTTTTTGGTAATGTTATATGAGTTTGGAGACTTAAAGAATCACCCTAAGATAGTATGAAGGAGATGTTTGTGGTGATGGAAGAATCCTGTATCTTGAGTATTAGCAATTTCACAAATCTACACGATAAGATAACACAGAACTATGTACACCTGTTATACCAATGCTAATTTTTTGGTTTTGATATTGTATTATAATTATGTGGGATGTAACCTTTTGGGGGAAACTGAGAGGAAGTATTGACCATCTCTGTACAACCTTTACAGCTTTCTCTGTGTCTATGACTCCAAAAAAGTTAAAAATAAAGAGAAAATCACTTTAAGATTATTTGTTTAAAAGTAGGATACTGCAGTGTACTGTTCCTTTCTAAAGCAAAGATATTTTGTAGTATCTTAACTTTCCCTGATTTAATCTAGCCACATTTTGTCTACCACTATTAACTAGCATAGAGTGATCAACATCCAGGTTTGCCTGAGGGCAAATAGGTTCTTGAGACTTTCCTGACTGGACTGTCAGTGGAAAAACTGAGAAGGCCTTCAGCAACCCAGGATAAGTTGGTTACCCTATTTATGGAAGACATTAACTGGAGAGAGGCAGCCTATAGGCTGTTACTGATAAAGAGGCGGATGGCTTAAAGGTTTGTGGTTCCATATGACTTCCTTGACTTAAAATCTTTGTCTACTAATACTGCTAGGAGTATCTCTTGAAACGTCTGTCTGCCTTTCATATAAATATTTCTCAGTCTAAACAAGGTCCTGTAATCTCTTAAATGCTTTCATCTCATTATATGTTCATGATTTTTGGCACTGCCCTTTTTCCTTAGTTGTATTGGATTTTAAGATATTCTTACGGTGCTAGATATAATGTGATTTACATTAATGAAAACCACAAACAATTTAATCAACTATGTAATCCTCTGATTAAAAGAAATAAAACTAAGTTGATGTTATTTTTCAGTTTCCTTGTCTTATGGGAGGAATGCATAACATTATTAAAACATGATCTGAATTAACGAATGCAAACTAATATGAAATGTTCGTTTTTTCTCTGTGGGTGTGATTTTTTTTTTTTTACTTCTACATTGTGTCCTATTAGAATTCTCTTAAAGTCTCAAGTACTTAATGTAATTCTGTGTGTAGTGTTTCTAATTGCAAGACTACTAAAATTGTCAGATGATATGGAAAATAACTAATGTGTTCTCTGCACAGCAAGTACCAGACCTCCATTACAGGGAGGATGTAGTGCAGTAGAAGAACTTGGTTTATATTAACATGGAATCATTCATTTTTCTATGTTTTTAGAGAAACTAAAGTAGGGAAAAGAAGACTGAGGTAGAAATGCATGTAGAGGAGAAAATAAAAATAAAAATTAGGGAGGGGGTTAATGTTTCCTTATAAGGTATTAGTTCTTAGACTTTTTTTAGGGGATGGTGATTAGATAAAAACTTTTAGAATTGAATAAAAGCTTTGCTCTTTCTCCTTAGGAAAATGTTATTATGCTTATTTATACATAGATTCCCGATAAAGAACGTCTGCTAAAGGTGGAATGTAGGTAGATTAATGGGAATGTAGTAGGAGAAAGCCACAATGCTCTTAATTTATATAGCATTTTCTGTTTAGATGAACATTAAACTATATTCCTATTTGACCTCCTTAATAGCCTTATGAAATTGGCTGTAGTTTTCTGTAGTCCTTAATTTAGATTAAGTAATTGAGGTTCTAAGAAATTTGGAGGTCTACATGCCTAATAAGTACTTTTATCTCCTGAATTGACAAATGTGTGCTTGTTGAACATCTGCTGTGGTAGGCCCTGTGCCAGGCAGTGGGAATGGGGTTGACAGGATTTGGCCTTGAAGAGCTGATTAATAACTTGTTGAGTACAGCAATCTAATTTGTAAATACTTTACATGAATCTGTATATTTTATTCTTCATTTAGAGCTTTGGCTAATTTTGGGGGAATACTGAATCCATGCTGATCTGCAGGGGACTACTGTGAAGAAATATTCCATTAAAACAAATATACCAATATGTGCTAGTTTCTAGATTTAAAGAATAACCTGATTATTTGACATACTGCATAAAAATTGAGTATCATCACAAAACATGATTTACAGGAAGTGGTCATTTATTGTAAAAAGAAATTTAAGTTGAATGCAAAGAACTGGGTATCTTACTGGTGAGGGCAACTAAATGAAATTGTGGCTGTTTAAACTCTTGTTCGGGCTTTGCATAATTTTTTTTCCCAAAGGTATACACTGTTGACATAAATGTAAGAGATGCTTTGTGGTTTTGTTTTTAAGCATTTTTTTGAGATAACCGATGATCAATTTGACTTCCATACATACTGCATGAGAAAGATGACCCTCCGTGCCTATGTTGATCTTTTGAGATTAGAAGATGTACTCAGAAGACATACCTTCTATTTCAAGGCTGCTAGATCAGCGATTGAAATATACTTGAAATTGTATGACAGCCCCTTAGCCAATGAAAGCAAACAACAAGAAATAAATTCAGGTAACTGAAAAGAACTTGCATTAATTAAAGATTTGAAGAGATCACTAAATTTCAGGATGCCATTGATAAACAATACACAGAAAAATATATTGTCAAATGATGATAACATTTTGGGAAAAAAGAGAAAAAGTAGAGGGAAAATTTAGAAAAAAATTTAAAAGGATGATGTTCTGTAGCTGATATTTCTAAATCATGCATAGAATGACTTGGATTTTTTTCCCTTAAGTAAGTTAAATTCAGGAACAATAGAAATGTATGTGGGCTAGCTTCTTTTTTATTTTAAGTAGTAACTACAAATAGCTTTGAACCCCTTAGGGGAAAAAATACACTTTCACCACTTCAAGTACTTACTTTATTGAAAATAATAATGCCAATGAGAATATCTATGCAGCTTTTTATTCCCAAAAATGTTAATTTCGGGCCTCCCTGGTGGTGCAGGCGGTTGAGCACAGTGCTGTGCAGCTTTCGGCAGCCCCTACAGTGTACCAGTTCCATCCCTGCCGGCCTCAGAGCAACCCACATGGCTAGCATATCTCTCCTGTCTCTCCAGCTGCTCCCCTTGGCAGTGTATTTCGTCAGTCTGTCTGCTCTGTTCCCTGCTCTATCTCTGGTGAATCCTTTCACCCTCCCGCACATCTGGCCTACACCCCTGCTTTTGTATAAATTTAAAAAAAATCATTAAAAAATGTTAATTTCTAGGAATATTTTTAGTAGCATATTTCTGATCTTTCATTCATAATACTTATATAGTTTTTAGAGATCACATATGTATTCTGGTATTCTAAGAGTACAGTTGGTGTTATCAGCCCCATTTTATACAGTTTGGGACTTGAGACTGAGATAAAGTGATTTATGTGTACTGTATAGAAATCAGAACTTTTGTTTTCCAGATATTGTGCTGGTCATTGTGAACACACTTTCTAAACATTTTTGCATAGTTCCCTCTTTCTCTTTCCCCACAAGAAGCTATACTAATAGTATGTATTGCAGAAGAATGTAAGAAAATGGAAACTGATTCCATTCATTCATTCACAATAGAAAACTTGTCAGCTAAAGAATTGAAGAAAATGCTTAGCAAGCAGAGAAGAGCTCAGAAAAAAGCTAAATTAGAAGAAGAGAGAAAGCATGCAGAAAGGGAGCGTCAACAAAAAAATCAAAAGAAAAAAAGAGATGAAGAAGAAGAAGAAGCCAATAGTCTTAAAGAAGAACTTATACCTGAAAAATTAGAAAGGGTGAGAGAAATTTACTTTATTTAATAAAATTTATGTTTTTGTTCTTCTGACCATAGATGTGATTTGTTCAAATATGTAAATCAGAAGACTTGTCATATTTCAAGGTCATTGCAAGTCATCAATGACTTTTGAGTGATAATATGCACATTTTGGCAAATGTTAATGATACATGGAATTTGTAGTTGTGGTAGACAGACTAATGGCCCTCCAAAAATGTCCACAGGTTAATTCTGGAACCTGTGATTATGTTGCATTACTTTGCAAAGGGGAATTAAGATAGCAGATGGAATTTAAAGTGGTAATTAGCTGGCTTTTAAAGTAGGGAAGATTAACCTGAATTATTTAGGTGCACCTATGTAATCACAGACTTCTTAGAGTGGAGGAGTGAGGTAGGAGAGGTCCTTAAAGTGGAGGAGTGAGGTAGGAGAGGAAGTCAGAGTGCTGTGACAAGGACTCAACCCTCTGATACTTGTCTTGAAGATAGAGAGAGAAGAACGAGAAGAATGTGGGCAGCCTTGGGAAGCTGAAAAGGTGTTAAAACATTGTCCCATGGGGAGTACAGTCCTCCTGACATGTTAAGCCCAGTGAGACTCTTGTTGGATTAAACCTAGGGATAAATTTGTCATATTTTTGGTAATTTGTTATAGCAGCAGTGCAGTTTATTAAATGTGAGAGCATTTTATATATCTAGCTTTATGTGTTTTAGCTATTAAGGGGAGCAGAGCCCCTCTTCTCCAGTATTTTTTTTAAAGTGTTAATTGTTATTTGGGGACCAGATTTAGGGAAATATTTTTGGTTAATTTATTGACTGTAGTATAATTATTTTAAATTTGTCATTTTTTAAAATTTTGTGGTGCATTTATATTGTTTTCTTACTTTAGATGTTTGTGGTACATCAGTACTTAATGTACCATATCCTGAAGTTTCTGGAACAATTTGCTGTATTTTTAAAATAAAATTATGTTGATTTTGTCAGAAAAACAATGTTTTTTGGATTTCCATTTTGGAAATTATTGTCTGTTTCCTTTAACTTTGCTTATAGATGATAGTTTTAGAATGGCTTCATATACATATTTAGCTGTATAAAAGAACTGTATAAATTACTTCAGGTATATATTAATATAAAATTTTAGGGGAATTTGACTTGTGTTTTTTTTTAAATATAATAATTTTGTTTTCTGTTTTAAAATAGATAGAAAATCCATTAGAAGAAGCTATCAAGTTCCTTATTCCTCTTAAGAACCTTGTTGCTGATAACATTGACACTCACCTATTAGCATTTGAAATATATTTTAGAAAAGGTAATAGTTTGAATTCAGTTTTTAATCCTTTGATATATTAGTATATTTGGTTGTATTACATGTAATCATTTTAGATATATTTTTGTTTCTAGAATTCCATTTTAACTTTCCACAAAAGTTGATAATCCCTTTTTCCTGTTACACATAACTTCACTAAGTAGTGAATTAGAATATTATGGTCAAGGGACCCTCCCTGGTGGCGCAAGGGTTAAGACTCAACCAATGAATCTGTCTGCAGCCTCTGCAGCATCAGTTCGATCCTGGGAGCAACCCACATGACGCAGTGGACCTCTCCTGACTCGCCGCTGCTCCCCTCAGCATTGTACTTTAGTCATTCTGCCTGTTCTCTTCCCCACTCCCTCTCTGGTGAATCCTCTCACCCCCCCCCACCCCCGCCACACACACCTCTGGCCTGTACCCCAGCTCTTGTATGCATAAATAAATAAATCTTAAATAAATAAAAATAGAATATTATGGTCAAAACCATTTTTAAAATAGTTGAAACAGTTATACAGATTGTTTGCTTGAAGTAATGTCATGATTTCTCAAGCTTTTCTTTAGAAGATTGTTGTCTTTGACAACCAGCTAGCTTAGAGTTTTGCTTATGAAAGTTATAGGAAATACAACATTTTGAGGCTAAAATAAAGTGAAGAAAATAACATACATACATACTGATGCTGTTACTTTTATATTTTTTTCTGACACAGGAAAGTTTCTGTTAATGCTGCAGTCTGTCAAACGAGCTTTTGCCATCAACAGTAATAACCCATGGTTACATGAGTGTTTAATTAAGTTTTCTAAATCTGGTAAGTATAAAAAAATGCAACGTTTGTGTAGAAGAAAATATGAAAATTGAGCTGTCTTCCATTAAGCTGAAAATTAAAGAAATTTGCACAATGAAAAATACAAAAAAATAACATTTGTAAAGTATTTAATTTGTAAAGTATTTATTTAAATGATATACATTTATCTCTGAATTAAACGTACTGCAAAAAGATACTAGAAATGAGTGCATTTTTAGGTTAGAATATATATTCCAAAGGATCAGCGGTGTTTTTTACTCTGTAAAATGTATCAAGCTTAATAATAAATATAAATCTATTCGAGTTGATTTTAAGTAACAGCCAAAAACTGTTTAAACCCTGATTTTTGCTTTTTATAGTGTCTAATCATAGTAATCTTCCAGACATTGTGAGCAAAGTTCTTTTTCAAGAAATGCAAAAAATATTTGTCAACAAGGATTTGGAAAGTTTTAATGAGGATTTTCTCAAACATAATGCTACCTCTCTTCAGCATTTGCTTTCAGGTATGTAGTTCCCAGGATTAAAATGTTTATGGAAAAAAGAATAGGATAAAAGGGAGGAAACCATTTTGGACGATATTCAATCTCTCTATTATATATTAAAAAAAAAAATGAATACAGTACCATTTATTGGTATCTTTGAAATTTTTGATCTTTGAAATAGCAAAGGTTTTTTTGTTTGTTTGGTGAAAGGAGATTAAAGTATGGTAAAGAGGTAAACAAGCATGCTTGTATTTTGCTGCTTAAAGTGTAAATTGTCTCTGCCATTTAGGAAAACAGTCATCCTTTTTTTTTTTAAAAAAGATTTATTTATTTACACTTACAAGAACTAGGGTACAGACCAGAGGTGCGGGAGGTGAGGGGATTCACCAGAGACAGTGGGGTACAGAACAGGCGAATTGACTGAAATACATGCCGAGGGGAGCAGCAGCGTGCGAGTCAGGAGAGGTCTGCTATGCCATTTGGGTATCTCCCTGGCTGTGGATTGAATTCGTGCTGCAGTGGCTGCGGATAGCTTCATGGCTTGCTTCTTAATCCCTTGCACCACCAGGGAGGCTCATTTTTATTGAGAGCTTTACCTACCTGTTTCTTTAGATTTAATCACACTTCTATAAATAATTTTATTTTTTTAAAGATTTTTTTTTTTAATTTATGCATACAAGAACTGGGGTGTAGGCCTTAGGCACAGGAGGGGAGAGGATTCACCAGAGACAGAGTGGGAAGCGGAATAGGCAGATCTACTGAAATAGCACTGCTGAGGGGAGCAGCAGGTGAGACAGGAAAGGTCTGCTATGCCATATGGGTTAGCTCCCTGGCTGGTAATTGAACTCATGCCACAGTGGCTACTGATAGCTTGATAGCGCTGAGACTTTAACCCCTGTGCCACCAGGGAGGCCTGTAAATAATTTTAAAGAATTAATCAAAAGCAAAGAAAGAACTAAGTGCAAAGGTTAGATGAAAGAAATGCTCTGTTTAAGTATGGGGAAAATAATAATAAATATTTCATGTATGTCCAATAGTAGGGGAAATAGTTTTAGGATGGAATACCAACTAGTCATATAAAATGATATTGTGATAATGGGTAAACAGAATTAAGAGAGAAGTAAACAGAATTTGCCTATACTCTCAACTGTGTATAAACATAGGATAAAGACTTAAAGTATAAGCCAAAGGTTTTCTGGTTGTGTGGTAGTGAGTGCTTTACCTTTTCTTATATTTTTCTTGCTTTATGTATGTTGTATCTTTAGGATTTATTTATAATCATGCATTAGTACAAGAAGGATTTTCAGCAGTTTATACACATTCATAAAATGGGGGCTTCCCTGGTGGCACAAGGGGTTAAGACGTAGCCTGTGGAGCTGTTCACAGCCTCTGCAGCAGTTCGATTCCCAGCCGGCCAGGGAGCAACCCACATGGTGCAGCAGATCTCTCCTGACCCAGTGCTCCCCTCAGCAGTGTACTTCTGTTGATCTGCCTGTTCTGTTCCCCGCTTTGTCTCTGGTAAATCCTCTCGGCCCCCCACACCACTGGCCTGTACCCCAGTCTCATGTATGCATAAGAGTCTCTTGTATGCATAAATAAATAAATATTTTAAAAAATTCATAAAATGGTGGCATAAATGCAACACTAGACAAAAGATTGTGAAGAGTCAATTGGGGAAAAAAGGAAGCACATACTATAATTGTGCTCTCACTTTAAGCCATGTACTTAATTAAATATTTTAAGCTAAGCTTTCTTGGGGCCCTCCCTGGTGGCACAAGGGGTTAAGACACAGCACTATGAAGCTATCTGCAGCCACTGCAGCATGAGTTTGATTCCCGGCCAGGGATCACCCACATGGCACAGCAGAACTCTCCTGTCTCGCCCACTGCCCCCTCAGCAGTATACTTCAGTCAGTCTGCCTATTCTGTTCCCCACTTTGTCTCTGGTGAATCCTCTCACCCCCCTCCTCTGACCTATATCCCAGCACTTGTATGCATAAATAAATAAATCCTATAAATAAACAAACAAACAAATAAATAAAAACTAAGCTTTCTTGTTTAACGGGAATATTTCCAGTTCTGATATCTATGGAGAAAAACGAATTCCTATGAAAAATTACAAAATTTGTCAGTAAGGGTGGATGTTTCTCTTCATGAACATTAGTGGAACAAAACATTATTACAGTTATGGGAAATGCCTTTCCAACCATTGTATGAAATTCTAAGAAAGATATTTTTCATCACATGAAAACACCGTAAAGAAGGGGCTTCCCTGGTGGTGCAGGCGGTTGAGCGCCACACTGTGAAGCTGTCCGAAGCCTCTGTAGTGCCGGTTCGATACCCGCCGGCCTTACAGCAGCCCACATGGCGAGCAGACCTCTCCTGTCTCGCCCGCTGGTCCCCTCAGTGTGTGTTTCATCTGTCTGCCCGTTCTGTTCCCTGCTCTGTCTCTGGTGAATCCTCTCACCCTCCTGCGCATCTGACCTATACCCCAGTTCTTGTATAAATAAAAAATAAATCTTTAAAAAAAGAAAACACCATAAAGAAAATCAAAAGACCACTTGGGGAAAGTATACATAGATATGTAACAAAAAACTAATAATAAGGCTGTTGGAAATTAACACTAAATCATGTAAATAAAAGCCCAGTAGAAAAGTGAGCTTACAATATGAGCAATATAATTTACAGGAGGAATATAAACATGTTTTATTAACAAATAGTTTTAAAAACTTGTGAATATGCATTTTTCCGTCCTCTCAGTCCTCCTCCGACCCCCCCACACACATACTCCCATGTGACAATTTTCTTCCTTAGATGTTTTCTTTTATGGTATCTCTTTTTTATTTCCTTCAAATTTTGACATATTGATGAATGCTATAAGGCAGCTCATACTTAAATGTTTAGTCTCATAATTTCTGAGGAGGGGGAGTTGTTTATCTTCTGTAAAAATTTACCAACTTGGGCCTCCCCTAGTGGTGCGGGTGGTTGAGCGCTGTACTATGAGGCTGTCCGAAGCCTTGCAGTGCCAGTTTGATCCCGGCTGGCCAGCAAGGATCCCACATGGTGCAGCAGACCTCTCCTGTCTCGCCCGCTGCGCCCCTCAGCAGTGTATTTCATCAGTCTGCCTGATCCATTCCCCGTCTGTCTCTGGTGAATCCTCTCACCCTCCCGCGCATCTGGCCTGTTCCCTGGTTCTTATATGGATAAATAAATAAATCTTTAAAAAAAAAAAACTTACCAATTCACCATCTCTTTGTGACAGAAAAAGTCCTGATTTGTAATATTGGGGCCCCAGGCTATCAGATGGGATGGTGCTAATGGTAGTTGGGAAGACTTAATCAAAACTGATACCTGAGAGCTGGTAGGAGTAATAGCCCAGTGCTGACTAACTGCTGGAACCACATACGAAATCACTGATCAGAGTATTATATATATATATAAAATCAGATCAGATGTGATACATAAGAATGTTCACTTTGAAATGTTTTGTTATTTCAGGTGCTAAAATGATGTATTTTCTGGACAAGTCAAGACAAGAAAAAGCAATTGCTATTGCTACTAGACTAGATGAAACTATTAAAGATAAAAATGTAAAGGTAAGATTTTCCAGAGTGATTATTACAAATTTATAGATATGCAGTGATCTAGCAAAACATGTATCTTTTTTTTTTTTTTCCCTTAAGATTTATTTTTATTTATTTATATAAGCACTGGGTACAGTTAGAAGCGCAGGAGGGTGAGAGAATTCACCAGTGCCAGGGCAGGGAGCAGAGCAGGTAGAAGGACCGAAGTACACTGCTGAGGGGAGCAGCGGGTGGCAGGAGAGGTCTGCGTGCCATGTGGGACCCTCCTCCGGTGGCTGGGGAGCAGTCGGGGATCGAACCGTCGCTGCAGAGGCTGCGGGCAGCTTTGCAACCCAGCGCTCAACTGCTGCGCCACCGGGGAGGCCCCAAAACATGTATCTTTACACTGTAATTACTGAGTGGCTTTCAAGTTAAGAATCTCAGTTCAACCAGTCTTGATTTGTGTTACATATGTGACCTCTTGGCTTCCTTTCCTTCTGTATATGATGAGAATAGAAATACTGTATCTCATAGAGTTGGTGCAAGGTTGACTGAAATATGCTTCAGTATTTAGTACCTGCCTGGCACAGATTAAGCATTCAATAAATGGGAACTGTTAGTAATAAAGGACATTCATACTTCAATGATCATAATTTTAGAGGTTCACTTTTGTTTTATTTAAGGTAATTGAGATAACATTGGTTCACAAAACTATGTTTTAAGTATATAGGATATTCAAATACATTATACCACACTTATTACAAAATATCAATAATCTTCTACCATAGTCCCCTGGACTCCCTCCATTCTCTGCTTCCACCCTCTCTTCCCCTCTGTTAATACTATTTCTGCAGTCAGAATCCAAGGGTCTGTTTTGGTTTAGTTTTTTCTGATCTTTGTTTTTAATTTTCCACATATGATTGAAATCATCTGGTATTTGTCTTTATCCTTCTGACTTATATTGCTTAGCATAAACCCCTTTAGTTCCATCCATGTTTTTGCAAATGGCAAGATTTTATCTTTTTTAATAGCTGAGTAGTGTTCCTTTATGTGTGTGGGTATGTATATATATTATGTATGTGTATATATATATGTATATATGTATTATATGTATTATACACACACACACACACACACCCCACATCATCTTTATCCAGTCATCCATTGATGGCACTTATGTTGTTTCCTTAACTTGGCTATTGTAAATAGTGCTGCAGTGAACATAGGGGTGCATATATCTTTCTAAATTGTATTTTTATATTCTTTAGATAGATATTTACAAATTCAGTGGGTAGATCATGTGATAGGTTTAATGTTACATTTTTGAGCAACTACAGATTCACTTTTTCAAGTAAAATAGCCTTCTCTTTTATAGGATCTGTCCATTATACAGTCATTTTATGATGAGTCCTTTTTTATTACAATTTAATGGTCTCATAATGATTGTCACCAACTAGATCTTGTGGGTGGGGAATATAAATAACTGAGTATGCAACTGAATCATACTGTATTTATTGGTGTAATTGTCATGTGGGTCTGTGGGTTTGGTTTTTTTTTTTTTTTTTTTTTAATAGAGGCATGCTTTATTTATTTGTTTGCTGGTTTGTTTGTTTTGTTTATACATGCACTGGGTACAGTCAGAAGAGCGGGAGGGTGAGAGAATTCACCAGAGGCAGAGCGGGGAGCAGAGCAGGCAGAAGGACCGAAGTACACTGCTGAGGGGAGCAGCGGGCAGCAGGAGAGGTCTGCATGCCATGTGGGACCCTCCTGTGGTGGCCGGGGAGCAGCCGGGGATCGAACCGGCGCCGCAGAGGCCGCGGGCAGCTTCGCAACCCAGCGCTCAACCGCTGCGCCACCGGGGAGGCCCGGGTTTGGTTTTTTTTTAGTAAAGTATGGAAATTTTTTTTTAGTCTTTAGGTCTTTCATACAAGTGGTTGTTGAATTGCATAAAAATAGTGGTTCCTAAATAGCTTATTAAAAGGAAAATTTCAATTAAATTTAGATAGTTATAGTGTCATAATGGTTTCAAAGTTAGTGAATTGGTATGAGAATTTGGTTTTTCTCACTCACTCTATTAGCCAACTCTAAATAAATGTGAAATAACTTTTTCCATTTTGTTACTTCACTTATTTTTAAATATCTTTTTAATGTCAATAAAAATGAAATTCATAGTTTTTGTTGTCTTGTGTAAATCAGTCTTACGTAAGCTTAGTTATGTGTCAAAATTTTCAAATTATGCTGTCTTAGAACGAATTAATGTGTTACACAATATCATTGTGTTACTGGGATCACATTATGATATTTTCACCATATGATCACATTTGCAGAATGGATTAGTCTCGTAAAGTTGGGGTCTACTGTATTAGAATTTTACTGCTTATGATCCAGCTATTCCACTCACTGTATCTGAAGTATATTAAAAGTTGTAATATGTACCTGATATTTATTATAATAGCAAAGATATGGAAACAACCTAAGTGTACATCATGGATGAATGGATAAAGAAAATATATACATACACAAAGGAAAAAACTCAGCTTTAAAAAAATAATAGATGAAATCATGTTATTGGCAACAACATTGGACTTTGAGGGGGGATTATATTAAGTGAAATATTAGATGGAGAGACACAGACACATATCATTGCACTCACATATGGAAGAAACACAGCAAATGGAAAAACAAAACAAACAAAAACACTAAGATACAGGGAATAGATTGGAGGTTACCAGTGAATAAAAGCGGTGTTAGAGGTGGGTGGGTGAAAGGAGTGGAGGGGCTCCACTGTATGATGTCAAATGAAAACTGTACTTTTAGTGGCAGTTCTGATGTAGAATATACAGATGTCAAATTCTCATGTTGGATATGAGAAATCTACAAATTGTTATATGAACCAATGTTATCACAACAAAAATTTATCCAAAAAAAGTGAATCTCCTTTTTAAATAAATAGGAATTTACTGCTTTATTAAAAACTTTGCAGTTGATTTTTATATTTAATATCTTCCTTTTCTGAGGTGATTCTTCACTGTAGATAGCAAGAAATTATTTTAGACTGATGCCTACTCAGCTTTCTGTTGGTTAATAAACACATTACCTCTTGAGTAAAGTAATTATTAATGAAGCTTTTTAAAAATAATCTTTATTCTCTTTGTTCCAATAGACTTTAATAAAGGTTTCTGAGGCACTGCTTGATGGCAGCTTTGGGAATTGTAATTCCCAATATGAAGAATACAGAATGGCCTGTCATAATTTGCTTCCTTTTACATCGGCTTTCCTACCTACTGTGAATGAAGTTGATGGCCATAGTGCAGCACTAAACCATACAGCTAACTATGATGTCTTAGGAAATGAAATTTGAAATGTCATTAAAAATTGACTTCTTGCACACTCAAATAAATTCAGATAAGAGTTTCTTTTCCAGGGTCTTAATGTAGATATGAAATGAGAAAATTGGAATTTCTAAATGGAGTATTCCATGAGCTTATTTTATTTATCTTACTGCCAATTTGCATAAATATTTGTTGAAATTGTTTATACTTGTACAGTTTCTTAAATTCTCAAATTATCATCATTGTGATAGGTGCTGTCGTTTCTGTATCATTCATAAGATAATTTCTTATTAACCTAAGTTGTGTGTAACCCCTCTGTATTCTTTCGATCCTGGTTTCAGGACCTAAGTTTTGATCTCTTAACTGGTTTGTTTTATTGTTTATTTGCGTGTTTTTTAAAACTAAAGCACCTCAATCTTAAAGTGTTAATTGTGTATTAAAAACAATATGGAACACTTCTTGACAGACATTGAGGTTTATTTTAAAATTTAACTTGCTCTTTTTCTCATTTTTTTCATGCTTTACAATTTCCTTTTTAATATTCATGAAAATGATACTTTCTAGTTGAATGAGGATACTCCAGGTTTATGTAGATGATTCAGATGTGGAGATTGGTTTGCCTTGGTAATGGAAATCCACTAGTAATTTGTTGCATGTAATAGACCAGTTTTAAAGACCCACAGGCAATAATTATGCCTTTCTGACTAAGGTGTTTTCTGTATTAAGAAACATTTATAATTAAATGGTGTGCTTCAAGGGAGGATGATAGGAAGGATTACAAATTATAATGAAATATCCTTACTCTTATAGCCATACATTGACTAAATACATTCTTATGTCAGTAAAATAAGAATTTAAACTGTCATTAGTTTAATACATAGCATTGTTGAACAATATTTTCTGGGGGAATAGCTTTTTCTCTCATGTACAGCAGTAATAAATGCAATATTTCATTATTTTGTTTCAGAACTGTAAATATATCTATAATATGAATACTTCCCTTTAAAGCAAATAGAAATCTAAGAAGGGAGGTTTTATTTAGACAAGCAGTTCTAATTAAAATGACTTCTTTTCACTCTTAACTGTTAGATTCAGATTTGGGGAGAAAAACTGTAAAATAATGCCACCCTGTATAATGCAGTAATAAATTATTTTGTACAAAATCACATTTTTTTTGTTTTTGCTTCATACTATCAAAATATTTGTGCAAAATGTTTTCTTCTTGAGGCAGTAAAAACTTAATTATAAAACTTAAATTATAAAAACATAAATCTTACAACCATCTACCAATATATTCTGGTGCTACAACAGCTTGGCCTCTTTTTTGTGTTTTAATAACTATAGAACTATTAAATCTTTCTCACCAAAAGTCTTGTCAACTGTGCAAGCCACCAATTGCAGAAGATACAAGTTAGTTATATTTAATGTGGAAATTGCATTTTCAGTGGCAGTCTTGTTAAAAAGTATTCCTGGACATCACGTAGAATTTTCAGGTATAGAGTTTTCCTACAATGGAGATAAGGACAGTGGTAGGTATGGAGGACTGGACAAAAGTATTACACTGGAACTAGTGAAATTTGTTTGTGTATCTGTTGGTGTATTGAAGTGGAATTTACCATTCTCCCTATTCCCGTTTCATTTTTAGTGGAAACAGTGTATACTTGGGATGTGAGTAGGGATCTTTTGGAGCTATGTAGGCATGGTTGTTGAATGCCTGTGACATGCCAAACAAATTTTTTTATATTGAAAATAATAGCAAAATCACTGGAACTTCTCATAATCTATGGAACTTTTTTTTTTTTTTTGGTGGGGGTGAAGTTCATAATGCAGAAAGAATGAATCATTTAATGTATTTATTGAGCACCTTTTAGCTTGAAGATACCATTACTCATTACCGTTAACCACATACCATTCTGTGGTTATCAGAGATCTGTACATCTTCATTTCTGCCCTCAATACTTCCCTTTATTTTGTGACCTTGGTGAAAACCTTTATTGAAATCTGTGCCCATTGTGTGACTCTTTCTAGTGGAAGCTGTTTACTTTCTCACTACCTCTGGAGAGAGTGTTCATAGTATATTCACTCCCAGCCTCTGGTTCCAGCCCATTACTCTTCCACTATTGTGTAAAAACCTAGGTTTCTTTTAAGATTATAAGACACTGGGTTGTACCACCCTAGAGCCCTCTTTATTGTTGTCATTTGTTCACTTCTCTTGACTGGAGAACTTTTTGTTGTCTCCAGCTATGCTTACATTCTGGGTGCTTTTGGCCTGTTACACAAATTCAACACTGATTGTTCTGTTAGTTTCCTGATCTCTCTAACTTATTAAGTGATTTTTTTTCTTCATTTTAATTAAACTAACCAATCCCATAGTGACTCCTTGATTTTTTTTTTTTTTTAAGATTTATTTTTATAAAAGAGCTGGGGTATAGGCCAGAGGCGCAGGAGGGCGAGAAGACCCACCAGAGGTAGAACAGGGAGCAGAACAGGCAGACGACAGAAATACACTGCTGAGGGAAGCAGCAGGCGCGACAGGAGAGGTCTGCTGTACCATGTGGGAGCCTCTCCAGCCGGCCAGGTCCAAACCGCGCTGCAGAGGCTGCAGACAGCTTCATAGCGCGGCGCTCAACCCGCTTCGCCACGGGAGAGGCCCAAGGAAGTCATGAAAGCTACTCTGACCCTGATCTCCTATTCCTTTTAACCTCATTTGGATATCCCTTTCATAGCTGTTCAACCCCTTTACAACCTCCCATGACTTTTCCCAATTAGCTTTTGCCACTAGACTTTAATTTTTTGGTTTCATATCCCATCAGTTCAACTCTTTTTAACTTCATTATTCCATTCTTCTATCCCATGTGCCAAGAAAAAAGTCCCAACATTGGTTGAGTTAAACTTGTTCTTAGCTTCCTCAAGGCTGTTATCAAGGATTATGTACTCTCACAGACTGATGCCTGCATATTAGTGAGCCCAAACTATGTTTACAATTCTGCTATTTCAACAAATCTCATGTTTCAGCCCACCTTTCTTGTGTTTCAGTAGGTATGGTAAGCTACATAATGTGGTAGCCCCCCCCCCATGTCTATGTTAATACTCGAAACTTGTGGATATGTGATCTTTGTAGTTGTGACTGAAGATCTTGAGATCAAAGATCTGGATTGCTGGCATGGGCCCTAAATAATCTAATTCTGCCATCCCTATCTTTCAGGGAATTGGTCCATTTCATATAAATTATCAGGTTTGTAGGCCTAGAGTTGTGCATAATGTTCCTTTATTGACTTTTTAATGTCAATGGGCTAGTAGTGATGACCCCTCTTTCTTTTCTGGTATTAGGAATTTGTCCTCTCTCTCAGATGGTGAGCCTGTCTAGAGGCTATCAATTTTTATCTTTTCAAAGAACCAGCTTTTGATGGCACTTATTATCTACATGACATTGGTTTCCATTTATTCTTTCTTTCCTGTTCTGTATATTATTTACTTTTTTTCTGGTTTCTTCAGGAGGAATCTTAAATTATTGACTAAAAGATCATTTTCTAACACTGCTACCCATTTTTCTCTAAGTGCTATTTTTCCTGCATCCCACAAATGTTGATTATTTGTATTTTTTATTAACATACTCAAATTTCTCTTGAGATTTCAACTTTGACATACTTTATTTGAAAGTATGTTGCTTAATCTCCAAATATTTAGGAATTTTTTAAACTCTTTTTATTATTGATTTCTAATTAAATTCCTTTGTGGTCTGAGAGTAGACTTTGTATGAACTTCCTTCTTTTAGGTTTACTAGTGTTTTTTGTGACCAAAATATCAGTGAATATTAAATGTGAGTTTGAGAAAAATGCATATTCTGCTGTGGTTGGTTGAAGTAATGTATAAATGTCAGATCCTGTTGATTGATGGTACTGTTCAGTTAAACTTTTATCTTGATTTTCCAGTTATATGCTCTTATCAATTATTGATTGATGGGTGTTTATGTCTCCAACTATAATAGACAATTGGTCTTTATCAGTTTTCCTCTTGTGCATTTTGATGTTCTGTTGTTAGGCACATACACCTTAAGGATTGTTATGTCTTATTGGAGAATTCACCTCTTTATCATTATGTAATGATGCTCTCCTTATCCCTGGTAATTTTCCCTGCTCAAAAGTCTGTTTTGTCTAAAATTAATGTAGCTGGCATGGTCTTTCCCCCCAGGTTTTAAACTTTATATTTAAAAATAATGTGCATTTCAATAATTAAAATCATTTGAACAACAACAAAAAAAAGCACTCTGCGTTTTACAGCCTGCAGGACACCTTGAATCCAGTGTCATAACTTTTGCATTCATTCACCTTGTTCTTTGTTTTGAGAATTTTCCAAAATAATGACACTCTACAAATCACATATCTAGGAAGCTCAGAAAACCCTATATTGGGTTTCTGAGTTTTCTTAGTATAGCTAAGCATATTGTAACCTGCAGAAAATCAAAGACAATGAGAAGATCTTGTAAGAAGTCAAATTTTTAAAAGTCCCAACCAACTGTAAAGGAAGAGAAAAAAAACAATGGCAATGAATTATGTTTTTATCAGTCTTTCATTTACCTATTTAATCTGTCTACCATGTAATACAGAATTTGGTAGTCCTAGCCACATGTAGCTTTTGCATGCTACCTGAGGACTGGCTTACCTGAGGACTGAATTTTAATTGCTGTTTAAATAGTTATAGGTGACCAATGAGTATTATGTTAATTTATCTAATAGTTTTTGCCATAAGAGTTATCTTTTCACAATTCACCCACCCCTAGGGATCCTTTTTCCAAACTTCAAAGACAGCTATGTAAGGTGGGAGTTGTCCACTTATTTGGGCAATCCATTTATTTAGCTTGATTGTATGCTCTCTAAGGTCACCAACCTGGTCTGTCTTAGATAAGAAACACAGCACAAAGTATCCAGAATGTTTAAAGTCACTAAGTACTGACACTAATCTCATTTGACCCTCATAGTCACCTTGTGGGAGAGGCAGTATCATTTTACATGACAATAAGCTAATCAGGATGAACTTTCTAGAACCACACAGCTTTTCAGTACCAACAGCCACACTTTTGCATTCCAATTTTGCATTGTATTCCTTCTGTTTGTCATGCTTCCTAACCATGTAATATTTTGTACTATCTTGTTGGTCTGGCCTCATATGTTTTTAAAGCCTTGTCTCAACAAAAGTCAGTTCTCTTAGGGCAGTGCCCTGGTTGAGCCCATAAGTACTTCATTCCCAGGTAAGATTTCCCAGGTCAGGGCTGTATGTAATTGTTAGTTCAGCGTTTCCCCACTGGAGGGCAAGCTTCCAACCCAATTTTACTTTTCTGATTTTCTTTCTCAAAAATTAAAAGAACTGCTTCACATGGGTCTCTGCTTTTTGAGCTTTATTTACAGGAGGTTGTATATAAAATTTTTGATCCAGTATATCCTGATCATTACTCTTTCAATCACTAGATTAAAAATCCTAGATGCTGCTTTTGTTAAATGTAAAGTCCACTGCCAAGTGGTTTGTTGGAGTGGTGGGGTTTGGTGTGGGAGAGGGCCCTGAGCTGAGAGTGAAAGAATGGGCACAGTTCTCAGCAGGTCACAGCCTCCCTGGGCCCCCTTTTTGATAGACTGAGGGTTATCTTGGTGACCAGTAGCCCATGACTTTATTTACAAATTGGTAGACTCTAGAAGTAAAGGACTATGTCAGACACATGTTGGTTACCCCACAGGTACCTTCCCTGGCAAAGAGTAAGTTTCCAAGAATACAAGGGGTATTTAAACCACAGCAGCTGCCTTGTAATTAAAGGGGTAGAAGCATTTAATGGTTCTGTACCCCATTCTGTCAGCCTCCTTGGGTTTAAAAGTCTACACATTGGGAGTTCTGAGTGTGGAACAAAAGTAAACCAAGTCTTCTAATGCATGGTTCAAACAGTTCCATGTATAAAAATAATATGGCAATTCTATGTATACAAATCTGACTGTTCTCATGCACATAAAGATTTTAGTTTCTCTCCTTGCACCACAGGTCTGCATTTGAGTTTCCTTGCAAAACCTCTGTCCATAGGCTCTGAAGAATGTGTCATAGCACAACTACATCTATGGCCACGGGGATCTGAGCATCATGTAACCCTAACAGCTTTTTCCAAATGTGATGTCCATCAGCTACTATCACCAGTATGATCAAGTAAACTCTATTCTGTGTTCACAGGAGCCCTCACCTTGACTTTACAGGTCTTTGCTGCTGATGGAGAGGTTTAAGTGATAGGGTGCTACATTAGTGCAGGTTCTCACCTAAGTTAGGGAGAGGCACTTGAGGTCAGAGAGACTCATAAGAGACTCATAAGATTCTGGTCTTTTCCATTCTACACTTAAAAAAAGAATAGTTTATTATCAGAAATGATAACTATCTGATCTACATAAATGTAAAATTATAACCATTGACAATCATGGGCCTCCGTGGTGGCCTAGGGGTTCAGTCTCAGCACTATCACTGCAAAGGCCTGAATTTGTTCCCTAGCCAGGGAGCTAACCCACAGAAGGCACAGCAGACCTCTCTTAACTTGCTCACGACTCCCCTTAACAGTGTGTTTCAGTAAATCCACCTGTTCTACTCGCCACTCTTGTTTCTAATGAATCCTCTTTCATACCCCACACTTCTGGCCATACTCCAGTTCTTCTATGCAAAACACACACACACACACAACCATTGACAATCAACAAGCAAAAAAGCTTGCAGAGCTGAGTGGGATTGACTGATTTCCATTTGTTACACACTTCTCTCCCCTTCTTTCTTATGAGCACATACATGTTAGCAAGCATCAAAACTTCAGGAAAGTGTAACAAAATGGAAAGTCTGCCATTACTCCATTTTAGGCTCAAAACACTCATATCCCTCTGAAGACCTCCTAGGAGCAGAGTTTAAGGATCTCTGCACTAACCTTTCAGTCTCTGCTCAGCTGCTTTCTCAAATGCTTTCTGATTCCTCTAATGGAGTTAGTCTGCTTGGAATACACACTAAGTCCCATATAGCACTCTTCATGCTGCATTTCTCATGTTCTACTTGATTGGTCCATTATTTGGTTGCTTTTCTTACTGTTGCTCCTGGACTGAGTCCAGGAACAAGTGTCACTGTCACTGCCTGTGTTCAAATGTGCATTCTGCCACTTAGCAGCAGTGTGATCTCTTTGTGCTTCAGTTTCTCATCTATAAAATGGGGCGCTAGTATCTTCATAAGCTGCAGCAAAGCTGCAGTATCTTCATAAGCTGCACTCAGTGAAAACATGAGTGCATTTGCAAAGCAAGCCCTTAGAACAGGGCTTGAATCAGTGCCATGTCAGTGTTTGCAGTTACTGTCCTTGCTATCTATCTCCCACAGCCAG